GTGGTTTGTCAGGACCATTGGCCAGGCGGTCTCCTCGAATATAAAGGTCAACAAGGCCTGCCTGGCGCATGGAACTCGATTTTTTTTGCTAAAGTTATTGCGACTCAAATCTCCAATCAGTCATGTCTCCTCATGGGGAACACAACGGCGAGAGCGCTACCAATGGCGCGCAAAATGGCGCTCACACAAATGGCGCTCACACAAATGGTGCTCACACAAATGGCACGCAGACAAATGGTACACACACAAATGGCCATGACGCTCGAGAGAAGGGAGTCTCTGAGAAGGTTGTACAGCCAACAGAGACCCAAAAGTCGGGAAGTAAGAAGACTTCATCCACTGGGGCTTTGATGCAGTTGCGTCGGGCTTCACGACGCCCTCTCCCTACGGAGATGGGGGATGGCACTTATAGAAACATTCTCAGGCGACCAACTCTGATGCAGGATCTCAAATCATTTGGATTGGGTGGTGAGTATATCCAATTGTGGAACTGCACCATGTGCATCTAGCTGAGTTTCTTGCAGATCTTAAAACACTTCGAGATATTGTCAAAGCGAAGCTGAAGAGAGAGACTCAGCAAGATGACAAGACCATGATTATGGAGCGCACTATTCAATTGGTCTCCACGATGCCGAATAAATCGAAGCGACAAGAAATACTTACCAACTCTTTCATTGATACGCTCTGGAACTCTCTAGATCACCCACCGTTGCTGTACATGGGTGATGAGTACAAGTATCGCCAACCAGATGGATCTAATAACGTAAGGATCTTGATATTTAACAATACAATCTTCCTGTCAACTAACATCATGCTTTAGAATCCGTTGATGCCGAAGCTTGGGGCCGCTGGGACTCCATATTCGCGCACTTGCAAGCCAGGGCCAGCCAACATGGGGGCACTGCCTGATCCCGAGCTTATCTATGAGGCTGTCATGGCTAGGGACGGGTTTAAGAAAAATCCAAACAACGTGTCTAGCATTTTATGGTATTGGGCGACTATTGTAATCCACGGTGAGTGTCTCTTTCGCGACGGAAATCGAGAATGGCCGCTAAATATGGATGTAGATTTGTTCTGGACGAATTCAAAGGATCCCAATCAAAACGACTCCTCATCATATCTTGACCTGTCTCCTCTATATGGAAAAAGCAAAGAGGATTGTGACTCAATTCGAACCTTCAAAGATGGCAAGCTGAAGCCAGATACTTTTGCAGATCGACGGCTCATTGGTAACCCACCCGGAGTCTGCATCCTGCTCATCATGTTTAACCGTTTTCACAACCACGTGGTCGCCAACTTGGCTTCCATTAACGAGGGCAACCGATTCGCAAAGCCTGCAGCGCACCTGGAAGGCGATGCGCTCGCAGCTGCTTGGAAAAAGTACGATGAGGACTTGTTCCAGACGGCTCGACTTGTCACATCTGGTCTATACATAAACATTACTCTTGTCGACTATGTGCGCAACATCGTTAATCTCAACAGAGTCGACACAGAGTGGACGTTGGATCCGAGACAGGAGATGGGAGTCGCCGTGGGCACCGCCAAAGGCGCAGAAAGTGGTGTTGGTAATGTTGTCTCTGCCGAGTTCAATCTGTGCTACAGATGGCATTCGTGCATCTCTGAGATGGACGACAAGTGGATTCAGGACTTTTATACGCAAATTCTCGGCGACAACTATGGCGAGATGAACCTTCAGACTCTTATTGCAGCCGTCAAGAGATATGAGACGACCATCCCTGAGGAGCCCTCAGAGCGCACATTTGGCGGATTTACTCGCGGGTCTGATGGACGCTTCAACGATGACGAGCTCGTCGATGCCATCTCTACAGCAATTGAGCAGCCCGGCGGTGCGTTTGGAGCTCAGAACGTGCCTCGAATTATGAAGCCAGTTGAGATACTGGGCATCATCCGAGGTCGCAAGTGGAATCTCTGTGGCCTCAATGAATTCCGCAAGCATTTTGGACTCAAGGCATATGACACGTTCGAGGACATCAATTCGGATCCTGGTGTTGCCGACGCTTTGAGGAATCTGTACCAGCATCCTGACCATGTTGAATTATATCCTGGTATCGTGGCTGAAGAAGGCAAGGCACCTATGGTTCCAGGCGTAGGAATTGCTCCTACCTACACCATCTCCAGAGTCGTGCTCTCTGATGCCGTCTCTCTGGTCCGTGGCGACAGGCATTATACCACCGATTACCATCCCGGGTACTTGACCCAATGGGGATTCAACGAAGCCAACTATAATTTGGAGATCAACCATGGTTGCGTGTTCTACAAGCTGTTCATTCGTGCGTTCCCCAACCACTTCAGGTATAACTCGATCTACGCGCATTATCCCATGGTCACACCAAAGGAGAACCGCATGATTCTCACAAATCTGAAGCGAGCGGATCGCTTCGACTTTGGTAGACCAGAATTCATCGCGCCACCAATCCATCTTACTTCGTATGGTGCAGCCCAGCACGTTCTCACCAACCAGGGCAAGTACAAGGTTACGTATAGAGAAGCGTTCCAGTTCCTCGTGGGCTCCTCTGGCACTAAATGCATGTTGGCTGGCGATGACCCTGCTCACGCGGAACAACGCAAGGTCATGCATTCTCTACTATACGAGGATGGCTGGAAAGCTTCAATCAAGAGTTTCTATGCTATGATTACGGAGCGTCTGTTTGCCGAGAAATCGTACAAGATTGCTGGAAAAGCTCAAGTTGACGTTGTACGCGATATTGGCAACCTGGCCCACACGCACTTTGCCGCAAGAATGTTCAATTTGCCCCTGAAGTCGACTGAAAATCCGAAGGGCGTATTCTCTGAGCAAGAGCTGTATGAGGCGCTGGCGATGTTGTTTATCTGCATCTTTTTAGACCTTGACCCTGTCAAGTCGTTCCCTCTCCGACAGAAGGCAAAGGAAGTGACCGAGCAGCTGGTCAAAGCTGTAGAGATGAATGTCAAATTGACCAAGTCTCTGGGCATTCGAGGCCTCTATACCGGTCCTTCTCCCAAGAGTGACGACCTGTCTATGTATGGTGTCAATCTCATAAAGGGGCTGTCTAAGGCTGGCCTTGGCGCGCACGATATTGTGTGCAGTCATGTTTTGCCAGTTGCTGGTGCCATGGTGCCTGTTCAAGCCCAAGCGGTAAGCTGATTGTTATTTCGAATTATGGGGTGTTCTGGGTTGAGTACTAATCACTACTGCCACTCTAGTTCGCCCAAGCCGTGGACTGGTACCTCTCTCCAGAAGGCCAAGAGTATATACCAGAACTTCAACGCCTGGCCGTGGCGGAATCGAGCCCGGAAAACGATGCCCTCCTCCTCGGCTACGCCATGGAGGGTGTCCGTCTGGCTAGTGCGTTTGGTCTCTTCCGTGAAGCTGCTGAGACAGAGACCATCAAAGAAGACGACGGGCGTGAGGTCCATGTCAAGGCTGGCGACCGCGTCTTTGTGTCACTTGCCTCTGCGGCCCGCGAAGAAGCATACTTCCCAGAAGCAAACAAGGTTAACCCACGACGCCCAATCGATAGCTACATGCACTATGGTGCTGGACCACATAGTTGCCTGGGCAGGCAAGTCAGCCAGGTTGCGCTGGTGGAGATGTTCCGCGCACTGTTTAGAAAGAGGGGATTGAAGAGAGTTCCTGGACCTCTGGGTGAGCTGAAGAAGATTCCTCAACCGGGGGGCCTCTATTTGTACATGACGGAGAATTGGGGCGGTGTTTCGCCGTTCCCCACGAGTATGAAGATATCCTGGGACGAGTAGGTGGACACGATGAATATCGGCTTGCCTTCTTTTCTTTTCTTTTCTTCTAGTCCTTTTTTTTTTTAATTCCGTTATATACCAAATTGTGTGTAGGTTCAGATTTGTCAATGACATGTGCAGTGTGATGGCTGGGCTGATGCCACTGGTCAACCCAACCGAGCCCGTGATGTGCAAGGCAGTTCACGAGTACTTGGCAGAACAAGTCAACTGGTTGTAAACACGACATGTAATTTTGTTTTAGGGGCGGCATCGTGCCCACTTGTCATAAGCAAACAGATTGAGCTAATGCTGCAAATCTCAAGTCACTCTGAGGTATTGTCTATCACGACACGGCTTGAATAGGGTAAACAGCTACAAAACACTCCGAAAATGGAAATAACCGATAACTTCGTGGGTACCTCGATAGGTAGGTAGGTAGCTCCTGCCTGTTGGGCCGCTTGCTTCTGAGAATTGCTCAATCAACACCCTCGTATTCCGCCCGTTTGCTTCGAGCGTCGCATCGGGCATCAGGTACGCCAACCAACACGAGATGTTTTGCAGCTTTTAATTATATCCCCCCGGCCCCCTAGAATATCGGAACTTGATTCATGACTTTGAGGATTAGCTCAATCCCGACCTCCGGCTTGCGAGATGTGTCTTTGCTTGAATTGGGTGCAGAAGGCCTCGAACATAAAAACTCGAACCGAGTAGTCGTCTGGGCTATGAATCTCGACATCAGATAAGACAATGGAGAACCTAATCCCGCAACTGTGCCATGGCGCACTGGCACCGTCTGCCATGACAATTCCCGCGTCTATAATCTTGTGTCTTTTGGCGCCATTGAGGATATTCTGCTTGCGCAATGACGCTGCTAAAGTCTCTTTCGATTGGGTGGGATATGCGAAGTTGGTGAGTCTCGTTGATGTTACCGAATACCTTTTCAAGTAGAGCTGCACTAACGAGATGTATAGATATTTTGCTCCATGTTCTCGTTGATGAAATTATCTCAACTTGTTGCTTTTCGACTACTTGGTTTCGATCACCGCGTAGAGTTATTGGGTCTTTGTGTCTCGTTGATCGCTTCTCTGTTGTTCACATGGCTATGTCTTGTGGAGCATAAACGATCTATACGGCCATCAACTTTGACGGCAATCTATTTATTGGCAACTGTGTGTGGTAATATTCTCGGTGCAGTCCCAGAGCTTTTGTCTTTTCGAACCCCTGACATTCTGCTCTTCTGTCGATGCGGCGAGATACTCGTCCAAATGGTTCTTTTGGTTCTTGAATCTCAGAACAAGACCGAGTCCCTACTATCCATGTACAAAGGCGTCTCACCCGAGGATTCTGCGGGAATATTGAGTAGAACCTTTTGGTGGTGGCTTATGGATCTATTGGCAGTGGGAAAGCAGCGCATCTTGAGAGTTAGCGACACCCCACGGCTGAGTTCATCACTGCAACCGAGCCTGACGCGAAAGGCCGTACTCCAAGCCTGGAATGACAGAGGCAGGTAAGTGATCCCTCTCACCAAAAGACTTATTCTAACATGGTTTGAACAGCCAAGCCGGAAGACAGTCTTACCCTGCTGAAGGTTGTGGCAGGCAGTTTGATGAGGCCACTTTTGTCGCCTTTAGTACCGCGATTATTTCTAACGGTGTTCCGATGCAGTCAGCCGGTCATCATCAGCCGCGCTATTTCTTTCATTACAAACGACCAAGGGGGCGTGGCACAATCATGCAGAGCGTATGAGATATTCTTTGCTGCACTGATTGTGTACTTCGGACTCGCTGTAGGATCTCTTATTTCTCTGTTAGCAGGACCTGGCTAACTGGTGAGCATAGATATCAAGCTCAATGTACAAAAATACATTGAATAAGCTCGATATTCTGATACGAGAATCCCTCGTTCACTTGGTCTACGACAAGACATTAAATCTAAGCCACCATGGTTCGGACGCAGGCCGAGTGGTGACGCTTATGAGCACGGATATAGACAGTGTATCTGAGATGGGTAGGCTTTTACACGCGAGTTGGGGACAAGCTGTTGAGCTTGTGATTGGTATGATACTGCTAGCAAGAGAAGTGGGCTGGGTGTTTCCAGTGCCGCTGGTTATCATAGTCTGTAAGTATCAAATGCTATTCTCTCGCCGAGGAGAAAGTGAAGTTTACTGATATATTGAGATGAAGTCGCTTCTCGTGTGAGTCGTTTTGTTGCTCAGAATGTGCGTTCTCGGACCAAGAGTTGGAATGATGCGACGCAGGCCAGGATATCTACTCTGAGTACTGTGCTCAATTCAATGCGGAGTGTGAAAGCGATGGGATTATCGGAGGCCATCGCCAAGTACATTAATGAATTGCGGGACAAGGAAATTGATAGATCCAAGCATGTTAGATGGATGCAGGTTCTGTACAATGCCAGCGGTAGGTTTTTTGAGAGCTTTGTCCACCTGAAGCAATGCTAATGAGAGCCAGCGAATGCGAATGGACTCTTTACTCCAGTAATAACGGTGGTCTTGTACGCGATGTTGGCAGCCTCCAGGGGTGAAAGACTGGATACCAAAACGGCCTTTACAACAGTGGCAATTTTGTCGTTGGTAACTCATCCGGCGAATATGATGATGACCATTTTCCCTAAATTTGTCGGCATTATGGCCAATGTTGATCGAATTCAGTCATTTTTGCTTGAACCTTCACGGGTTGACTGCAGAAAAATCATCGACGGAAGCCAATTTACAGAAACAGAAAACTGTACAGGAATACGCCTTGACGATGTTACAGTCAAGTTCAAGAGCACCACCGCCGCTACTCTAAAGCATATCAATCTGAACCTTCCAAAACATTCGATAACTGCTTGCGCGGGCCCGACTGGCTGTGGGAAAACAACACTGGCCAAGACGATACTGGGTGAGGTTTCCCCGGTCCAAGGTATCGTGACGGTCTCCTCGAGGCGTATTGCATACTGTGATCAGCGCGTTTGGATCCCAATTGGTACCATTCGAGATATAATTTGCACTTTTGCAACCAAGGTCGACGAGAGCTTGTACCAAGAGGCCTTAAGAGTCTGCTGCCTCGACTATGACCTTCAAAGACTGCCCGACGGAGACAGGACTGTAGTAGGAAGCCAGGGAGTCAACCTCTCTGGTGGCCAGCGGCAACGAATAGTAAGCTATTCACGGGGAAATCCCGCCCTGAGAACCAGGGCATGCTGACTGTGTTTAGGCATTAGCTCGCATGGTCTACTCTGGTGCAAGCATTGCTGTTCTAGACGACCCGTTTAGTGCTCTTGACGGCGTAACAGAAAATAAAGTAGTCGACAATCTTTTGGGAAAGAATGGGTGGTTTCGAAGGGCCAAAGTGACTGCCTTCATTATTACCTACGCAGGTCAGTGGGATCTTCTGCTAATGCGATACCTCAAGGATAAACACTAACCGGCAGCCACTAGCACAACACTTCCAACATTCAGACGGAATCATTCTTCTTCAGGATGGCCACATTTCCGCACAGGGAGACTGGCGGGCCATTAAGAGCCGTGCATCAGAGATGTTAAAATTTAACTTTGAAGAAACCCAATCCTCGACTGTTGAGCCAACAGGCAAGAGTCAATATAGCACCGCAAAACAAGCGGAGACTGACGCGGATAAGGACCTGCACCGAAGTGTCGGGGATATGACGCTCTATAGTAAGTGTACATAAACTCTAAGGACACCTGTTGCTGATGATTTTGCCTTGCAGGTTATTACATACGATCTGTTGGGGTTTGGAACTTCCTGCTGTTGGCAACTTGCACGGCCCTGTACGCCACTTTCAATACTTTCACCACATACTGGTTCAAGTTATGGACCGAGAGTGATGGTGATCGCGTGGTATTCTATATTGTTGGTTACGTTCTGCTAGCATTCACGGCATGGGCTGCTACTAGTGCAAATCTGTGGTGAGGGAGGAGAAGACAGCTCTGTGACATACGATAAGACTCTGACTATCAGCCGCTAGGAGCACTTTTATTCTTCTTGCACCGAGGTCCGGAAGACTGCTTCACCAATCACTTCTCACAACTACCATGGCGTGGGTGAACTTGACGTAGAACATTTGAACGAGTAAGGGGCTAATCAGGTATAGTGCGCCTCTGCTGTACTTTTCCTCCACGGATGTCGGGATTGTTCTTAATAGGTACCGCTTTCTCCTTACGTTGTTTTGAAAAGATACATTTGCGCTAATTGCAAAGCTAGGTTTAGCAAAGACATCTCGCTTGTAGATAGGCAGCTACCCCTGGCATTATCAAACTTGTGCTCTCGTACGTATTTTCACTAGCAATCAGTATACTCTTGGGCTGATTATGTTCAGAAATCTTCAAAATGCTGGCTCAGGCTGTGATCCTAATGCAGGTTCAGAGGCTCCTTCTTGTTACTCTTCCAATATGCATAGTCATAGTCTACCTGGTTCAGAGAATATATCTCCGGACCTCTAGGCAACTTCGAGTTTTGGAATTAGAATCTTACTCCTCTTTGAATTCATGGTTCCTCGAAACAGTAGGTAATGTGTATCACAGTTGCCAACTATTCTCGCTAATGTTTGTTAGACGGAGGGCCTTGTGTCCATTCGAGCGTTTAACTGGATCAAACCTGCCACTGGCAAGAACCTGGAGAATCTCGAAACCTCAATACGTCCGTCTTACTCTTTGGTTTCGCTTCAATGTTGGCTCAATCTTGTACTCGATCTCCTGGTTAGTTGCATCGCGATCGGCATCATTCTAATCGCTGCCTTGTGGAGAAGTGAAACGTCCGCAGCAAATGTCGGCGTCTCTCTGAACTTGATTCTTGTGGCGAACACGACGCTAGTACGTCTTGTTGAGTCATTTACGCAACTGGAAGTATCGCTTGGGGCTATTGCTAGATTGAACGAGGTCGAAACCCAAACGCCGAGTGAGGATAGGCCGTGGGAGGACCAGGTTCCACCCAGTTCATGGCCCGAGAAGGGATCCTTGACGCTGAGTGGTTTCAGTGCAGGATATAAGTATGCTCTAGATATCCAGTGACTATGGAATGACCAGCTGACAAAATCAAGCGACGATCACAACGTGCTGAGGGATATTAATCTGAGTGTTGGTCGGGGTGAGAAACTGGTGATTTGCGGTCGCACAGGAAGGTATGATATCCCTCAAGTGCTAAGAATGCGCACAGAGCTTGCTAATAAAATGTACGGTAGTGGCAAGAGCACCATTCTCCTAGGGATACTCCGTCTGATAGAAAGCTCTGGAGAGGTTGAGATAGATCGACGACTACTATCCCAAGTTCCCCGAAACATAATCCGAAAACGCGCCTTCATAACGGTCCCCCAAGAGCCACTATTCCTTCCTTCTGCATCTCTAAGCTTCAATCTGGACCCGGACGCTCAAGCCTCTGAACAAATGTTACAGGAGGCGCTCCAGAGTGTTGGCATATGGGATGTCGTCTGCGAGATAGCCCGTGGAAAAGACTCGGATCCTTTGTCTCAGCCTGCTTCATCTCTCCAAGCACTGTCTGCTGGACAACTCCAGCTCATATCCATGGCCCGTGCCATAGTAAAGATGAAAATAATAAGCCAAGGAGTTGAGTATAAAGACGGTGGAGTCAATGTAGACTCCCCGAAACCAATACTTGTTTTAGATGAGGCAACTGCATCTTTGGATGCAGAGACGGAAGGAAGAATCTATGACATCATCGAAAGTGAGTTCGTTGCAGATGGCCATACGGTAGTTATCGTAGCACATAGGATAAGTGTCTTGGCGAAGACAATGCGCCCAGGGAAGGATAAGGTAGCCTGGCTGCAGGATGGGAGAGTGGTCAAGGTTGGGGACTATGAAGAGATTGTCAAGTTTGCCTCATCGACTGCTATCGGCGAGGGGCAGTAACAACCCTGGCCCCTTGAGCATAGTTGAATTTGAACTTGGTTAATCCTGCAGTTATGATGCACGGGCATAACAAACATACACCAAACCAAACCATTAGACAAAGCAACTTATCAAGGCTCTATCGTCCTAGATCCCGATGCGTTGAAAAAGGAATACAGTAAATCGAGAAACCCACAGCCACTGTAAAGACGGATTTCGAGATGGAACTCTGAGAGCCACTTTAGATGACCCGACGCAAAGTCGGAAACATATCCAACAACAACTTTGCGACCCCAAATGAGCAGTAGACATTGACAGCTCCGACAACAATGGTCATGGCAGAAGGTGCCAACCACCGCCACAGAGAATGAGAAACCAGTGAAACGGATTTGCAGTCGTCACACCACAAGAGTCGATCAAACACCACCTCCGAAACGGTGTTGACAAGCGTGTGCATGAGGAACGCGCCGTAAGAGTACCTGGCCTGGAATAAGCTAGACTTTGCGGGTCTGTTGTGCCATGCTGCGAAATATGTAAGCAGTGCCGGGCAAACGATTATAAATGAAAGCTCGTTCCAGAGGGCGTAGAGGAAAGCCGCAACGTTCCATCCACCACGGATATCAGTCACGGACTGCGCCATCCGATTTCTACCCGCATCTTGAAATAGATATGGTATCCAGACAACGGGCAGTGTACCTAGGGATACTAGTGCTGCGGCAACAACGGAAAGCGACGAGTTGTCAGATTTACCGTCCGAGGCCGCAGCTACGTCCTTTCCACTCGTCTTGCCCAACGCAACCCCCCCCATGAAGGAAGTGCCATACTTCCACGACGCGTGTCCCATGGTATATGCCAAAATGTATTGAGAGGCATAGGCTGGTTGGAGAGCTATGATTTTGAGATTCGCACCAAGGGGGTAGTAAAGACGCGCAAGGAAGCTGAGCGCCGCAGCGCCGATCCACCCGTACCTGGCAAGCCAGACATACCAAGAAGGAGGGCTTTGGTGGTCGTCATTTCCGGCAGTGTGATTCTCCTCCTTCTCGTTACGCATGGCCCTTGTTTCCGCCCTCGGTGCCATCAGGGCGGTTACACTATCCATGATGAGCAAGTTGACAGTATACCACGTCGGGCCTCGAATACCACGCATCGTTGAAAAGTACTCTGCCAGCCGGGCAGAAATGGAAGAAAGTGACGGTTCCTCCAGCGCGACTAGATGGCTCGCTGGCTGGACGACTAGTGTGTACAGAACAGCAACCAGGCCCAACCTCAAGGACTTGCTCTTTATAAATGCCCACCGGGTTCGGCATGGGTCCTGGTCTATCCGCTCAAGGGACTGTGCCGAGACACGTCCGGATATCCAGAAGAAGAGGCCCATGAAAAACGATTGATTGAAGGCGGCCGCGATGGTTGGAGGGATATCCGCCCCGGGGAACGCAAGTCTTGTCACGGCTGACCGGAACGGAGCCCTTCCTGGTGCTCCATATGTGACGGCTGTGTGATGCACGATGACAAGGCCAGTTAGAAAGGTGCGCAGGTTGTCGAGATCGTGGCGACGTAGTGAGGTGGTGGCTTTTGATGCTGCATGGTTCCGTGTTCCGCTGCGCCGGCTAGAAAGTGTCATGTTTTCTTTCTACCCCCTTTGTTCGAGAAGAAGTTTGCAATGGTCTCGGGACTGGGCAGCCTCATTATATTGATAAATGGTAAAGGTGCTGGCTTGAAGCATTCCTGTTCGGGTAGACCGGAACCCTCAGGTCAGATTATCGGTGTGTGAAGGAACAATGTTCGTCCTTGCTGACGGGCAGTGACGGCCATCTTGGTTGGTCAGAATTTTCAAGACGGATGTACATCCTCCAGGTCAAACGTCATATAGAGCTAGATGCAAATATTAATGTTTTGATTTCTCCTCAAAAGCAAGCTGCCTGGTGGTTGCGGCGGGAGGATAAAGCGTCGACATGCACGACAGTGATGACACTGCCGCCATGTGTACTTTTAGGATATTTTGACCGAAATCAAGCGGAAGAGACTTTCAACTGCTGCTGATGAATTCAACGGGAACGACTGCTGATTGTTGCCGGCACCGATAGGGGGCTATTGAAGTAATAATCTGATTGCGACAAGATGGGAAGACTCGGGACAATGTTGCCCTCTGTTGATGGTCACGTGATCGCGTGATGGCAAACAGACTCGCGTTCGGATGAAAACCCATCCGCACTTTCTTCTTTCTCCTGTCTGCTTCTTGGAGCAATCAAGAACATCGGAATAGAGCATGATTTTGCAATCCTCACCTCTACACGTAGCCTTTCTTTACCATCAATGAACTCGGCAGACAAGTCTTGAAAGCGCATCAAGTCACTTCGAGGGAGACGCAACTATAAACAGTGGTATTGCCTTTGCCAATGACACCACCGACCATTATTCACCCCTTTGATGGCTCGTGTAGCGACTGACTGTACAGTGTCAGTACTACTGCCACTACTCGTATGTACCTGTGGCTATTTACAACCATTGACTCCCCCTCCCGGCTCGTCTAGAAGCTGCTGGACGCCCAGCCATTGAGAACGTTGTAGTTCTCCAAGGGCGAGGTTCCGCGAAGCGTCTCATAATGAACCCTGCCGCCGCACTCGGCGCCGTTGTATACGTGGGCACATTCACCCTTCAACAAGGCGGCAACTTGGGATCCAGCCTCCATTCCCTCAAACCAGGCGCCATGTAGGAATCCAAAATTCTCGGCGCTGGTGGCCTCGCCTGCGAACCACAACCGGCCCGTGTTTGCCCGCAGGTTCTGGTGCATCTCGAGGGTGGTGCCGATGGGCCAGTTGGAGTAGCTGCCAAAGCACCACGGCGCCTTTGTCCAGCGAGGATACATAAAGGCCAGCGGCTCGGGAACCGTGACGTTGGGGAACATTTGCCGCAGAACCTCGAGCGCCTCGTCCTTGGTCTGCTCGTCCGTCTGCTGTTCCACTCTGTAGGACCCCTCCTCGGTGACGGTGGCAAAGATGATGTTGGAGCCGGGCATGAAGCCCTCGGTCGAGAGAGACTGCCACACGGGGTAGTATCCGCGCGTCGTGGGAGACGCGTACAGGAAGTACTGCGAGTCCGTGGGCCAGAAGGTCTCGTTGAACTGCATGAAGATCTTGGTGTAGGTGCCCATGCTGAACTTTTGAATGGCGACCCGTTTCCACTCAGGGAGCTGCGGCTCAAAGGCGACGGCGTTGTTTTGGAGAACGCCAAGGGAGAAAGTGCAGATGGCGTAGGCGGCCGAGATGCATGAACCGTCGCTGTTGTGGATGGTGACGCCGTCGTCCGAGTAGGTGACATTCGTGATTTGGGTCTTGAGAAGCAGCCGGTTGTCGTTCTTGTTGAGAAATGTGTTTGACTCCTCTTCAATGATGTGCCTGTAGCCCCGGGGGTCAATGACGAGGTTGTTGTGGTCGCTGAACTGGTGGAAAGTGAGGTTGTCACTGGCAGCACCGAATATCAGAGACGACTCTTCTGGAGTCAACGCGGCGTCCCAATCTATTTGGAGCAGCAAGTCAGCTTCTTCAGCTGGTTTATGACAATGGGAAAATGCTGGTACGCACCCCAGTTCCACCACTCAACTGCCTGGCGCTTCATATCGGTGTGCTTCGGGTTCCATCCAGCCATGGCAAGACCGGCGCGGGTGGTTTCGTCTTGAGCATTCTCTGCGAGCATACGGCCGGCCCTTACGGATGCTTTGGTCCACGCTTCGTCATATTCGTCAAGTATGTCGCTGTAATCAGTGTAGCCAGTTTCATCGTAGGTCAACATGGAAGTATAGTCGGAGAAGGTGTTCTTCAGGTTGTACTTTTTGGCCTGGGGCTGGGCGTTAGCTGATAATGGATAGGGAAACACCGCATTACGTTTTTTGCGTGATCAAGTGGTCCTTACCAAGGTCCAGATAGGGTTCTCTACGTCTCGGGTTACTATCTTGTTATCAAAGCTGAAAGGGTTGACCACGTACCTGGGCCACCTGGACGGCCAAGACCCTGAATCTGATTTCAAGTTTATTAGTCTCGATGGTAACCGCGGGAAAGACCGTCATGATAGACACACACCCAGTTTGGTCCCAGCTCAACCACATAAGGTGAGCCATCCTCCTTTTTGCCAAAGTTGGTCTGTGTAGCACGGCCGCCAACTCGGTCATTGTACTCTATGATGACGAAGTCGGTGATGGAGTTATTTGAGAGTGCTTGCTGGTGTTAATGTGTTAGTCTTTTTTGTTGTTTGGCATGGAGCGAGGGCTTTCGACATACTGCGGCGGTTATGCCCGCCATACCGCCGCCCCTGAATGTGTGTTAACGATGGCTCGTCACAAGTCATGGTCGACTTACAAGATGGCAACGCTGGTTTTTCTGCAAGTCGCATCCTTGGGAGCAGATTTAGCAACATGAGCATGAGCCGACGGAATGGCAACCGCCGCAATGGCAAAAAGTGCGGTGGAATGTTGTAGATGCATCTTGACGCGCACAAGATGGAGACATGGAGCAGGCGAGTTCGGCTAAACTAGACAGATGAACGCAATCAGCGTCCTTTTGTATATTTGCGGCGATCGGCATGTACAAAATGCTCCGGCACATTCGAACGGCTATCTTCTTTCCCTGCTAAAACACCCATGTCCTTGCTGTGTTGTACCGGCTCTTCCTGGAAACCCGGGTCATGGACAAACCAAATACTGGAAGGGAACTCGTATCGGGCAAGGCGATGGTTGACAGGCCTAGGCTGCATATCAAAAAGTTGAACTGGGTTAGTCTTTGGAAACCCTTCCCGACGGGGGGAGTCGGGTGTCTCAGCAATATTGGTTCTTCCCAGCCATTGTGTAACTAACTACTAGTCGATGCATTTCGTACGCCATACGCCAAGAGATAGGAACCGTGGTCATCTGGCTGCAATGCAAGGCCATGTGTCTTAGGTCTTGACTCTTGACAATGTGAGCCGACTCGGCCCTTAGGCTGGTCACCGGCGGCCGCCGCACCTTGTCATGCTAGACAAACGCGCGCATAACTCTACTTAACCTCGCCGGATCCCAGTTACCTCCACTTGGCCGGATCTGCAGGACTAGCTTCTCCATTCTGTGTGGCATGAACTAATAGGCTTTTGAGGGGAAGCGGCATGATTCCCACTTCCCCGCAGCCATCATCAATAGTTGTACATAGACTTAGGACTGTATATATGTACTACTCGCTTATCACAGCCCGGATGACCAGACTCTCCTTGGCCAAACTAGCCCCCGTATCTCGGGTCTCGAGGCTGTGCTATCTCAATGGAGTAGGGTGCCCATAGGTTTGGTCATTGGTTGAGTCGGGTTACATCGATCATCACTCTTACGTCTCTCCGGCTGCATATTCATCCCCAACTATCAGCATCACAAGAACGGGCCGGGACGGCGCCCGAAATGTCTCTCATTCGGTTCTCCGCGCGTGCCGGCAATTCAGTAAACGTGGCGGACACGGGTCTTGAATCTCTCCGTTTGTTTCCCACTGCTCAACTCAAACTGTGCTTGGTGCCGTCATCAGTCTCTGAACCGACATCTTGGAAACGCCACAAAAGAAAAGTACCGTGAATAATGAAAAACAGGACCATGAAGGAAGGGTACGAGCACGAAGACGACACCCAGTTGGCGGCGATGGGTCATCGGCCCGAACTACAGCGAAACTTTTCTACATTGTACGTACTTGTGAGGCCTGGTCGTGAATCGTGACGCAAGCTGACTCGAGCCGTGCGATACAGGTCTATGCTGGGTCTGGCCTTTGCCGTGCTAAACGTCAGTAGACACCTCCAGAAACCAACCCCAGCCATGGACACGGGAGCTCAAACCTAACGGCGAGTTATGAGTAGTCGTGGACAGCCCTATCGGCAAGTCTTTCGGTCAGTCTGACGTCCGGGGGAAGCACGAGCATCATTTGGGGTAGGTGGCACCGTTCCCGAATTTGAGACGTTGCTCGACAAACTCGGATTGTTTCCCTTTCGGCATGTACTGACACGCACAATGCAGGCCTGGTCACGGCCGGAGTATGCAACTTGTGCATTGCAGCCTCTTTGGCTGAGTTTTTGTCCGCCTATCCCACGTAAGTACATTTGAACCCCTGTCAGTGACGTTGTCTAGGACAGTGCTGATTTGTTCAAACGCAAAATAAAGGGCTGGTGGACAGTATCATTGGGTGGCTGGTAAGTTGAGACCTTGTGTTGGCGAAGCATTTACATGAGTCACGTTGTATAACAAGAATTCAGTCGGTACGAACAGTCAGCCGCAAAGAGGATGTTGCCGTTACCTCCCTTTTTTAACATGTGAATAGTATCTTGGCCTAAATGGGTTCCTATACTGTCTTGGATCACCGGCTGGATCAACGTCGCGGGATGGGTATGTCTTGTGGTGCCGTCGTCTTCCTTCTTTAAAAAGAAAAACCTAACGGATCCCGTGCCAGATTGCCCTGGTCGCTACAAACGCTTTATTGTCCAGTCAGTTGATTGTGGGAATCATTTCCGCTCTTCATCCGGCATGTTTGAGATGGCTCACATCCTCTCACCAAATCAACTCCTAACTAGAATCCAGGCATACGACCCGCAAAGATGGCACCAATTCCTGATTTACATCGGACTGACCTTGCTGTCCTTCGTTATAAATGCTTCCATGAACTCGCTGCTTCCTGTTATTTACCACGGGGCCTTCATGTGGTCGATTGGTGGCTTCGTCATCGTGTCCATTACTGTCCTGGCATGTGCGTCGCCCGATTTTAACTCGGCCTATTTTGTTTTCTGCAACTTCATCAACCAAACAGGCTGTAAGTTTCGACACACCATCCCAGGATGAACAATTTCAACGCGCAAATAAATAAATAACAACTAATGGGTGAACAGGGCCTGATGGTATTGCCTGGCTGCTCGGTGTTCGTAGTCTTCCTCCATCAGTGTACTGGACCTCTTGGGCTGATGTGATGTAGCTTCTCCAAGGCGGACTTGGCGTCACTGCTTTTGTTAGTATCCCGTTGTCAGTATGCAACGAAGAGAGTCGGCTGACGGCAATACGACGTAGGATGCGGTCGCACACATGATTGAAGGTAAGTGTTAACCGGTCGCGCAACCATACCCATCGGACATTTTAACCATGTGTACCCAGAGATCCCCCATGCTGCTGCCGAGGGACCCAAAATCATGGTCGTCTGTGTCGGAATCGGCACATTCACCGGCGCAATTTTCCTCATTGTCTTGTTGTTCGTCTCCGGGAACATCGACGACGTCATCAGCTCCAGCGCTGGTCCGCTGCTTCAGATCTTGATTCATGCGACAAAAAGCAACGCCGGAGCCATATGTTTGCTGATGTAAGTTTTCATCAAGCCTTCATGACACCGATTTGTGCTAATCTTTGCGAGGCTGCCGCTGGTGTGTCTTGTCTTCGCAACGCTCAGTGTAATGACAACTAGCAGCCGAATGATCTTTGCATTTGCAAGGTACGAGCGCGACCAGTCCCAAGCCAACTACAATCTTTCTGTTAAAAATATCCCCTTTTGACTGATGCAACACAGGGACGGTGGTCTGCCTGCCTCGAAATTCTTCGCCAAGGTTCATACCAGACTCGGACTTCCCCTGAACGCTCTGATCCTCACCTCGGTTATTGTGATCCTATTTGGCCTGATATTTCTAGGTTCAACCAGGTACAACGTGTTTTATTTCCCCCTGAACACTGAAAAAACCACTGACGTCATACAGCGCCTTTAATGCCATCATCTCGGCATCCGTTGTTGCCCTTGATCTATCATATGCAATGCCCATTGCTGTAAATTTCATTCAGGGTCGCAATGCTCTGCCGGACCGAAAGTGGAAGCTGCCCCGGTGGTTCGGATGGACCGCTGACTGCATTTCACTGTCATATATTTCACTCACCACGGTATTGTTTCTATTCCCCCCCGGACTCCCTGTAACGGGGAGCAATATGAGTAGGTGGCCTGCCAAAACACCATGACCCTGTCGTGCTAATCACAACTCCAGATTACTGCATTGTTGCATTTGCCATCATCATCACAATATCTGTTTTTCAATGGATCGTAGATGGACGGAAGAACTTCACAGGGCCGCGAGTGAACCTCGTTCCAGAGCGCGCGATGCAACCTCCCACCCAGTCTTGATCTGACCGTTGTCCGGTCGACATTTTCGGAGTCCTGCATCTCAAGTGCGTAATGGAAATGTCAACCGGCCACGTATGAAGCAGATACTGTAGGGGTAACACATCACAATGGCGTGTTTGAGGGTTGTACAACTGAAAGCTACAGGCAAGTTGGGTGGAAAACAAACCAAGCCACAGTAGCGAAATACTATGGCACCAATACGCAGTCTCGGATAAGCAATGTGACACTTTAATGGGGTGAAATGGCTGCAGCAATGTCGGTCCTCTCCCAACGTGACACAAAACAACGAACCACGTACATAGACATTGGGCATATGTAAAGCGCACCAGATTCGGAAGGCATCAACGGTGGCGAAGATAAAATATGAATTGTCATTATGACTTATATATACGGAGTATTCCACTCAGAAACTTTAAAGGGGGTCATTCAAGACAGACTTGCGTCGAGTTCCAAAACAATAGTTTCCGGAGCACAGTCTCATCATGGACCCAAACTGGTGTCAGGGCTTCCCTCGTGATGATGTGCTCATCAAACTCGTCGAGGTTAGCGACTCTACAGCGGAACCTATAGTACACGATGCCTACGGTCTAGACAAGACCTATGGCGAGGTGTTGGCGGATATCCTGGAAACCCGCGACAGAATTCGCAAAGCCGCTCCGGCGTCGAGTCTCGACAGCCGCGGCATGCTCTGTGAAGCTGCACCGTATGCAGGATTCCTTGGACTCTCCGGATACGAGTTCATTGTTGCCTTCTTTGCCACGCGAGCTCTAGGCGGCGCATGCATGCCATTTGGTACAGTGTCTTGCAAGGTCCAACACGCACCAGTTTGATACTAATGCAATTCATCACGATAGGGGCCGGCATCTTACCACAGGAAGCGCACTCATTCCTCTCCAGATCAATGGCGTGCGTATTGCTTCTCGGCAAGGACAGAGTAGCCCAGGGACAGCAAACCAAGGAGTACAGTCAACAACACGACTACGACTTCAGACTCGTTCGCGTATCAACCGATGCGCCACCCGTCGCCAGCAACTCCATCACCATCGACCACTCCATCGAACTAGATGACGGCGGCCCTGGATTCGTCATCTTCACGTCGGGAACCACCGGTCCACCCAAGGGGGCGGTTCTCCCGCGAAGATGGCCCCCAATTGAAGACACACTCGAGCCGGGAAGCGCGACCATCTGCGACCGCCCGCCTCACTGGATCGGAGGAGCCTATCCAATGCTGCAAAGCATCTTGATCCGTCGTCGCATGTACATTCTCAAGTACGGCGCCACGGCTTCCGATATATGGGATGCCTTTAGAAGCCACAGAATTGACCACATGTCTTTCAGTCCTGGCATTTTCCGGCGCATGAAGCAGGACTACCAGGATCGAATCTGCAAGTTTCCCGAAGATGAGCAGAGGCTGTACGTGCAAGGAATTCGAAATTTGAAGACGCAGTGGCAGGGCGGCGGCATGCCTTCGGTCTCGATGCTGGACTTCTGGCGAAACCTCATCGGAAGACCGATCGGGATGCAATACGGATCTACAGAGCTTGGCGGGACGGTGACAGGACATGACGGACTTTCCAAGATCAAGGTGCGTCTGAGCTTCTGTCCCTCGATCAAGAATCCCACCGCAGAGTCTAATCGAACGTGAGCATCAAAGTACTCCATTGGAACCCCTTTCCCAGGCATTCATCTCAAGTTATCTAATGGAGACAGCGGCGCCATCTTTGCCAAGAGCCCTACAATAATGACCCAGTATGTCTAGAATATATCTCAAATACATGGTCACGTAAAGAAGGCTAACACCCGTAATCGCGAAAAGCTACATCGGGGACGAGGGCGCCACCAAAAAGGCCTTTGACAGCGAGGGATACCTGGAATCCGGGGACATTGGCCACATGCAAGACGGCGAGTTGATCTACGACGGGCGAGCCTCCAACGAATGTATATCTCCCCCTGACGTGACGTGTTTTTTTGATCCTTGCCACTGATTCGAATACAAACAACCAGACATATTCTTTGACGGGTACCGAATCCCCATATTGGCGCTCGAACACGCACTGGATGACCTCCCGTATATATCAGAAGGCTACATCGTCGCGGTGCCGGACCACGAGGCCAACGAGCTTTGTGGCGCGCTTGTTCGCGTACAAAACACCGACAATGACGAAAAGGTCACCTTGGAAAAGATACGGTCTGATCTCGCCGAAAATCACGCCACGTACACGCTGCCAGTGGTGCTTCGCATTCTGAGCGACGACGAGCAAGTGCCCTTTACCATAACCAGAAGCCCATGAGGAAGCAGGCCGCAAAGAAATTCTTCCTAGTAGACGACTACTGGTCCATTGAGAACCCCACGCCAGGCGTCGAATATTGGAATAACAAGATTGAGAGCAGACAACACACCGGAAGGACTTGGGATTGGGCCGGGCTGCAACGGTGAATTACGCAGCGAGGACGGTTTGGGCCTGGATGAGCAGTTGCACGACGTCAACTCGTATTCCCAAGTGTCTGTGAAGCACACATCATCAGTAATCGATTTGTAGAATAAAAGACAATATAATGCAGTGTACCCCGAAAAAAAATGCACCATGTCCGTTTCGGCCATCCATGTGAAACGCGAGATAATACACTGGTGGCAAGATCGGTCTTTGTTACACACGGAGGTGATACGGCAATGATGCTGTGCGTTGAATTGATGGCGTATGAGGTGTGACATGTCAAATCGGGTGTTTGTCTATCTTTCATATCGTATTTCACATCGAATGACAATAAACTGCGAGCCGCCGATTGCGCTGCGTAAGCCGAAAGCGGCAGTACAGAGCCCTTTGCTCCTTGGCAAAGGACATGATGCTGCTTTTTTTTTTGCTTAGTTCTGAATTTTTCCAAGAAATGCCGTTTCAAGTGCTTCCCTTGTCTCTATTGGGTAGCTTGGCCGTCGTTGATGTCCCCGTCCATGGAAAGCTGCCCGCGATATTTCAGTTTAATTGTTTGATGTAGATCAGCATGACGCAAGAGCCAAAAACTGCAGAGCTGGGTCAAGGACTACCGCCAACCGATATACATGTGAGTCCATATCGAAAGTTGGAAAGATATTTACTGACGGAAATCCCAACGCCAGGCTGTGAGCGTGTCCCTTCCGAAATGGCGAGATGCCACGGGTTGGGCGACCAAAGATCCCCAGGTCCTTGCACATTTGAAGACGGGATACCCAAGATTCTATATTCATCCATTCATCGAAAGACTCGCTACATTGCTGCTGCAATTATTGATGAAGAGTAAGTCAGTGGCGAGCTCAGTCGGAGAGATATATGGGGAAGAGTCGACAGCGGCAGCTGCCGCTATGCTATTTCCACACGCAAGTTTGGGCACCTCTTGTCGCGATTACTTGCAGCGGGCTGAGTCAAATCCTTCAAATAAGCTTGCAATCTTTGCTTTTCAAGTGGACTTTGCTGGTGAAGTGCAAAATATCCATTTGAGAGTTGCCAAGTCAACTTCAGGGGCATTCCAGAGCCTCTGTATCGTAGTGTTCCCACATGATCTGTCCAAGGAAGCCAAGATGTTCTGGCAACACACCGGCTTTGGAGTTACGAGCCGGCATGCTCTTTATTGGTTGGAACGGGCGCCTTGTCTTGGTGAAGTGGTGGCAAGCATCCGTCAAGACGGCAAGTTGCCGCTCGACGATGCAAAACAAGCCGCAACCAAGATCAAGAATCGAATATCTGAATTGCTATCTTCAGAGAGAAGCACGGTTGAGACACAGGATGTGTTTTTATATCCAAGTGGCATGTCCGCAATAGCCCACTCTGCGTCTGCTCTTCAAGAGTTGTATAAAGGCTCATCCGACTCAATTCGAGTTGCTGTTTTTGGGTAAGCGGAGAAACACCAGAAGCATATCTTAAGGCGCCCACACGGCTCACTCCAGTACGATAGCTTCCTATACGTAGACACGTTCAAGGTTCTCAGCAAAGTCAAACAAATCGAGTGTGTCCTCTACGGACATGCGTCCCCTGCAGACATGGACCAGTTGGAGCACGACCTCCAGGACGGTATGGAAATACATGCCTTATATACCGAATTCCCAGGAAACCCTCTCCTCGGCTCACTCAACCTCGAACGTCTCTATAAGCTCTCACAGAGATTCAACTTCCACGTCATCGTGGACGACACTGTCGGTACAGCAGTCAACCTAGACCTCGCCGCCTTTTGCGACGTACTCTGCACAAGCCTTACCAAAATGTTCAGTGGTGCCTGCAACGTCATGGGCGGCAGCTTGACCATCTGCCCAAACTCCAAGTCCAAACGTGCCCTACACAGCACCTTGACAAGCCAATATAGTGACACATACTTTCCTCTCGACTTGCTTGTCATGGCCCAAAACAGCAAGGACTTTGCGGAGCGGGTTCACATTGCTAATGGAAACGCCGAGGCGATAGCCGCCAAGTTGAGAGACCACCCGGTTGTAGACAGAGTATTCTATCCCAGGGGCAGCGCAACGCAACATTTGTACGATGGTTACCGACGTAGACGACCACGAGCCAGGGAAGACGAGGACGGACAGGACCAGGCACAAGCAGGATATGGCTATCTGCTTTCAATCCGATTCGTCCAGGATTCAGCCGCCATGGCCTTTCACGATGCACTGGACGTGGCCAAGGGACCAAGCCTTGGCACCAACTTTACGTTGTGTTGTCCGTACACGGTACTTGCGCATGCGTCGGAGCTGGCATGGGCATCAGAGTTTGGCGTTGTCGAGCATTTGGTTCGTTTGAGTGTGGGAATTGAGAGGAGAGGAGAGTTGGAGGGGGCTGTGGATAGGGCATTGGAGGTGGCTGCAAAGGCGGCACAAGCAGAGTAGGCGGTTGGATGAAAGGGCGAGGAAGTCAATTAAAAAGAAGAGTCGCCATGGCATGATGGTTGTGCTGCGTGCACCGTTCATCCCCATGTCCTGGCGAATCAGGCAACCCCGACTGGAAATGCTCCTTCCCTCTGTTTGACGGTACGCACGACCAGCAGACGTTTCCTTTTTCCTTCCATGTTTTTTTTTTTTGAACTGCAAATCTCAACCCAAAACATTGACGTGGTTACAACGCAATGCCAGAGTGCAAATTCCCAAGTGGTCGCCACCACATAACTCACGTGCCTCTACGAAGTATTCCTCCGATTTCTTCATTGCCATTCCCCCGGTCCCATGCAGATGTCCGAAGTGCACGCAATTGTTGACTGCATTCAAGTAACGTCACATCGGACAGCAAGCCACCCCAACCCCACAATCCCTTCAGTCTGCTCAACCCTCAAGGGATGTACTAAGCTCAATCTCATACCCCGGCCTGGAAAACAAAACAATAGCAGGCTCCGGAGCTTCTCACAAAACCTCTCGCAGCTAAGTAGTCGTCAACTGGACCTGTTCTGCATCTTATCCCTGTTGATATTACCCCAATTGCTGAGCGGGGTTGGGAATGTTCATTCCGGTAACCCCAGCTTCACAGGAAGCCGAATCGTGAAGCCCGGCCTTGGAATAAAAGGCTGCCGACATTCCCATCGATTCTTCGACTCTGACACCCACGTCGCCTACTCCGTAGTCCCTCTATATATCGAGATCAAGGTACACCCGCCACCGTGAAAATGGCCCGTCTTCTCATGATTGCAGCTCTCGCCTCTTCCGTCTTGGCCACCCCAACCAACTGCGACCCCAAAGTCCCCTCTGTCACTGTCCCAGCATGCTCTCGCGGCGTCGGCACAGTCAAATACGACAAGACTGTCCCCGACCTCAAACCATTCCCTCGCACCCAGGTTGACCTCTGCTATACCGACACTCACCTGGACATCAAGTTCACCGCCCGCGACGAGGTCAACTTCTACTTTAACTCGTCCCAAGGCACCAATGCCGACATCTGGGAGTACGAGGTCATGGAGGCCTTTATATACAAGGGCACGGACAACCCGCAGACTTACTTTGAGTTCGAAGTGAACCCCAACAACGTCACCTACCAAGCCTTTGTGTACAACCCGTCCAAAGTTCGCGCCGATGGCGCCCCCTTTGACCACTTCTTCGTGTCGGACCCTCCTGCCGACGGGTTTAGCGCTGTGACCGAGCTCGACAAGCCGAATCAGTTGTGGGTGAGCGATGTCAAGATTCCCCTGGGCTTGTTCAATGTCGACAAAGGCCAGGCAAAGGGTACACAGTGGAGGATGAACTTCTTCCGAACCGTTGTCAGCCCGCAGACGTATCCTGATCAAGAACTTGGCGCGTGGAGTGTCCCCAACAAAGCGAGCTTTCACATTACTCCCTACTTTGGCCATGTGAAGTTTGTGTAAGCCGTTGGAGGGATACTTTGTAATTAGGGGAAACATACTCATATGGCTAAATCAACACTCGAATGGGGTTTCCTCGTGCACAAGTCCATCACTCTACAGATATTGCAAATTGGAAGCATGTAGTGTCTACTAAATCGTAAAAGCGAACTGGACATCCGAGGCAATCCTGGTAGTTGTGGTGCCCGGGCCTTTTGTTTCTCACGTGGTGGCGAAATACTCCGGCTCGTCCACATGGGCGTGTAGCGCAGACACCGCTCTTTCAAAGATGCTTTCTATTACATCGTCACAGGGGCTTATATAAAGACCCCTTGGGACCCAACAGTTGTCGACTCATCCCGAGTTGATTCCTCACTATTACACGATTCTGACGGACAAAAATGGTCCGTCAACATAATGCGGGATCCATGCGGGATCATCGCCAATGGCCGTGCGCTTTCGCTGTAATATCCCGTCAAGAATTCATCGCAAAGAGGCAACTTAATCAAGAGAGAGTATATCCGAGGCATAGCCTTGGGTCTTGTCGAGGAACTGCACCTATACAACGGTTAGTACTATCTCCTCACAGCCTCGGGGGAATAGCACACGAACACGGTTTGCACCTTTGCCAGATCACGATATATTTGGGGACCGTATGAGAATCACCCGCAAAATCATGTCCTTGTCTCCAAAGACGCCCTCTCTGCCGCACTCCAGCGTTCTGGACATGGTGGCATTGTTGAGGCGCAGGTTTGGAAGACTTTCCTCCTGCACCCGACCGGTCGGCCAGTAGGCCAAGTACGAAGATGCGTTCTGGGCCGCGAGACTTCGATTCAAGAAGCATTCGGTGGCGGATACGATTCGTTATACGTCAAAATTGGCGTTGAGATCCCGGGTGCCCGAGACAAGTTGTCGCATTGAAAGGAAAAGGTATACGAGTTGCACCAACTATTTTAGCTGCCCGTTCCGTGGCGGGAGTCATGGTCAGCTCTCCTACGCTATACTAGGTGCCGACAAGCAGATGATCTGATCGAGGCGGCGACGGGTAGAGCGATGAAGGCCAAAACAGTACCGCGTCTCCATCCTGGTGGTCAAGTGCTCGATGTCTGAATCGTGTCGGACAAATCCGGTCGTTACCAAAATCATAGAAGTTTCACCGGCGTCTTGGTTGAAATGGGACCCCCCGTATTTGAATGGCTTGCAAGCCGAGGCAAAGTTTGGCTAGTTCTTTTATCGACCTGCAAGAGATTTGATGTCTTTCTTGATCAAATTCTAAAGGAGGAATATGCCAAAATGCTCCCCGCGCCTTCCCAAGAGAAATCTGGCAGCCATTGCACCTGGTATTATGAGGCGCTCTGATCCGTTGTCCAGTTGATGCCACAGAATCTAAGACCACGTACGGGTTCTCGACTCTGATTTACTTTCTTGTTTCAGACATTCGGATTCTAGCCATCATTTCTACCACGGCTACTTGGTACTATACGCAGCTCCAACTCAAACGTTTTAATGGTTAAGATCAAGCTCTGGCTTCTCACATCTTGAGAGCCGAGCAGCGACGTACCTAGTCTTTGTCCATCTCTACGCCACAACAGCGATGCCACGCCAAATCTGAGACTCAAAGCAGGGGTATTTGATCAAACCTTTACTGGGAGCCCAGCATCGACAAGCGCTCCAGTGTTAGCTCCAGGCTCAAGTGCTCGGCACGTAAAATTGCCCCTTTGGGACGCATGGTGGGAGAAGGGTTGCCCGGACCCTTGGGAAGATCCCGGCACAACAACAGACATTCCATCACCCTCTTTTGGATGTCACCACATGGTGGATGTTCCGGTGCCCAAGGTCTCTTGTTGTGAGGGCTATTGGTCAAGTCGAAGTTGAGCCGCTTTATTACTCCGTATACGTCGAATGATGAACGGAACAGAATGGGCAGGTTTCAAATCCATCTCACTTTGTCAACCAAGCTTAAATGGCGACAATAAATATTTCACATATCCACCGGGATACCCTCCTGCTTGGCAAATTCCCAGGCTTGATGTGGTGGCGTACGCCGGTGCCGAAAGCCGACATCCCTATTCCCCGTTTGTCTGACAAGCCGGTCATTGTTTAACTAGAGGCCCATAGTCTGTTAGCGCCAACTTTCCTCTCGTCCTGCGCTCATCCTCTTGGGCGGAGGGCGGAGGGCGGGGGCTCGCCTACATATGTATGATGCATGTGCGAGGTTTGGGCCGTGCAAATCCCGGCTTGGGGGTATTATATGAGGAGGTGGTTCCCTCTTTAGTTTCATCGCCATTTGCCATTCTTGCTGTTCAGTGAAATCTGTGCTCTTACGTGTAATGAACCTCCCCTGAGTTCTTATAAGGGGAGATCGTTTACTTAGTAGAGATGAGACAGTGAAGTTGCTTTTCAGTCATGTTGCACTTGTGGCTTGTTTTTTCTTCAGCACTGCTGGTGTTAGAAGTTTCTGCCAAATTGTCCACAGTGGTCGACCTTTTGTACAGCGAATATAGAGGTGTCGCCTTGTCGAATGGCATAACACAATGGCTCGGGATGAGATATGCAGCTCCGCCGGTGGGAGACTTGAGATTTAAGCCGCCTCAAGATCCGCTACACACGAATGGAGTCGTGATGGCTGACCAGGTATGTTGGAACCGCCGTGTTCGAAGAGGAACAAGATTCAACTGCGAGACATTATACATCCTGAACAGCGCTGTGGTTACAATTCCTCGCAACAGCATCCAGACATGCAACACGGTGGCTAACTATATGAAAAGCACGGCAAATACTGCCTCGCAACTGGCCATTCCCCAACCGAAAATACTACATCGGAGGATTGTCTCTTTGTCAATGTGCAGTCCCCGTCCCGGGCGAAACCTGGCTCGTTGCCTGTTTTCCTATACATCCAAGGAGGCGGGTTCAACCTCAACTCCAACGCCAACATCAATGCCTCGGGGCTCATACAAGCCAGCGGCCACAATATCGTGGTTGTCAGCTTCAACTATCGTGTCGGTCCGTACGGATTTCTTACCGATGGGAAAGACATCGCGCCCAACAACGGACTCCGCGACCAGGAAAAAGTCATGCAGTGGGTGCAAAAGCACATCTCCAAATTCGGAGGGAACCCAAATCATGTTACGCTGGGGGGGTCGTCGGCGGGCGCTGAGAGCGTGGTAATTCACCTCACCGCGCGCAATGGTACGGACAGAGGATACTTTCACGCCGTGACGGCGGAATCGCCCTCCTTCGCAACAACCTTGACCGTGGCCGAGTCGCAGTACTTGTATCGCCACTTTGCCACGAGACTGGGATGCGTGGGCGCCGACAGCCTGTCCTGTCTGCGCAACAAGACGGCGCGCGAGCTGCAGGAGCAGAATTTCAACATTCCGCTGCCGGGGGCTGCGAATCCGCCCAATTACTTGTACGTGCCCTGCCTTGATGGCGAGTACCTGACGGACTACACGTACCGATTGATTCAAGACGGTCGCTTCATCAAGGTCCCGTCTATATTTGGCGACGATACCAATGGCGGGACAAAATTTGCTCCCAGAAACGCGTCGACTCTCGCGGAGAGTAATTCGTTCATGCTGGACAACTACCCGTTCCTAACGCTGCGTCTTCTGGAGAAGATGAACAAGATGTACCCCAATCCGAGTAAGACGTGCCCCAAGCTGGGCTGCTATTGGAGACAAGCCAGTAATACGTACCAAGAGGTGCGGTATATGTGCCCAGCACTGGCCATGACATCTGCTCTAGCCAACGCCGGAATTACAAACTCGTTTGCTTATAGGTGGAATGTGGAAGACGAGGCACAAATGAAGGCCGGCCTTGGAGTTCCTCATACGTCCGAGTTTGATGCCATCCTAGGACCAGAATATGCCCCAAGTCCGCCAGAGAGCTACAAGAAGGGCGGCATCAACTACCCGGCGTCGCCGGCGATCCAGAAATACTGGACAAATTTCATCCAATACTATGACCCGAATCAGGGCGGCGACCCCGAGGTCAAGGTGGCCGAGTGGAAGGCCTGGTCAGGCGGTGCACAGGACCGGCTTGTCTTCCAGACCGGCGGGAGGACGGAGATGGAACCCTTTGGAGACCGGCTGAACAAGAGATGCTCTTTTTGGGCCCAGTATGGCGTTCAGTTGCGGACGTAGTAGCATAGAAGTCGGAAAGTAAAGACTGAGGTTGTCATTTTGGATCCTGTTCTTCGTAACAAACAACATGGATTAGTCGACATAGGACTATGGTATATAAACGCGGCTATATTTATTTGCGTTGACAAGTTCTCGGGTTTAGCATGGGTTATTGTCATCAGTGAAATATTGATGAGATGCCTACTATTCGATATCTTTTACTCCCAGGGCCTATCGCAGATTAAACCAAAGGCGGACGACCCTCCATGAGACGGTAGATCTGTTACGCCTCTATGCTTCACCACGGCAGAACTTATTGCTCTCCGGGGTCTTGCCACTTCACAAGTTGGTTTAATTGCGGTCGTGTGCTATTTTTGTTCTAGTTGCGCACGTCTCTCCACGACGCTGCCAGACTTGCCTACGATGTGCCATGCCCTGCATAGGAAAGTGCAGCAGCGACTTGGAAATTCTGGCCTCAACACGTTCAGACTGAGGGTGAGTCATGTATGCGGATTTTCTTCATTGATTTTCACTACTGCTGTCTGACTCCTTCTCCACGGCAAGCAGTGTCTTGTTAGTATCTTGTCAATAATGACCAACATGACTGTTTTGTTCCTGCTCATTCAATCACTCACTTACTCCGTGTGAGCCGTGCTAAAATCTCCACAGACACGGGCTGAAGCCGGACACTAACTGCAGGATGCTGGATCTTGTCCCGCCCGGATGTGGCTTAAGATAGATCGATGCAGTCCGCATTTCCTCCCCGCGTTTCATCTCGGATCCCGCTCACTCATCCGCATCTTACCAAAGACAGCGTCTGGGTTATTCACTCATGAAACAATTTTTTAGCGTCTTGATACTCTACACTGGATAGAAATGACCAGCCGGTGCCGTCTCTGGATAAACGGTCGAGAGGTTGATGGACATGGTGAGCGGTACGACACCTAGCTTGCTTCAACCAGTTCCATCTCAAAATACACATGTATTAAGTTTTAACCTCATGATAGTATACCCATCGAGGATCCCGCTACCGGTGAAATAATTGCGCAGTACGTACTTCGACTCCTCATTCGGGTTATATTTGCTAATCATGTCATGGCATACTTAGAAGTGACGCCGCCAACCAACAAGATGTAGATTCGGCTGTTGAAAACGCACATCAAGTTTTCAAATCGGGGGTATGGTCGAACGCGTCGCGACATGATCGCGCCCGTGTTCTCGGAAATATCGCCGAAATCATGTGGCGAGACCTTCCAAAACTGATCCGCCTGGAAGTGAAGCAGACCGGTCGCGCCATCCGCGAAATGAAGGCCCAGATACCCTCCCTGCTTCGCTGGTTCAAGTACTACGCCAGCGTGCTACTCACCGAAGAGCTGCCTGTTCTACCCACCGCGGGCAAATTGCACAACTGGCTGGAAAGAGTGCCCCTAGGTGTCGTCGTGCAGATCACGCCCTTCAACCACCCTATGCTCATTGCGGTCAAGAAGCTTGCGCCAGCTCTCGCCGCGGGCAACAGCATCGTCCTGAAGCCTAGCGAATTGACGCCCATGACGAGCCTGCTTCTTGGGCAGATGTTCAAGGCGGCGGGTGTTCCAGACGGGGTGGTCAACATCCTGCCGGGATACGGAGCGGTGACGGGAAAGGCCCTCGTCAGCCACGCGCTGGTGAGAAAAGTCGACGTCACCGGCGGCACGAGTGCTGGGCAGGCCATCGGGTCCATTGTTGGAGGAAACCTCGCTCGTTATACGGCGGAGCTGGGCGGCAAGGCCCCTCTGGTCGTCTTTGAACAGGCCAACATCGACGCGGCGGTGAACGGGATTGCATTTGCCTCCTTTATTGCCACTGGTCAGACGTGCGTCGCCGCCACTAGGATTATCGTTCAGAACAGTGTGCTGCCCACTCTCCTGGAGAAGTTGCAGCGCAAATGCGACTATATTTTGCGGAATATGGGTTCGCCGCTCAACGAAAGGTCCACCATGGGACCTCTCATTTCACTTCGGCAGCTTCAGAAAGTTGAAGCTCTGGTGGATGAATGTCTCAGTGAGGGAACTGGTCAAGTTCTTTGCGGTGGTCAGAGAATGACTGGGACTTCTGAGCTGGATGGCATCGATTTTGCAAAGGGATACTTCTATCCGCCGACGGTGATTACCTGTGCTGCTGGGAAGAGCGTCACCGAGGCCAGGATATGGCGAGAAGAAGCCTTTGGACCCGTCATTGTCGTGGTCGGGTTTGATAACGAGGAGGAGGGAGTTCTTCTCGCAAATGATAGTGAATTCGGACTGGGGGCTGCCTTGTGGACACAGGATCTGAGCCAGGCCTTTCGCGTTTCCAAGCAAGTGAGCTCGGGGATTGTTTGGGTCAACACACATCATCGGAACGACCCGAGTAGTCCATGGGGCGGCGCTTCGAAATCTAGCGGCGTGGGCAGCGAGAATGGAATAGATGCCTATCACGACTACACGACAACCAAGAGCATCATCATGAATTTCGCGTCGGCTAATGAAATGTTGGCTCAAGACGACTGGTTTAGGGAGGGGGCGGGGGAGGTTCGATATGGCTAATCAACCTGCTGTGAGATGTCAATTATAGCTATAGTGTTGAAGAGAACATTGAATTATAGGAGGATGCAACGCAGTCACCATCTGAGGCTTGAAAGTGGTTGTTCGTATAAACAATGAAGACAGCAAATACGGAGTAGATTGCCAGTCAATAAGCAGTGTCCAGTATTTAGACTACATGGTGACACAGCCAGCGCCCCGGTTTAATAATACAAGGGCACACCCATCTGAATGTTTCTGGGCCATACAATCCATGTCCTCTGCCCGTCTCAATTGCCCTCATCAATGCATGCGGCAAATGAGGCGGACAGAAAGCCGAGTTGCCGCTGCCCCACCACAGCCCACCTTCCCTTTGTCTCACATGGGGCTATCGGCTTTCAGGCGACGTCGTATGATGCTGTTTGCATGCTTTGACTACGTAAATAGACGGTTTCAATTCCCAACGTCCTTGCCTTGTGCTAATTTCTATATCTGTAACATTTGACCCAGTCAATCCGATCGAATCAGCAATGGCGGCGTATCCTTCGGCATTCGTCGTCTTTGACGAGCTTGTCAAAGACCTCTTTGGATCATCGCCAACCCTAGACCTGCTGCATGAACACGCCGAATACCCATTTGCGCACGAAGCCGGCGTCTTCATTCAGGAAGACAACTCCCTGTTCATCACCAGCAACCAGTTCACGGATCCCAAGACCAAAAACCGCCGTATTCAAATCACCCGCGTCCAGCTTCCCAAGAATGGCGACGACAGCGTCCAGTGTCAGGAAATCCACCCAGACCAGGTTCCCATGGCCAACGGCGGTGTCAACTACAAGGACGGCATACTCTTCTGTGCTCAGGGAAACCAAGGTGGTCCAGGCGGCCTGGCCTTTATGGAGTCGAAGCCGCCGTACAAGTCGCATCTCATGCTCAGCTCCTTCTACGGCCGGGATTTCAACTCGCTAAACGATGTAGTCGTTCACTCAGACGGCTCGATTTGGTTCACAGATCCAATCTACGGCTTCGAACAAGGCATCCGCCCAAAACCCAGGCTGCCGTGCCAGGTGTACCGATTCGATCCGGACCGGAACGCGGTTCGTGCAGTGGCAGACGGCTTCGGGCGACCAAACGGCATCTGCTTCAGCCCCGACGAGAAAATAGTCTACATCACAGATACAGACTGGATCCACGGGGACGGGACAACTGATGAGTTTCGCGCTTCGCACATGTAAGACACACACACACACATATATATGCTATTCCTGACTCCGTTCCCAGCTATGCATTCGATCTTGTCAACTACTCCGGCCAGCCGTTCCTCACCAACAGGCGCCTGTTCGCTATGGCGGACACCGGCATCCCCGATGGTATAAAATGCGATGTCTACGGCAACGTTTACAGCGGATGCGGCGACGGAGTCAACATTTGGTCGCCGGGCGGTGTTTTACTAGGGAAGATTCTCTTGGAGGGCGGAGCAGCCAACTTTTGTTTCGGGCGCGATGGCGAGATGTTTATTTTGAACGAGCACCGCTTGTGGAGGGCTCAGCTGGGTTCTTCTACAAAGGGCGCACTGCTGGGAATTTAGTGAAAGGGGCTGATAACAAAAGATTGTTTATTCATGCCTACTTTTGTTCCCCTCAGCTCCGTGACCCCCTGCATGTATGTGTACAAGCCATAGCGCCCTGAATGCCTGTTCCGAACAACATTTTGATCCCTAGCGTCCCGTCCGAAGTTTGTTCTTGCTGAATCGTAAAGGCAAAATTGCAGTGGTTCTCGTGTTACGTTCCCTTGTCCTTGGTCGGTTTCTTCGTTTTGATGCACCTGCTCACGCTGTCGTATGAGATCTTGCCGGCAGGGCGATTCTTCTTCTGCGCGGCAATCATGTTTCGGAACGTGTCTTGTAATTCACCCACAAAGCCTCTCATTTCGGCCTCGGATAACTTGTTCTGCTTTGCTTCTTTGTTCTTGCTTGCTTCTCCTTCGAGAACGTTGCAGATTGTTTTGGCTAGTTCCTTTCGGCGGTTCTCGTCCGGATCGCGGTGTCCCTCCCATCCGTCCATGACGTCTCCGAGCAATTCCTTGACTTTTAGTGTGACGTTGCTGTAGCAGCTGTCAAATATTTTGAGCTCATGATCCCATTCCATGATGTGAAGTTGTTCCTGGGTAATTCTGGTGTCGTGGGGTGGTTTTGCTCTTTGGTTGTTGTGATGTGACTGTTCGCTAATGAGTTGGAGTGGGTTCGCGAGTCGGTAGTGGTGCCGACAGAATAGGAATATTGCGGGAGAAAGTGGAAGGACTTTATATTCTCCTGATGGCATGTGAAACTCGAAAGAACTAAAGACTGAACATGGACCTTGGGGATGTCAGCAAAGGCGAGTGAACAATGCGGCGACAATGGCTCATCTCACCAACGGTGTAAGCGGAGGTGAGGCATGAACTGTGCGTTGCCGCCCATGCATCCTGAATATGTTTTATTCATGTGCCGCAGTGAGCATGACCAGTCACAGGGCCATTTCTCTTCATTCGTTTCCAAGTGATGCGCTGCACCATTTCTGCTTGGTAAACGGGCAAGTTGCCGCAACTTGACCTGTCGAGCACCGGCAAGCCATTACTTAGACTGGAGTGCATCATTTTGAACACAGGACAACTGTATAGTTGCACTTTCAGGTATCTTTAATTGGAAATTCCTTGATAGAATAAACACAGCCGTCTAACCGTCGCGCATGAGTCACTCTGGCCATGATTCACTCAACACGCAGCCGTTGGTTTGACCACGTTGCAACACAATGCGAACACAGCGCTACCAATTTCACATAGGAAGAGGAGCAAACGGACATTGACAACTAAAAAAGATAAAAAAGCCAATCGAACCATGAGCTCAATTAAAAAGAAGCGCACCAGGACTACAAAACTTTTGTGTGTAGTTGGCAAAAGGCAAAAAGAATGTTCCCGCGGGGGGTCGAACCCCGGACCTTGACATTTCTACCATAGAACCAAAGAATAATCCTTAGACTATAAGAGTCACGCGGTAACCACTCCGCTACGGGAACGAATGGCGATGCTCGTTCCGATTTGATCCTAATTTGTATTATAACCCCTAGCTAACGCTGACTAATGAATTAGCTCCGAAAGGACGCGCAACCACAACCTGACGACTACGTACTACGGTGAACAAGGGCAATCTAACGAAGAGATTTTGAAACTTGAACGTTTTATTTATGACGTGGTCTTTGTCCACTTTTGATCAAGTTGTCACGCGCAGGCAATTGGGGCGAGAGTACAGAAAACATGAATCAGTTCTAGCGGTGAAGTGGCGACGAATCACGATGACAAGTTACAACAGAGCAACACGGGGAAACATGGATGTCGGATATTCATGACGCAAGTTACATATTGCTACCTAGCTACCTAGCTATCTAGCTGTGACATGCCAGCTAAACATGCAAGACGTTATGGTCTTTACTGCAGAGTCTGCAAAGTGTAGAGGCTGAGTAGATCAACCCTTTCCCAAAAAGGCACCATGGAACGGAGTGGTGTGCGGCCACTCCAGGGCTATTTCGCCTGGTAGAAATTGCCATGCTCTTTGAGTTCCATCTTGGTCTTCGTTTGTTTTATCCAGTCCTAGAGTTCCGAGGTTGTTTTTCGGGGATGTCTCCACCAAATCAAGGTCGACAATGTCTACCTGCGTGTCCCTGGCGAGCTGTGCGAGATATTTATGGCTTAAATCGCCGATGTCTTTAACGTGATGGACGGGATCCTTTCCCGCTTGAGGATTTAGGTCGATGTAGAAGAACGAAGGGGTAGGGCAATTCGTGTAAGATGGCTTATCGGCCTGGTAAAATCCGGGACTTGGGCTTTTGAGGCATTAGTCTTCTGCTTTGAGCAACACGCACACTAGACTCACCCAGTGGGTTGTCCGTTTTTTGGGACAATCTTTCTTTGGTGTAATAAGGGGGGCAGGCCATCGGCTTTGCAATGTCCATCATGATCGTCACAGACCGTACTAGATAGTTTCTATAAGTTTGGCTTTCATCCATCTCTGTGGTTTGGTGTCACGCCTCATACTTTTGGTCAAAGTAGCTCCATCCTTGAGCCGACTACCTCGACGTAGACTCGTGGGCCTTTAAGTGCGGCCTACCCGTTTGTTCAAATACCTACACGCTAGGTCGACGAAAAGTTGAGGAAATAATATGGGCTGTAGATTATTACTGACGCCCAATAAACGGTATGTGCAGTCACAAGCTGTGTTGAAGACGTGTAGGCAGGACAGTGAGAGCTTATCCTTGTCAACTTTGACCGAGTTGCACCAAAGGCGTTGCATTTATCAATACCATCAACGAACACCATTGGTACTCGAAGTGTGCTTGGAATATTGTGTGAAGACGCACCATGGTATTGCCACCAAAAGAGAGAGTGTCACAGAGATCCTTGGCCCTTTGAGTTCGTATGTCGCTCAAGATGAAATGCACCCGTAGCCAACGGTGGCGTCTCTGCTCCGCATATATACTTTATGGCGTATACACTTGGCGTATATTTTCCTCTTAGCTTTGTATTTGTCATTACATTAATTTGCACAAGCCCGTTTGCTTAGGGGTAGAATTCGGGCCTGTTGGCTGAACAGAGACTAACACGGAGGAAGCTTCAACCGGGTTTGTCACAATTTGCAGCCATCAATCGCCTTGAACAGTATATTGGTACCAATTTTTAAGTTGGCCAGCTGGCGTCCAATTTGCAAGTTGCAAGCTAGATTGAACTTAGTATATATAGGCCAGACTTATTCATAAAAAGGGCCGAGTAGGCGACTCACTCGTTGGCATGGACATAATTAAGCCCAAGGAAGCCCAATCTTCTCAATGCATTCTGTTCAACTGATTCAAACCAAACATTCTACCTCTTACTGTGGCTAACAACAGTCTCATTTTGCGTGTGGCCTTTGTCCAAGGCAAACAACACGCCCCTCACCATGGCTTACAATCCTCCCAGACGCAGGCAAGATCTACCTTCTATGCCCGAGATTGTTCAAAATATTATCAGAAACGTCGACAACCTTCCAGATATTTTGAACTGTGCCTGCGTCAACAGGATTTGGCATGTGGAAGCGTTGAGGCGGCTCTATGAAGGATCTATTCATGACATGCGATTCCGTACACCTGACACGACCTCACTCAATTATCTGTTGGAGGCATCACGGGAACGCTTCACCCAAAACATGAAGTTTGTGAAGCACCTCTTGGTCTGTCCGCAAACACCCGGAGACGATAGTTCTAGCAGCAGACACGATCAAGCGACAGGCTTTGAGACAGGCCATGCGGCGCGACTCCCTGCGCCTGCGCTGCTTCCTCAACCTCGAGGAAGGCGTCATACCAGTCTCGTCATCCCCTTCGAGCTCATGCGCCAAGATTGGCCGTTGCTTGCGGACCTCCTTCCCGCTCCTACAGTTGAGTTCCTGGCTATTAATCACGGCTATTGCCAACTCGTTGCACCTCGGTTTGCTTCTGTTGTGAGTTTGCTTCGAGACCGCCTTTGCTCTCGCAAGGTCGTGGCTAATACTAGCAGCAGGATAGACTTTCAAATCTCAAAGCTCTCACCATCTACCCGTCCAGATTCACCGCCGACGTTGACAGTCTTTGTAGATTGTTAGACAGGTGTAGTCTACAATTCTTCCATTACTCGGCCCCTGCCCCTTCCGCAGCAAACAACGTAGCCATGCCTGATGCGACGAGGATACTTGAACACATTCGACGGCATGGAAATCTCAAGGCGTTGGTACTGAATACGGCGCGTTCCCCCTGGGTGCCTTCAGGGCCTGCAGGCAGCGCATCCGAGGCAGCAAACCAGCAAACTCCATGGCCACGGCTGAAGTTGTTGCACCTCTCAAGTTGCACCGAATATTGGCTGAGAGAGCTACGGAAATTCACCGACTTGACATCTCTTCACTTGGGGCTGCCGGCAGCATATACCCCGGACATGGGCAAACGCATAGGCGACGCTATTATCCCGTGCCGGCATCTACAAGATATCAGTTTTGAACTTTGGGCGCTTGAAGATTTAAACCTCATCCTTGAGCTTGCTCGCGCCTGTCCGCTGTTACGGGGTGTCACTATTCGGCTCGATAACTTTATAGTGATTCCCCAGCTTACGAAATCCTTCCTGTTCGATCTGTTGCGCGAGCTTCCTCGACTAGAGCTCCTTGACATCCTTTATCGAGGTTTAAGCTTTTGTATAAATGGATCAGACCTTGCAAACATTTCACTCTACTGCCCGCGGTTACAAGTCCTTTTGCTGCCTTGGGTTACATTATTCCTCTGTCACTCGGATATAACCCGGTGCTATCCACAAGAACGATTGGAGATTATGGAATTCAGCCGAGTGCGGTTGAGGGGTTGTTGGCGGTTGCTGACGCCAAATCGCATTCTGGCGGAGTGGCGCAGATTATTTCCCAGGCTGCGGGCGATGCAATGCGATATGGCATCTTTTAGTTTCGACGCAAACTGTGTGTCCTTCCTTTGTACTGTCAGACGTAGTAGGACTGGAGCGTCAACAGAGAATGAGTCCGATCATGGTGCCGATGAGGACATGACCGACAACACGCAAGTGGGCTTCCCTCTTGGCTACAGCCCTGACTGGGAATCCTTTCCTACAGATTTTGGTGCTGCTCTTGGCTATGAGGAAGAGGGTACCTTCGAAATGCATGATAGGATACGGCATATGTGGCGTACTAATATCGAGCTTGAGTTGGTTGGTTGGCCGGTGGTGCCTTTGGAGTCATTCATCCACCCAAACACGCAGTCCTCAATTCCTTGAGGTAGGGAGGATACAGGACTGTACTGACATGTACTTCACAGGTCTGGTCAGATTTCCATCCGAAGACTCGTGTGTGTGGCTACTGTCCATGTCATATTCTATCTTGGATGGCGTTGATAGCCAAGTTGTACAGCACAGGCTTGGGACCTCCGTCGCAGCCATGTACAACTGAGAATGTCGTTTATTTGACTGGCCTTGGACTTGAAAGGCTTTACATGCTTGCGGTAAGTCACATTAGCATACTGTGAACTGTCAACATTTCTGACAAGCACACACAGGGGCGCTGCAAAAAAACTCAAAGCTTAGGCGTCTACTTCCCGCTGTAGCAGTCATAGCATATATAGTCAAATCCCATTACATTAGACGTAGCACAGTCTCTCAAACACGTTCGTTTGTCCCATCAGTACGACCGACATGTTCAACCGTAGCCAATGCCATCGACTTTTCTCCCACGGACTCGATTACATCGTCTCCTGCGAACAATCGATCAACGTCTTCCAACTCCAGCCCTTTAGTCTCTGGGAAGAAGAAGAAAATGATGGGCACCCAAGTCGCGTTGAGAATCGCGAAGATGATGTACGTCTTCCAGCCGATATTCTCAATGGCAATGGGCGTAATTTGCACAACCATCTGATTCTTGCATTAGCAAATGCTAAAAACCCATTTTCTTTCACCAAGCTCGGTCACAATACTCACATAATTGAAGATCCAGTTTGCTGCAGTGGAAATAGAAGATCCCTTCTGACGCAGCCGGAGGGGAAGAATCTCGGATCTAAGCATGGTCAGTCGCCTAACTTGTGATACCGTCATGAGCGTACTCACGGATACACCCAGACCGTGGCCTGGAACCCAATCGTGAATGCGCCTTGAAATACGAAAAGCATCACTGCGGCGCCAATGCCCGCTGAATGAGAAATGTTCGTCTCGTTCTGCACCTGGTAAATAAGGCCGGCTTGCACAGCCATGGCGGCTGCCATCAAGCTAATCATTGACACGAACTGCGCAAAGTCAGATACTTTGTTGACTGTAGCAATATGCACTGCGACATACCAAAGGCTTTCGTCCGATTCTGTCAATCAAGAACCAAGGAATAAAAGATGCCACAAAGAACCAGGTCTGTAGAAAACCAGACATGAGTGCGGACATTCTCTCATCAAAACCGATGCTCTTGGAAAACAGCGTGTTTGTATAATCTAGACGAACAAATTAGAAACCCGGACAAGACCATTCTTGATGGACGATGGGCTTGCAGAGGACTTACAAATAACCGCATTGATTCCACCAAGCTGCTGGAAAGCTTGAATGGAGCAAGCAATCAGCAACCGGGTCTGGGACTTGACACGATCGTTTGACAACAAGTCCTTCCACGAGCCTGTACCAATCGAAGCCTCGAAGGCGACAACCTGCAAAATATTATGATGTTGCCGCTGCACCTCGGGGTCGTTGATGGAGGAGGATTTCATTCTAGCGAGAACTTGGAGGCAATCATCCGGCCGGTCGTGAGATGCCAGCCACCTCGGCGTCTCCGGGATGAGCATCAAAATTCCCAACATTGGCAGGATACATACACATTGCAGAATAACCGGGACCCGCCAAGCGTAGCTGCTCGTATGGGAGGAGAATGCGTAATCGATCCAGTAGACGAGGAAGATGCCAAAGTTGAGGGTTGACAACTGGGCGCAGACATCTACACAGATGGTGAGCTCTTTCGTCCCGGTATTTCAGCAACTGATGAGACTTACAGACTCCCCGAGTGGCCTTGGGGCTAAACTCGGCTTGTAAAACAGGAACTGTCGAGTTGATGATGCCCAGCCCGAGGCCGGATACGATTCGGCCGACAATGAGCTGGGCTCTGCCATAAGAGGACGCCTGCAAGACGGCACCGACAATCATGATCCAACAACCATGTCCGATGGTCGTTCGGCGGCCGAGTCTTTCGCCAAAGATGGCCGAGAGGATTGAACCGAGGAAGCATCCCACTAGTTAATGCACGTAAGTTGCTGCTCCCAAGGTATGAGCTGCCTCCCCCCGGAGGTCTAGAACAATAGCTGACCTTCGAAAATGGCAACAATGACCCCAATCATCTTGGAGTCCGGGTAATCGAACGAGCTGCCGAAGGCGGGAGAATTGACTATTGCACATCGGTTAGCCGCCACCGTGACTCTGCATTGCCTGTCGCGTCAGTTTTCTCCCCCGAGACTCACCCAGTCCGCCCATGAGGCCATTGTCGTATCCAATCAACATGAAACCCAGAGACGTCAATGCCGTCACAGTGAGCAGAAGAGCTCGGCCCTCCAACTCGGGCACAGCCATGGCTGAAGGCAAAAAGGGGTGGAACAATTTCAAAAACGAGGTCAGGAAATAGCCCACGAATACCAAGGGAGGAGGTATGTTGCAAAAAGAAAAGAAGAAAAAAATTCTCCAACAAGCTTTGTGCAAAAAGAGAATTCTGCGGCTTCTACACAGGATTCCAATGCATATGTATACGCATACATGTATGTGTATGCATGCAAGGCAAATCGTATGAGATTTTGTGGAGAATCCGGGGCACCCACGATCTCTCATATTAAGCTTCTCCAGAGAGTCCAAAGACGCTTCCATGTTTGGGGTCGCGTGGACGGTGGGCCCATCCACGTTCAAACGCCGCACCAAAAGCCGACGGCTACCGGCACCGTGGCCTCTGCGCCATCGGCCGATTTATTGGCAATATAACCTGGGTAAAATTCCTCTTGGCGGTTATTTGCCGGAATCAACCGGTACTAGTCTGGCTGCTTTCCTCGCTGCAGGGGCGCGAAACCGAGAACTCTGCGCTGCGTTTTCCGCGGTGACCCCATTTACCGAGTCAGACCACGACCCACGACAACCGTCCAGTGCCGACCACATGACCGACAAACCTGGGGACAGTTTCATGTTCTTATTGTGTGCGCCCTCCTGCGGTCGGTAGGACATGTTTTTGGAAACTCGCAAGTGAGACTACCCTTGCAGTTGTGGCTGCAATGACTGTGTATCATCTCCAATCCGTGGACAACGACCTTCGGGGTCGGCTGGCCCTGGTTACGGGATCAAGGTGCGTGGGGAGGCGCTGGCAATTACCCAACGTTGTCGACATCAGCTAACAGTACTGGCTCGCCCTTTAGCGGTGGTATCGGTTCGGCGTGTGCAAAGGCATTGGCGTCTGAAGGCTGCGATGTTGTGCTTCACTACTCTGCAAGCAAAGTGAGTTTGCCCGACAGATGAAAAAAAGACACAGACAGGGACAGGAGAGAAAATATAAACTACCCATGCACGCACCATCTGACCGCCGCCGCAGGAGAAATCGGAATCTCTAGCTTCTGAGCTACAAAATCGCTACCCATCACAGGTATTCGTCACCGCGCAAGCCGACCTCACGGATCGGGAATCCACGCGGTCGCTCGTCTCCAGAATCCTCTCCGATGCGGTCGTCTCAGAGAAGCACAAGGCTATATCTGTGTTAGTCGCAAACGCCGGGCTTGGACGCCGCATCAGGGACGTCAAGGACATTGGGGAGCAAGATTGGGATGAAATGATGGAGGTCAATATCCGGAGTCAATTCGTCGTGACGAGGTCCTGTGTGGAGGGGATGCGCGCACAAGAATGGGGAAGGGTTATTCTGGTGGGCAGCATCGCGAGTCGCGGGAGCGGGCTCAACGGATGCCATTACGCAGCTTCAAAGGGAGCCCTGTCGTGAGTGGTCCATTGATACAACATTTGAACTCGTGCCGTATGGTGTCCTGTCCTTGTGTCTAACCGCCTGACAGCTCTATGGGGTTAAACTTGGCTACTCTGCTCGCACCAGAGGGCGTGACCGTCAATGTGGTAAGCCATCAGCATCAACTGCCCATGCGAATGTTGCCTTTGGCATATGCTGACATATGATGCTAGGTTTCACCGGCCATGATCGGGTCAACAGGCATGATCCCAACGCCAAAGGAACGGTAGGCGCTCACTGCTGCACGTCGATCTGCATTTCGCAGCGGCTAATATTCTGGTGCTGTAGGACGTGGGCTTCAGACGTCAACGTCGAGGCATTGAAAGAATCAGATCCCGGCCTGGCCATTGCCAGCAGCGTGCCAGTGCATCGACTAGGAGCTCCAGAAGAAGTAGCAAACGTCGTGGCAATGTAAGCTTCTTGATAGCCCCTGAATCGGAACGCTACCTCCAGGACTAACTGCCAGACAAGGTTCGCAAAGACGGGATACATGACTGGGCAGGACATATTGTTAACCGGCGGTTTGAAATAGTGTATGGGGTTCAGACAATTAAAAGAGGCACGTTGCACATCTGGTTGAACAATTCTGGTCGAGCAGAGGCAAATGTAAATTTTCCTAAATACGTTACTATCATGTTTCATCAATGAGATTATCTATGTCTATGGTATAATGGCGACTCGGCGCAATCTGCCCACAAATCGGCCACTGCCGCGCTCTCTTCTTATACCTTGGCCACAACGGGCTTCTGCTCAGACACTTGCGTAAGCAGCTTTCCCTGTGTCACGGCGCTCTTCACATTGTCAATAACGAGCACCTCCATTTCTTTCTATTTTCCCAACTGTCAGCAAACGTCTCTTTCGTAGCAATGATGGGAGAGACACCAACCTGTGTATCAATCGTGGCAGTGCCAATATGGGGTAGCAAAACGGCACCGGGGTGCTTCATCAGCTTTGGGTTGATTTCCGGCTCCTTGGCATACACGTCCAAGCCGACACTCCAGACCTTGCCAGATTCCAGGCTGTCGGCGAGAGCCTCCTCGTCAATAATGGCGCCTCTAGCCGTGTTTACAATGATGACTCCGTCCTTCATCTGGCTGAATTCCTTGGTTCCAATGAGTCCCTGGGTGGCAGGGCCCAGCGGCAAGTGCACCGAGATGACGTCGCTGGTCTTGAGCAGCTCTTCAAAGCCGACGTAGTTGGGGACTTGGCCGGGGGCGAATTTCATCTCCAGGTCGGCCACGGGCTTCCTGTTGTGATACTGCAGCCTGAATCCGAGGGCAGCGGCTCGCTGTGCCGTGGCAGTCCCAATGCCGCCCATTCCAAGAAGGCCCAGGGTCAGGTGGTGAGGATCACGGCCGAGAGGGCTTGCGCCTCGCCACTTGCCCTCGCGCAGAGCTTGCTGAGGGATCCATGCGCGACGCAAAGCACCGAGCATTAGGAAGATTGCGGTGTTTGCGGTGGCGGCGTCGACGGCCTTGGGGGTGTTGGAGACGGAAATATCTGCAGCGTGGCAGGTCAGTCAAGGGGGCTTCTCTCGAAACTCCTCCGCTCATTCGTGCACGCAGTCCTTACTCTTGTCGGTGCAGGGTTGGACGTCAATCTGATCGTAGCCAGCGCCATTGTGTGAGATGAATTTTACAGAGGAGGGAAGGTGGGCAATGAGCTCGGCGTCGAATCGCCCGGTTATCTGACACCGCTTGTTAGCCGCAAAGCATCCAGAGGAGAAGCTAACATTTTGAACATTGAAACTTACTTGGACAGAGTCGTAGGTTCTGGAAATTGCAACGACCTTGTCATACTTGCCGCTGTCGCAGTCGCGAATAAACTCTTCCCGAGTACCAGAGGTGACTTGCTAAAATTTCGCAAACCGCGTGAGAACAGATGCCACCCAAAGTGGTTTTTTTTTAGGGTGGTGTTGGCGTACCTGGACATCAGCGACGTCGGAAAGCTTCTCGAACTCAGCCTTTGCGTGGTGGACGATGCCAAGCATCAGCACGCCGGGTTTCGGGACTGCTGGACCTGCCATGTTGTCTGAGTGGAAAAGGCTAGATGTTAGGTATTCTTGTGCCAGGAATATGGTCGGTCTTGAAAAACGGCTGGTTTCAAAAAAAAAGAAGAAAAGGAATTTAAGAAGCGATTGAAATGACCAAGTGACGGATTCGGCGGGAACATGACTGGTGGGAATGGCAGGATCGTCAATTGACCAAAGACACCAACGTGGGGGGTTCTCGTGCGCATTTGCCGGCAAAGGTCGCTCGAAAGAGGGACCACGACGAGCGAAAAAAAAATCATTGAACCGATTGACCGAGTTCGCCATGGCGGCGCTCAACGCTATCGCAGCTTCAAACAACGGGTGCATGGATTTGACGAATCCATGACCCCGTCCTGGTGTGGATCAATGTGTCCCCGGCGGCCCCGGCTATTGACCCCGTCTCCACTTCTGCGGCCAGTTCCCCGCGACTTCAAAACAGCCCAGCAAAACTATGTCTGTCACCCTTCATGCATCGCACGGCATTTGAGCCAACTTAAAGACTCCATCGCCTGTTGATATCGTCATTTTAGCCAATGGACTCGCAGCCGATGCAGTCGCCGATGCCAGGCATGCCCCGATCAAAGGCCAAACGGGTCTCTCGTGCCTGTCTCTCCTGCCGCACGCGCAAGACAAGATGTGACCTGTGAGCAGAACATTCTTCTCCCCCTTTACGCGCGAGGGGTCACACAGCCCCTCGTCGAGGCCTGCCATCGCTTACTGACGCTTATTGGAACCAGTGATTCAGAGGGCATGTCTGGCTCGCCCCCATGTCGCCGCTGCGTTGAACAGCAGCTCGAGTGCGTGCTTGCAAAGTCGAGGCGTGGAGGCCGCAGGATCAAAGGTGTCCGTAACTCTGCCGTTCAGCCGCCGCCGCCGCCCAGGCGCGACAGCGATCTTGGCCCGTCATCAAACCCTCGTGGCCCTGCCAGCTCTACGCATGACGACGACGACGACGACGAGAGTGACTATCACAGCACTCAAGGAAGTCAAGCTCGTCCTGCACAACCGCCGGCCGGCACGGATGCTGTGCAAGGATGGCCGTCCTCTCCACCTCATGCCGGCAACTGGCGAGCAGACAGTCCCGACGCCGGATCCACACAGGAAATGGCAGACTCGAGGACAAGTTCTGATGGATTAGAAGGCCATATAGCCACTACGGACCTTTTGAATCCTTCTGATGCCCTTGATCTGCTTGCCCAGGTGGCCGACTTGGATCCAGGCAGGCAGCGTAATACATTGACTGGCCAACCTGGCCAGAGCAACAGACATGTCGACGGAATGCAGCAGACTGTCGGTAGACCAGCTACCAGCTATTATCCTCCCCTGCATGATGGTATCCTGACGCCCTCAGACGCGTCGTATCTTGTAAAGAAGTAAGTTGCCGTTTGCTCATGCATACAACACACATGTTCGCCTGCTCACACGTTATTGCCTTCAGGTATCATGAGAAGTTCCATCCCTTCTTCCCTGTGGCATTCGCCGATATATTTGAAGAAGGACCCATTACCGAATGGGCCGAGAAGGAGCCTCACCTTTTGACAGCTATTCTCACTGTGGCATCTAAAGACGATCCCTCTTGGTTCAGAGTGTACGATGCATGCTCTCGCCACATTGAAAGCTTCATGTCAACCCTGATCTACGCAGGGTCAAATTCAGTAGGGTCCGTCGAAGCACTGCTCATCCTTGCTGAATGGGCGCCGCAACGCCCACAGGAGAATTCTGCCATCGGCTGTGGACAAGAAGACCACGGTGCCTGGATGCTGGTTGGCCTGGCCATTAGGCTAGGTTATTTGCAGAGACTGGAGCAGACGGCTCTTCTACCAGATGATAAAAAGCCTTCTCTGGAAGTCAGCAGAAAACGCGTGGCTTGGGCAGGTACGTCGCCTGTGCCCTCGACTATTGTGCCATCAACCGGGTGAATTGCTAACGAGGTGCCAGCTTGCTACATGAGCGACCGACAAGTCTCCATTCGACTGGGCAAAGGCTTTTGGTCTCGCGGTCCAGGCCCTTCTCTCCATCTGCGAGCTGCAGACTTTCCAACTCTGCATGCCCAAGCACTTGGCCCGGATAATATGGGGCTATTATTCCAAGCACATCTCGAACTTACCCAGCTGATTAGCAATGCTCACGACATCCTCTACTCATCTACCAGTCATAGGAAGCAGCTGTATGTAGGCGGAGAATATGTCAGATATATTGTAAGTGAACGAATGCCAAGGGAAGCTGGGCAAATTACTAATGTATTCAAAGGATGACTTTGCTCAAATGGTCCGGAAATGGAAGCTCACGTGGGCAAATCACAGCTGTAAGTTTTGTTGTTTCACGTTTGTCCTGGACAGCTCACTCATTTTTTTTAACAGTCACACCACCCGTAAAGGCGTCGTTGGTCTTGTCGTTTGAATTCCTGCGCCTTTACATCAACGCATTTGCCTTCCAGGCCAATTTGAACCGAGCAGCAGCTCGGAACGCTCAGGTCGGGCCAGGAAAGGCTAGCGGGCCGCTGTTTTCTAACATCGCTGGAAAACCGGACGCGCGTTTCATATACGAGTCGATTGACGCGGCAAACTCGCTACTCAGTATTCTGAACAGCTTCATAGACCCTGTGGCAGGGCTGAAATGCATGCCGCTCAAGTATTGCCTCTACGTCATCTATGCGGCCGTGTTTCTATTCAAGGCAAGCCCTCAGAAGCCCTCAGACTGTGAACCAATAGTCTAACATCATTCGCAGGCCAGGTTGGCGGGAGCAATAAGTAGCGAGGGCGACCGTGGAGTGCGACGTGCAATCCACGGTACCATTACACAGTTACAGAAAACATCCAACAACCCGCAGAGCCTCGGGCGAAGATATGCCACGTCACTGCGACTGCTCTGGAGGAAGTCGTCTGCAAAGCCGTCTACCAAGGGCGCTACCCGCAGTGACCCGGTAAGCGAGCCACCAGAGCTCTCAATGAGCCAATTGGAAGGGCAAGAGAATATTGTGCCATCGGCGACGAGCAAATCCGCAATGGACATGGACCCGTTGAGCGGGTTTTCGTGGAGGGACTTGGACTCGCTGGGACAGTTTATAGCGAACAACACGACGATGAATATGACTGATGGGATACTTGCGGGTACAGACTTTGATTGGGAGCACAGCTCGGGAGGACTCGATGATCTTGCGATGCGACCACAGTTTGACACGATGTGGGCGGGGCATGACATTATTTTCTAGGGAATCGGCAAAGGTACCGGACGTTTCGGAGTAAGGGTGTCAGCGGTTTTTTTGTCGGATGGATACGGTCTCTTTATCATGTGCAAGTTGTTGTAATATATATGACGAAAAATATACGAACGTCCTGCCATAAAAAAGAATATGGTGTCTTTGGGCCACAGCCAAGCCAAGGAAGGCCGGTCATGGAAAAAATCATGTCGGCAATTGCCGCACGGGCGGCGGGGGTTGAAGCGAGGGCCCACACCAACGGCACACTCACGGCCGTTTGCGATTCATGAGGGTTCATCGCGAACCATTTATATAGCTCATTAAGGCAATCTTCAGTCAAGTACCCAGTGGAGCTTCAGCACCACTAATTCTCCGGGTAGTCTAGTTGGTTTATGGCGTCTGACTGTAAGAGAACAGCTTAATCAGAATGTCGCGTGTTCGAATCACGCCCTGGAGACTCTTTTTTGCCACGGCTCTGTGGCGGGGTAGATATTATTTCAGACCAACTCTTTTTTTTAATTCCCTTTCTTCGCCAGCATAGTAAGTAAGCGTGGAGTTTTTTTTTTTTCAGACTCGTCAGAGACCTACTCGCGTTCATCGTGTTCCATTCTTCGTCCTTATCGGTTGATCCCACCACCACGCTCACTCATCCATTCATGTACTATAAAATGGCATGACCATGGTCGCTCTAGTAAAGTACGCAGCGTTCGTGCATACCCTGTTCACCGTATCCATCTCGGCCATATATCCCAGCACCCCGCAAAGTCTTCCCGAAGCATTACAAATAGAAATCCATAGGCTAAGTACATTTGAACACACGTTCCAAGCCCAGTTACCTGCCCTTGTCACACCTGTAACAATTATAATAATGGCTGCTATGTACCATTTTAAAATTGAATTTGGTTTGCCATCTACTTTTCCTCTTCCCATGTAATACCATAAGTCTTATCGCGCTGCAATGCTCCATCCGCCGTCTACGGGCCTCACATAATTCTCCCACCGGGCGCTCACTCCTCTAATAAAAACTCCCTCAAGACCATGCGCTATGAGGACGCCTGTGATGATTTATAGTCCCCCGCTTCTCTAATAACTCGCTACCCTTGTGCCAAAACTGCTTTATTCACCTTTATATCAGTTATTAGACCTTCCATCACCAAGACAGATAGCTTACAAGCCTCCGAATCCATCTCCGACGACCTTTTAATACTAGCAAATATTTGTGTTTTGTGACAATTGGTGTGAGAGCGGTGGAGTCCGGTAGCAGTCTTCAGCTTCTTCAAGAGGTAGAGGCCATTCCGTACATTGGTACTATGAGTGCGTGATAATATTCCTGATTATGGATCCAATCCAAACACACATCAGCAGGGAAGGGGGATAAAGCAGCTACATCCATTTGTATCTTAACGACCAGGTTCGACACAAAAAGCAAGTAGTTTAACTGAACTGACTGAAATCACACACCGGCAAGTTCCTCTGGCCAACTCATATAGCTAAGTGAAACAATGGCAAAAATAAAAGAACACAATGTAGAATCTACTAGTTATCAAACTTTTCCAGCACTTTCTATAGCGCTCCTCTCTGGCTCTACACTCAGCACGAATTTGAGCGCGTTCGGCTGCTGTTGGCATGTGAGTGTCAACACCCACGATCTGATAATTGGGATTGGCATTGGTGAGGCTGTCAGTCGTCGTCAGCGATGAGAATAGGAAGGGTACGCGTGCCATTCTGGATAGTGGTTAGTGAATGTCCATCATAGCAAAAGTCATAAGCGTTGTGCTTACCTGATGACGCCCGACGTGCTCAAAAGCTCGCTTGGCGTCGAGAGGCTGAAGACGGAGGACATTGCGGCCACGATTAAGCAGGTCTACTGACCATGCTTTTCCAACTAGCACGGGGTGACTCTGTCGGTGACCCATTTCCCAGTCAACCACGTTGCTGGCCAGATCATTTATGGCGTCGATGAGTTTCCTGCTCATCGGGTTTGGATCTCCAGGGATCGGGTACTCGGTGGCAAAACGCCTTAGAGCATAGGAATAGATTAGTCGATCGACCTCTATTTGGATATCCACCAGTTTATTGTTGTAGGGATATTTAATAACGCAGCGATTAAGAAATATATTATTGCGACGGGAGGGCGTGTTTATATTGCTGCAGAAAGCGTTAGCTATTAGCACGGCGGTAATAAGATTTGCCATGTAATTGAATGATACTCACACGAATGATATTGTAGTAATCGACGTGATAAAATAAAGGGCGCGGACGGCGAGGGCGATGGTGTAATTGCTGGGAGGCAGCGAGGAAGGTAGGTGTGATGTGTGAGGGATGAAAAGAGGCTGCTGTGATGTTTCGGGGGTTAAATAAGGTTATCATGATAGTCAGCGATTCACTTACTACATGCTTGGGCAGCTGGCTGCAGCCGTTTCTCAAGTGTGGTGTTACAATATGAGAATGTTGTGAGATGAATCTGACATTTGCAGCAAACGGCTGTGGCAATTACGTCTGGTACATCCAAGTCACACGATTCCCCTCGCACCTGCAGAAATTAAGCGTTTGTGTGTGTTGAAACTTGACGTGGACTCTCTCGCCAAATCACAGTTGAGACAGCTGCGACAGATTTCTCTCCTTCGCAACCCTCCCCCAAACGCATCACATTTATCGCCATGCAAAACTCATCATCTCTAGCACCAGCGTACGGCCTCTTTCTATTGCAATTACTTACAAGTTTACCGATATATTTTTAGAGACGGTTATAGCTGTCAATGATACTTTGATCATTGTGGCTGCAACGAGCCAGCGCAAGCATATAACAAGGGCGAGGGTCAGGCATTATAAATGAATAGTAAGTATCGTTGACAGCTATAACCGTACTTTGAGATGATGTTCTCACCCTTTCTTAATTGCAATACATGCTAACTATTTGACGAGGCATTCTGGTCAAGTTTTACACCAAGGGCTACGTTCACTATGTGGAGGCCATTGATTACGCGAATCGCACGATGAACTTGAGGCTTTACAATGTGAACATTAAGACGTCAGATGATGCTTTGGAGCTGGCCATGTACTTCACTTTCGTCCAAGCCTTGCAAGAGGGGATGATGTTGATGCATGCTGGCCAAGGACCCACGAGCCTTTGAGAAGGACAAGGAGAATGAGAAGGACAAGGAATGGCAAACTTGACCCAGTGGCGTTCCACTCCAAAAAGTCATCGCCAGCAGAAATTGACGAATTATGAAATCCATAGGCTACATTTCAACATTTGCCCGAAGCCCGCGCGGTCTCTCAAACCTGATAAAACTAGGTTTCGGGTAGCCACCCGCGCACCGGAGGCCCTGATTCCCCACGCGTCAAGGATTGGCATCGGCGAGCGCTCTTCCACCACCATGACACACCTGACTCTCCGTCTGTCGGCGTCTCTCGACAAACAGGACTCCGGGGAAAAGGCCACTCAACCCCACAATTTCCCCGGCACCCCGCGGATAAAAAAGGCCAAGGTTCTTGTAGGTTTCCTGTTTTGTGAACAGGAACATGTCCGGATGGATGCATTTGCAGCCTTGTACGGAGTAGGTGAAGATATTTTTCTCCGCTGCGAGCTGCGCATAGACAAACGGGCCGACTGCAAGCGTTGCGGATTACTGCGTGGCGCCTGGGATAGTTTGTCGATCACCAGCAGTCGATCCTCATGTTGAGCAACGTCGAGACTGGCCACGCGGCACGACCTCTAGACAAGATGTATATCTTAAAACCATGGTCATGATCCATTTGAATAGAATTGCTTTGGTAGCGGATCATCGCTAGGTACATGCAAGTATAGAAGCAACGCTGTCTAACCAGACCTGACAAGATGCGGCCTTGCTCACTCGCCCTGCTGGCTCTCGCAACTCTTGCATCATCAGCATCAGCATCAGCATCAGCATCATCATGCCAACCTCGCACCCAGCACCTTAGTGACCCCCCTTACGAAAATTACTTCTACTCCGACTGCAATGTCGACGCGCAAGCCGTCGTCACGAGTCCCCTGCCCGACAGCAACCTCAGCATCATCGGACCGCGTCTCATCGTCGCGTTCCCCGCCGGGAACAGCGGCATTTGCACCTTTTTCCAGCCGCACAAGGACAAGAATGGCACGCTGGCGGTTGCGCTCGTCAATTCGACCCTGGGAGCGCCCCTCGGCGCAGTCACGTCTCAGACAAATGCCACCAAGTATCCCCATGTCGGCGTGCAGGGCATCCTGTCTTTCAACAACTCGGCCGAGATGGCCGTGGCTATCCTCGGCAGCGTCCGAAACATCCGCGACTTCACCGAGGGGCCGAGTCTCTTGAGTCCCGTCATCCAGGACGCCGTCAAGGTGGCCAGGTACAACGGCACGGGGGTGCAGCTGTCGCGGCTGTGGCTGGACAACGTCACGACAACCACGCTCACCCTGGTCCCCTGGAGGAACGACAACGCCAGTATCCGCATCTCCAACAAGACGGTCGTCTTCGGCGCCGGCTTCTACCACTTCTCCACGACCTTCAACTACCCGCAGCTCAAGCAGCTCGAGCCCCGGCAGATCCTGAACAACCAGTCGCAGGGCCTCGCCCAGCAGGACCCCGCGGGCCAGGTGAGCTCGCTGTCCTTCTTCTCCTACACGGAGAAGCTGCTCGCCGGGGGCTGGCGCTTCCTCACCTACTTCGGCCGCGACAGCCTCATATCCGCGCTGCTCCTGCAGCCCGTCCTCAGCACGGGCAACGGGTCGGCAATGGAGGCCGTCATCGGCGCCGCCCTGGAGCGCATCAACCGCACCGACGGCTCGGTGTGCCACGAGGAGACCATCGGCGACTACGCCACGTTTCTCAACATGCAGGGGAACCTCTCCTCCACCGCCGCCGGCTTCACCTACCCCATGATCGACACCGACTACTACCTCCCCATCGTGATGGACAAGTACTTCCAGGCCCAGCCGGGCCGGATCCAGCCACTCCTAGCGACGAGGGCCGGCGCCGTCGACGCCGACAACAGGAACCTCACCTGGGGACAGTTGGCGTACATTAGTGCCCAGAAGATCATGAACATGACCGCCGCGTTTGAGAAGAACCCGTCCGTCGCGAACCTGATCCACCTCAAACAGGGCCAAGTCGTCGGACAATGGCGCGACTCGACGTACGGCATTGCCAACGCCCGCATCCCCTTCGACGTCAACTGCGCCCTGGCACCGGCGGCACTGTACTCCATCTCCCGGCTGGCCGGCATGCACGGCGTGTACCCAAACACCCCGGCGACATCGGGCTGGGCCTCGGCGGCGGCCCGGCGCGCACGCGTCTGGGAGGCCGAAACCCTCCGCTTCTTCCAGTACAACACCACGCTGGACACGGCGCGGGCCAGGCTGGCCGACTACGCCGCCAAGAACACCTTCTACAAGGGTCCCACCAACGCCGACTCCCTGGGCAGGTACTCCTCGGCCGGGGGGCTCATCGTCGACTACGGCATCGCCGTCCACAGCGCCGCGGCGCCCGACGTCGTCCCCGTCAGCCACACCGACACGGCGTTCAGACACTTCCTCCTCAACGCCACCGGCGACGACGCGCAGCTGACGGCCTTTGTCAACGCGTCGGCGAATGCCATCCTGCGCCCCTTCCCCGCGGGCCTGACCACCCCCGTCGGCGCCGTCGTCGCCAACCCCGCGCTGTCGGGGCGGGACGTGCTCATCGCCAACTTTACCAACGCGGCGTACCACGGGACCGTCGTCTGGGGCTGGCAGCTCGCCCTCATGGCCAAGGGCTTCGAGAGGCAGCTCGCGCGGTGCGGCACCCCGGCGCCCGCCGGGCCCCCGGGCTTCTGTAGGGACCAGGCCGTGCTCGGGGCGCTTAGGGCCGCGTACAACCGCTTGTGGGACGTGATTGAGGACAACGAGGGGCAGCTGCAGTCCGAGGTATGGAGCTGGACGTTTGGCGCGTCCGGCAACGGGACCGGCGGAGCGTACAAGCTCTCGCCGCTGGGCGTGTTGCCGCCGCCGCCTGGTGTCGGTGCCGGGACGGAGAGCGATGTGAGGCAGCTGTGGAGTTTGACGTTTCTCGCCGTGAAGAGGAATAAGGCGTATCAGTAGGCGGGAACTATGCATGGACTCTTGTTGCTTGGGTTGGGTATATATATGTATATAGGTGCCGCTTTCACCATTGTAATTTGAGACGTGTGCAAAAAAACAAGTTCCAAGTGTTCTCTTTTGTAAATGGCAGTGCAGCACTTGGCCGTACGCTAATAAATGTAGATAAACTCATCGTTCTGACGGTCTGTGAGATCCATAAACGCCTTCTCTCCTGTACGTGCCTCGCCAGCAAACTCTACAGTTCCAGCTGCAGTCTCGACGGCGTCCTCGCTCTCCTCGCCCATGGCGTGATATGTAGATTGCATCGAATGATCAACCATCTTGGCCTTCTTGCCGTTTCGAACACGCTTCTTCTCTTGGAGCTTGTTGAGCAGGATCAAGTTGGCCCACTGGATGAGGACAACGGCCACGAGCGCCACAAAGATGGCCAGACAGGCTCGGAGCCCGGGCTTGTAGGCGGGCGCGTCCTTCTCGTTGAAGAGAAGCGGGCCGATGATGTTGCCCGCCGAGCTGGCGGCGTTGTACACGCTCATGATGGCCGACTTCTTGGTGGTACCGGCCGTGTTGCCGACAATCCAGGTCACGATGAGCGGGTTCCCGCCAAAGAGGAATGCAAGGAGATAGTACCCGACCAGCAGGGCGGGCTTGGCGGATTGGCCGCGGGGAACAGAGTAGAGCACGGCCAGGCCAGCTACGACGGGAAGCATGAAGACCACCAGGACGGCCCCCTTGAGACGTGCCTTTTGGGCCAAGAAACTGGCCAGCAGGATGACGATGATTTGCACGGCGCCAAAGGGCATGTTGAGCAGACTGGTCATGTATTTGTCGGAAACCAGGCCGTTGAGAATAAGGGGACCAAAGGTGTTGGTGACGCTGGCGCCAACGTTTAACAGCAGCGCCATGCCGATCCAGAGGTAGGTCTTGGGCTCGAGGGCGGCCTCGAGAAGGTGTTGCCACTTGAACTCGCGGGAACCGGTACCGGTCTGGTTCGCTCGAAGCCGTTCAATGGCCTGGGCCCTTTCGTGCTCGGTGAGGAATCGGGCGGATGAGACATCGTTGTCGAGCTTCCAGTATACAAAGGGGGCCGAGACGATGGTGACGAGACCAACGAAGAGGAAGATGCTGTATGGATTCTACAGTTAGTCCGACATCTGCCATGGAACAAAAGGCGCAAAAGACACGTACATTTGCCACTCCTTGAGCAAATCCGACTTGATGTGGCCCAGGCCGTAGGACAAGGCGGCAGCGATGATGGTTGCCGCTCCGTTGGTGCCGTACCATGCGGCAACGCGAATCGGCTGCTCGGCGCGCCTGTACCACTGGCTCGTGATGATGCTAAACAGCGGCAGGCAACCGGCCTCGAAGAGTCCCAGGAAGAAGCGAGCGGCCATGAGGCTCCCAAAGTTGTGGCAGGCGGCCATGGAGGCCTGTGCAATGCCCCATCCCAGACAGAGGGTCGGCATCAGGATGCGATGAGGCACCTTGACGATCAGGAAGGACGAAAAGGGCTGCCATGCCAGCTGGGCAATCGGGGCGATGGACCCAACCAGCGAGTACTCGTTGCCGGTCAGATGGGTGTCTTCCTTGAGTCCGTAGGTCGCGCCGTACCCAAGCACGGACTTGTCGAGGATTTGCAAGAAGTAGACCCAGACAAGGATGGCCAAGATGACCTTGTCCGTCTTGCGGCGGATGCGGCGACTGTCCTCGTCAGTCAATTCGACCTGTCCGTCGCCAATGAGCGCCAAAGCCCGGTCCGCATGTCTCAGCTGATCCTGCAGCACGGCGCTCTTGACGTGGTCTTGGTCGATGCTGTGCTGGTGCTCCTCGTGAGCAGAGTTCAACTTGGGATCTGGTTGTGGTGGCATGGTGTTGACTGGGACTTGAACTTCAGGTCCGCCGCCCCGTTGGGATATTGTTGCAATCGGCAGGAAAGCAATGGAGAGGCAGATGGATGACAACCAGTCCCTATCGAGTCTGGACAAGACGGGAGCCGAGCGGCTCTTATATCCTGACGGCGCCAACGCTACTCCGTATATCCGGCATGAAGACACGAGAAAGGGTCAAGTTGGCTCGAGCTGATTGATTTCGCCAAGCGGGACTCCATGTCTGGACATTCGACGCCCCCCACATGGGTGGAGCCCGGGAGCCATTGGGAGCCTGGGGGAGTACTCAACTACCAGTACTGGCGCTGGACCGGACGCTACGGCACCAGCGAAGACTTGGAAAAGCCGGCACGCTATTGCAGCCACCGGAAGCTGCACGGTCTGGTGCTCACGGTTCACGGAGGAGGCACCTGGGCAATGGATGGCTCGGCCACGTCGAACGGGTCGCTGTTCAAAAGCCGACGGCCACGTGAGGCCACCAGATTGACCTTCTTCTCAATTGCCCCCAGTGCCAACTTTTGAAACCCCCCACGCTCTCCGCGCCCCAGATGCGCCCCCGGATTTGCCTCTGTTCAATGTCGAATCAATTAGAATTGGCGCTGTGCAAAGTTTGCCGCCCCCCAGAAGTGGCGTTTCCCAGATCTCCAGAGGCACCCCGGAATGTTACCCCGAACAATTCATTCATCCAGGCGCTGCGCAGATCATCGTCGGGCTGTTCTGGCACCCGTAGGTGTTTTTTTTTTTTCATTTCAGCGTTTTTTGATTCATGCTTCGAGCAATTCTACTGCAATTCTTGGCTTTGCTGCTTGCCGCATCTCCTCGTCTCTCAGCCCGCATGTCTCCTGATGTACAGCAGGTGTTGTAGTTGCACTCGTTCCGGCTATTGAGCCATTGCTTTCCAACCACCGACGCCACGCAGCCTTCACGCACCTCAATAGCCGACCGGCCTGAACACATTAACCAATCATTCCTCAATCCCACGAATATAGCCAGCGGCTGTTCCGCGTGGCGACGGTCCAGGTCGAAATGGCCGCACTGTTGGCCAACCGCAAACCGCAAACCCCAGTCGACATTGTTTCCAAGACCTGGACGCCAAGCTTGCAGGTTGGCACATAATAGAGTCTGGGGAAGAGTCGGGTGTTTTTGTATAGGAGTCAATATCCAAGGCATCTGGTCCAACCAGCCGGTTGGCATCAAACCACCCGCCACCACATGATGCGAATAGCAGCCGGGATGGAGCATTCGTTGGACCAGCATCCGTCCCCCACCTTGTGGCATGATTATTAGGGGATGATCAATCGGTTACTGACGCGGATACTCCAAGTGATATCATTGCTGTCAATAGTAGTCTGTAGTTGTAGAGCGGCTATTGCTACATGGTGTTGCGATGTGATGCGATGTGATGCGGTGCAATGCGATGCATCCCCGAGGCAATTGCCATTAGCCTTTCCTGACCCGTGACAACCCAGAGCGGCATTTGACCTCCTGATATACTTGTCGAAATCAATATCCATGCCAGACATATTTCTCGTCATAGGTTTGTCACGCACGGCAATTGATTCCGTCTCTCGAGCTCAACATCTCACCATAACTGCCTCGCATTTGCCGCCCAACATTCTAATTAACGTAACCGCTTGGCAACGGCCAGTCAGCTTACGCCGCAACCCTGCGCAATTACACAATGCCAGCCACATAATTCAAAAGCCATCGCCTCATAAAAACAATAGCCGGCGTGCAGATACCCTCAGAAAGCGCCAAATGCCGCTCCTCCAAGTCCTCGATGCACAAGACATCAGTCCCAAGGAATATCTGGTGGAGCCTGTTTCTTTGAACTCAACCCCAACCCGAGACTCTCAAAACCGACCTCGACCCATCAATTCGTCGGCTCGGCTTTCTCGTCCTCCGGCGCACACATGGACTGTATCCCGCCAGTCCCTTGCGGCGTCCTCCTCGCGAGGCTGTGAGAAATGTCAAGTGCCGCCATCCTAGACGCCGTCGCGCAGCACGGCATACCCTTCCAGGGTTCCGAGTTTGGAACTCCTCGAGCCAAGGATTCTATTTGAACGCACATGTATTTACGAGCCGGGGGCAAAACCTCAAGACCGGCGGCGCGACGCCCTCAAGAGGCCGCCTTGTGGATGGCCGCACGCCGTGCTCAACACAGAGCATGTTGATATAGGGGCAGTCCGAGAGGATCCGAGTCACACATGGCGAAGGCATGGACAAAGAGGAGCACACGGAATTTTGAGAGAGTAAAAAGACAATTGCAAGAGTAACGATGCTCATTGTTTTACAAAGAAGAAGAATTTTTTGTGCATTCTAGTCAAGTATGTTCTCATAGTCCAAACTCATAACGCATATCCCGTAGCGACTGTCTTTGACCAAGGAATAAATGAAATGCAGCTACAGCTTAATAGTGGGCAAGTCTGACATGTGTACCTTGGCAGCGCCGTACGGAATCAGTCTATACGTCTTCTTGTCTCCAATGCATCTTCTATCGGCTAGGGCCGGTGGCAAGTCCGGAATGGTATCCATGTACAAGCCCCATTCGATCTCGCACCCGTCCACAGTCACGTAATTGGGCGGCTGGCCGTACTCGAAGATGGGGTCAACCAGGCGCTTGTTGCCGGCGTCGCTGTACTTCAAGGTGCTAGGGTCAATGGCCACGTTCCAGGGCTGGGTGTTTTTGATGTAGTAGTCGCGGAGTTCTCTGTAGGGCAGGTAGTCCAGCCCTTCGCCCTTGGTGTCGTAAAAGGCGTGCGGGAAGGACGACGTGTTTGAATATCCGACGTCGAGAGCGTACAGCATGTTGCCGAAAAAGACGGCGACGCTGTCGCCGGGACGCTCCTCGGTGCGGACGGCGGCGCTAATGGTGAATCTGACCTTGGAGCCCCCTGCCTGGATGGGAACCTTTTGCATGCCCTTTCCGGTGCCGGCGTCGGTGGTGGAAACCCCGGATGGTGACACGGCCGTGATGGTGTAGCCGGTCGCCCAGTCCGGAACACGGAGGTAGAGGTCGAATTCTGCCTCTGCGTCGATTGTATATACCAGGGTGTCTCCGAATGGATATGTAGTGTCGCAGGTGATGGTGACGGGGTCCTTGTTGACAGTTGTCATTACTTTGGTCGGGCTGAGAAGAGCGTGACCGAGGCCATTCTCGCCGACTCTCACCCAGCTGTGTGAGACAAATTTGGGATATCCCTGTCCGTGGTTGACAGTGCAGCAGGGGTAGAGGGGCTCCATTCCAAACGTCGTCGCGAGGCCGCTGTTGGCGGTTGTGAATACGTTGGGCACATGTCCATCTACTTTGGTTATGTTGATAGCCCACGGCTGATTTGGCTGCGCCATGTACTGGTGCGCCCATTTGCCGCGCGACCTCCTCCTCTCCTCTTCAGTGCCATCAAATTGGTCGCCCGTCATCATGGCGGGAAAGGCATTGAAGATGGTGCGCTCGGCTCTGTCCGCAAAGACGTTGTCGCCGAGGATCTGGTAGAGATATGCCAAGGAGTAGCTGGTTTCAACAGCCGTACACAACTCGCTGCCAGCATAAGGAGCCGAGGTGTGTTCGTGCTCGTCAGCAAGAATAGTCCCAGAAGCCGACCCGTAGTTGGTGAAGGTCCAATCTACGGCTTTATGTGTCATGTCAATCATGGCCTGGCTGCCGTTAATGCGATAAAGGACAGATGATGCCTTGAGACCTACAAAGGGCTGAGTCAGTATTATTGGAGTACCACCGGCCATAGCATCAACTGATGTGCTCACCTTGTCCCACGTTTACGCCATGAATAAACGGGTGAGTGCGAGAATCCGCCGGATTAGCAGGCTGGACGTTGGCGTACCAGGCGTCCCAATTGCGTGGGTTCTGGGAATAAAACATGTCCATGTTCTCCCACAGCACCGAGTCTTCTTCGGGGGACCCTGGATGGTTCTCAAGGAGCCATTGGATGGTGATGATGAGATCGTGGATACGAACCTGACCCCATGTGCAGTCCACATCTCTGTGGCATCTGGCAAATCCCTCGCTCTGGTTGTTCAGCATCTTGTTTGCCAAGGTCATGAAGCGACGCAGGCTGTCGACAACGGGCTTCTCCCATTGCGCCTTGTCTGCCTCGGCCAGCTGGATCAGACCCAGGAACATGGGAGTTCGCGCCCAGAAGTTCCTCAACTCTCCGACCTCGGGGCCAATCCAGCCGTCACCAGCCTGGTGTCCGAGAACCTGTGTGGCGACCTGTTCCGCCTGCTCCCTGAGTCTGTGATTGTCAAGAGTGTAAGCCAGGGGCACGATGGAGTTGAACCAATACGGCAGCGCCTCATTGAGGTTGCTGTATTCGACACCATTGGTGCCTGGCTCGTTCAGCCAGCTGGACAAATTCACATAGACGTAGAAGTCGTGCTCATGTCCAAAGAGGCCATCCGCCATGGCGCGGCTCTCTCCCCACAACCAGCCGTTTGCCTTGATGTCTCCCAGCGGCAGGGGAGCATACTGCCATGGCTGGACTGTAAAACAAATCAGGCAGGTCAGTCAAAGGTGTCGATCCCTCGAGGGAGGAGTGTTACTTACGAGTTCTCGCGGATGATACGGCGCCAACGAGGGCGCTGAGAGGAAGCTGGGCGACTACAAAACGTCTCGTCAACCGCATTGTTGCTGAAAACTGCTGCTCGGAAACAGGGAGAAACGACTGCAACACAACAAAAGTGACTTGCTTGACATGTTTCAACTCTCCAAGAAAGGATCATCACGGCAGCGGTGATCAACGACTTATATGAGGTGGCACTTACCATCCATGATTGCTTCTCCCCCGCGTGAGACCTGCACTCTTTCCCTGGTGCAAATCACAATCCAGATTCCGAGCCGAGAACATACCGGTATGCGACCAAACCAAGGACCTGGTAACACAAAAGGACCGGGCGGTGGAAAATTACAGTCTCATGCGGGCGGCTACGTGCAATGGAATGGAATGGAATGCAACGAGCGCGCGAATGCACGTCGGCAAAGGCCACCAGCGGTGTAACGGACCGAAAAGTAAACACCTAAAGCGCCCAGGTAAGTCAAGATGCAAAAGGCAAGTCAAGGGTTGAGGCGTCGCGTGCGCGTGATGCACTTTGGTTCCCTCGGTGCAACCTCACGGACCACGGATCTGGCTGAGGAGGAGACAAAAGCGGTGTTTTAACTCGCCGCCTCGCCGTCTATGTACATGATTTTCGCCAACCATGTGTGCCAATGCAAGAATAGCGTTTTGCGGCAAGTGCTCGAGTGTCTTTGTGATCTGTTCATGCGGGGGAGAGCCTGGTCCCCTGACCCAAGACAGACTCAAAAGTGTGCCAGTTGACCCGGCTCATCTCCACGATGCAGGGCAGGCTGGCCCACGGAGCCAATCACATCGAGGCGGCCACGCGCGTAAATTGGACAATTGGAAAGCGGGTTTCAAGTCTGTGAGACGCGCCATGGCCAATGCTGGCGCGGAGCACGGAGTAGAGCGCCCGAGAAGGGAAAAAGGGAAGAAAATAAAAAGGAAATTGAAACGCGGCGCGCAGGGGAAGGAGCGGCCCAGATTGCCGACGTTCACCTTTGTGAATGTACCACTACTCCGCACCGAGTCTGGAATATGATATGTACATCTCTGTACGGAGTATGCGCCGTACAAAAAGACTCGCCTAGCCAACACTGATCGTCGCTGGCCAGGCCACGGCGCGCATCCATCCGGCGACAAACTCTGAAAGCAGACGGGCAGATCAGACAAATTCCCTCGCCCACGCCGTCATGACCTCTTTACACGTGGCATCGCCATTTCTCAACGACGATCGCTCCCCGACATCGAGACAACGGACACGCTGCCCGTCCTGGGCATACGATGCGCGGTCTGGGAGGACGTCCCCGTGCGAGGTCCACGCAGGTCCAACATGTAATGGCACGCAACAATACATATGCACGGCAACATTGCAAGCGGCATGGAGCAGCACGTCACGGAGTCATGGAGATGCGGAGGCGCGGAGCACAAGGACAGGCATCACGAAGTAAGGACGGCGCAACAATGCATGATCCAGGTGAAAACCCTCGCGTCGCACCGCCCCCCCCTCAGACAACGGCAATTCCTTGTTCGCCGTGTCACATCTAAATTTGACGTCCGATCGAATCTTGGCGCCGCATGCTCTGTCCATGTAGACTGTTGATGGGTGGTGTGGTGTCGGTGCCATGTGCAGCTCGTTGTGATGCCATTGTTCCGGTGATATCGCCTTCGGCCACCGGCCCGAATCGTCCGACCTCTTTTCCTCCCCTCTTTTCGCGGGGAGGCAATTCTGGGCTAGGCGTAACCCGTACGCCCAGAGTTCTGGATGCATTCGAGAACCAATGGCGGCAGCCTGACGCGGGGAAGTTTGGACATATTGAAGCACCTGACTTGTCGTGAGTGGCCAACGTTCAAGTGATTCAAACAAGAAGCTCGAATGCTACACATGTTTGTTGAGGGGTCTCGATGGCATCACCTGCTCATCACCGACGGCCAAATCTCTGTACAAGTCAATGCCGGCGCAAGTTAGTGGATTGCCGCCATTCCCGCTGCAGCACATGATGACTTCAAAGTCGTACATACTTTCCCCCCCTTCCTCGTGATGGCGTCTACATCGCTCGAGGGTTGGTGCTGGATTGCAGTGCCTAATGTTCCAGGTTTACGCCTGTTTTGACCCTGGGGGAGGGACAACATACTACGAGTTGGATCCGGATAGAGCGGCGATTGCTCGAGTTGGATGATGTAGGTTGTGGATGTAGTTGCTCACAGACGTAGCAGACACAGCAGCCAAGGGATACATGGCAAAAGTGCCTTTTGAGAATTTTGCTATGTGCAAGACTCAAAAAACGCCATGATTAGCTTCTTCACGCGGTCAGGAATCTGTGACGTGCAAAGTTTCGCCTCGCCGCTGAATACGACCAAAGGTGTTGAGAGACAAATAATCATATATAGTCTAAATCCACACTGATCGTTTGTCGACGTTAATAATAGCCTTCTGTCCGTCCGAGGAGCAGATGGATAACAAAATCGATTAGGCTACCGACTCTTACGTAAAGGCCCGGGTGGTGATACAGGCTGACACTAACAGGATCTACTGCTTCTCAGACCACGGAATACTGACGCCAAAATCCTCAGCGACCTTCATTGCCGAGACGACACACCCTTCCAAAAGAACCAAGCCATCCCAGCACCAGGAGCCTACAATCCACACGTTATCCTTTCCGTTCACCCACACATCCTCACTGCCATGTGCCGATGTGTCCTTGCCCATCACCCTTTCCACCATGCTCCTACTCCGTATGGTCCGTAGTGTTCGGGTGAATTTTGACGTGTGCAAGCTTCCCTTAGATTCTGCAATGCAGGCAGAAGGACTTGTCCTGATGACCACTCCGCTGGGCAGGAAATGGAACGACTCGGACTGGGCAGTGCCGCCATGGAAGGCGGTCCTGAATTCCATAATCTGGGCATCGCCCCCACGATACGAGCATTCTCCGGACGGCGTTTGTCCCTCGCCGCGGGCAAGGGATACGCCCCCGGAAGGCGGGGCGAGGATCGAGCTTGTGACGGGAGCCGTTGGGATCACGCCCAGCGTGGATCTGGACGGGCTGAAAATGGTGGCAGCAACGTTTGGAGATACAGCGAGCACCACGCGATCAAATATCTCTTCCGAGGAAGAGGATCTTCCGTCCTTTGCTTGTTCCCAGCGCACGAGCATGCCTTGGTCGACTCGAGTCACCTGGGTAACCCGTGCTCCCAGGCGAACGTCTTCGATTCCCTTGGATAGTGTCGATTGGACGCGGTTGACACCTCCCTGAGGAACAAATGTTTTTCGAAAGAAAGACCCCTTTACGAAATCAACGACGTCACTTGCTGGAAAATCCATCATTTCAGCGTGTGAACAACTACATATGATGCTCAGCACGGGGAGGAGATAATACACTGCGTATTGTCGTGGCAGTCGTATCCTTTGTAGATAGTGATGAAAGGTTTCCGAGTCGCTGGATGACTTCGTATCAGCATCGACATCCGAGCAAGGCTCTGATTGGCTCGTCCATGGCTGGAGAAGAAAGCAGGCCACGAAGAACCACATGTGGCATATCGCCAGATAAAACGTTTGGAGGATCTGCCGCAGGGAGCTGTGCCAGAAATTTGGTGATAACAGCAAAAGTTCGTGCAGCCTCCTGTTATAGACGAAGTAGGAGTCCGGTATCGTCTCTGCATCTCTTGGTTCGGGTGGCGGCTCATATTGTGATGTCGCAGAGGCCTTTGTGTAGACCCAGACGAGGCGGATCCGTTGAAAGCCAATACCTAGGTGCTCGTACATGCGACAAAGGTTGTTGTAGTAGCCTTTGCAAAAGCTACGCGGTGGAACGTCCACGCGCTCATTTTTGCCCGTCTTTGCATTGCTGAGCGTGATAGATGCGGCGTCGAGCGATAGCGTGTCTGCCTACGGATTGTTAGTATTTCACCTGTCGCATCGTCATGGTCTGCACTCTGTACCTGTTCAAAAAGCGTCACGCCGTACCGCTTTCGCTCATCATGGTGGACAAGATAGGCAGTCGTTAGCCCAGCTAATCCAGTCCCAATGATGGCGACACGACTTTTACGACTGGAGCCATCTGTCGCCTCGCCCTGCCGCTGTCGCTGGTTCATATTTCTATGATGCGCAAACTTGGTCCCAGACGGTGTGTAACCGATGTCTCGCAATCCGGAAGTCGTATATCGAAGATGTCTTGGAGCGGTCAGGTTCTGCACTACAGGATAGGAGAAGGGATGAAGGATGGTGTAACCACCAGCTCCCGACTCCGTACGTACAGTACTACTCGGTAGTCCACAAGACGTCAACACCTGGAGGGGTCGTGCACGTGGCGTCTGATCGACAACGATGTTGGAGCGGTTGTCATGGTCTGGAAGATGCCACTAGGTAACGTAGTCTGGTGCTACAGTTGGGACGGATCTTAGGGTGTACGGCGACGCCGTTGTGTTCCAATATTAATTGCATCGTTACGATGTTCACTCCAGATGACGCAGCGACCTCGGGTCAACGTTGACGAGAGATGCCCGACTATGATTTCGCCCAGAAAAAAAGTTGCAAAGCACGGTTTGCTATTGGACGAGGGCTGGGGCCTGGAAACCCTCTGCGGCGCAACAGACATGCCGACCCGGGAGACAATGGCGCCAATGTGTTGGGCCTTTGTATCCGCACCTCGGCATCAATTCAATCCGGCCGCTCCACTTGCAGGCTGCGATTGGCCAGGCTGCGACAGGCCTCTTTTGGCAATAGTTTTTTTTTTCTTGCCTCCAGTCTTCTTTAATCCAACAGCTGCTACGGCCAATGACCCATCACGATGATTTTCCCCCATAGGCTCAATCAACAAGAGTAGCAAATGTAGAAGCTACGAGATATTGTAAGACAATAGACGCCAGATTTGAATGCAAGGAACCCGGATGTGAGACCAGTCACGAACGCGCGAACCTGGCAAGAAGCCCAAACCGCCTCCATGTTAGAACCTAGAAGTGACTATCAAGCTGGGCGGCTTGGAGCTTCCTACATTGTCACCAATATCCAAGCTCGTCGGGCGGAGCTCGCTTGCGATTCAACTCGGCAGGCGCCGACCAGCTGCCCGCCGTAATGATAGTAGCGACAATAGCCTTTGCATATATTCAAATACTTAGACTTATCCTTTCTTTTCAAGCAATAGTGCGTCTGGAAAATGCGGCAGTTATATATTCTCGAATCTTGTAGTCTTTGGTCGTCGCCCAAATCAAGAATCTTATCCTCCACCCCCGGCAACACGCTGGCTGTTTTGGTATTAGTTCGCGGACAAACGCCACTTACGTATAGCTTCTCCGATGTTGCCTCTAACTAACAAAGCTAAACTTCGCTCCGAGAACTTTGCTTGAGCATCGAGAGCTTAAACCGCGTGCCTTCCTTGCAAACCAGGCCACGGTCTGCTTTCAGATATGCACATGCTCTCGGGACGTTCCGTGCCGTTCATAACGCTTAGCGCCATCTCATAATTGGACAAATTGTCGGGGAGTCTGCTTACTGTGGAGAATAGCATGCAGAGCCCTCGCTGCCAATCAGCCTCGGTGAGTTGTCCCTTTATCGTAAATGTGAAGCCACGCCTCCCCAATACACTAAATGCTCCCGTTCTCCCATGTACATGTCAATATGCAGATTCAACTTAGACCCGTGGACCAAGGCAAGGGACATCTGGAAGCCTTCCGCAAGAGTTGCAAAGGACAGGACTCAGTGTCGCCCACAAAGGCTGGGAGGGTAGGCGGAGTACTAACCCTAACCCTAAGCCACCCGCTCCACCCCCGCCATCAAGTCACGTGCACACAAGAAACCTCAGCGAACTACGCTTCGCGTCAGACCCTCGCTCATCTTGAATGTGACACTGCTTTTGTTCTCCCTAGTGTCCTCGCCCATTCACTACCGCGCCCGTTACAGCACCATCAGTCAAGCCTGGCGTAAGGTGACTAGCTAGCGGCTCGTTTCCCTGTACTAGTACTAGGCCACGAGGGCGCTCGATAAAGGGACTCCAGCTTGCTAGCTGCAGGCAAATATGTAGATGGCCCGATTCTAGCAATTCCAGATCATGGCTTGTACTTTCTTCCTGCCTTGCTCACTTAAGCGGCTCTCTAGATATACCTAGGCGCAGGATCTTCAACGTTTAGACCTTGGATTTACGCTGTGCCCAAGACTTTGCTGCGACATCTCAAAAAGCCGACCTCCCTCACTTGAACGACAGCCCGGCCTCGGGCTACGTAGCAGACATGCACAACCCCTTCTCACCAAGAGACTTTGTACTCGGCATTGTTGTCGGCTTCCTCATCGCGATTGCTCTCATATCCATCGGCACATTCGCGTTCCTCCGCACAAGCGACATCTACTCACTCGGGCACTGGAAACTGAACCTCAGGACTCCCCTTCGGTCAATGTGGATGAACCTAGGATTCTGGTCAGATCACCTTCGCATAATACCTGCCCTCATTCTGTATACGGTGCAAGATCCTCACACTGACTAGGAAAACGGACGACGGAAAGCCAATAGAGCATTTTGACGAAGCGACGCACACCCTGTTGGAGCAGATTCTAGAAGCGGCGGGGCTCTGTGCAAAAGATGGCTCTCCGATAAAGAGTGATTCCGTCGCGGTGCTCGACCTGGGCTTTGGGTGCGGCGACCAGACCATTGCACTGGCTAAGCTGATCCGCGCCGAGAAGAGGTCGCACTTCAGGTACGTCGGACTCACGCTGGACGAGGCCCAGCTTCAGACTGCGCGGAGGACAGTCGACAGAGCCCTTGCATTGGGACATGACGGAGAGGCAGTCGGGTTGTCCCAAGGGTCTTTCAAGTTGTTCCGCGCAAATGCGGCCAAGCCCGAAACATGGAATAGGACTATACGCTCGTCCGTGGATGCTTTGGCAGATGAGACCTTCTCTGAGCGCTGGCTCATGGCGCTGGATTGTTTGTATCACTTCTCGCCTTCTAGGAAGCCTATCTTTAAACTTGCTGCCAAGGCCTTAAACGCCCAAGTTATGGCTTTTGACTTGATTCTAGATGAGGAGGCATCGAGCTGGAACACGATGTTGGTGAGGCTTGTCGGGCTAATTATGGGATGCCCCCTGTACACGTTTCTTACAGAGGCGCAGTACCGGGAGCAACTTATTGAGTGTGGTTACGACAGAGAACATATTGAGATTCGAGACGTTTCGGATCATGTGTTTGCCGGCGTGTCCGGGTATTTGAAAAGACAGGAAGCTGCCCTAGGCCAGTATGGTATATCCCTGGGGGGTTACAAGTTGGCAGGGAGGCTGTTTGAGTGGTTTGATAGGACTAGAGTGGTGAAGGCAGCCATTGTGGTTGGGCGGACGAAGGGGACAAGCTGAATACGTTTGACGTGTCCTTGAACAGAATGTCGTGTGTCTTGGTGAACACCTGTGGCCAACCTCCTTTTTTTGACTATTTCAAGTGGAACTAGACAAAGTCTTTGGCGGTGAATCGGCATTGCGCTCTTTTACCACCTCCATTCCGTTTGTTGAATTGGGTTGAGGATCCATGGCACGTTCCTCGAGTCTCGTGATGGTAGGCACCCGAGGTCATTTCACATCTCATTCTGGTGTCCCCCCACGTGCTGCCAATCCCACTTCTGCCTCTGGATGCAATTGATGGAAATGGATGTCATGTTCGATGCTTCCAAAAAAAGACGGAGCGTGATGTAGCACACAGTATGCAACATATACAGATAACTCGGCAGAAACCGTGGCTGACACTCAACAGCTAGGAGGCAATACGCTGACGGCCAGTTCTTTTCTCAAACACACCATATGCAGCTTGTGTCTGATTACCTGGTTCCTCCTGGGCTTTTTCGTAAAGGCTACCCGTTGCAATGGGAGCGGAGCGGCCTGTGCCGAGAGATTCTAGGCCCAACTTGCCAAAACTTTTGATCATACTTCGAGTTAGATTAGGAGACGTAAATTTAGACATGGCACATCGCTCAGGTGCTCCTATATTTTTGTAGTATGAGTAAAAGTAACTGACTATCATTATAGGACCGTCAGTTGACAGATTGCCGCGGGGGCGTAATCAAATTCCTCCCATAGGTTTCTTCGCTGTTCAAGAAACGTGACAATTTCTCATGTTACCACACAATATGCATGTTGGTGAGCCTCCCATGATTAGCACCTGCTTCATGTAGGCTCTGCAACGGATTGTGGGTGTGCCGGAACATTTCCCTGAAGATAATGTGCCTGTCGATCACTGCTAGCAGCAGCGAGAATCCACGTTGATGGAACAGCCTGGGTTAAACTACTTTTTCTTATGCTGTTGTGGTCGAATTCTAATAGCCCAGAAACTGCTTGTGTGGGCTGATGCAGTGACGTACTCTGGTCCTGTTTACTTTTCGGAAGGCAATCTAAACCTTTCATGGTACATATTCCTCACAGTAATGGTCTAGCTGAAGCCTCAGTCACAAATTTGAAGGTCCCAAGTGCGGAAAAATTAGGATTCGTCGCGCTTACGATAATGCTGACGGATCTATATTCTCAAAATATCAGCTATGTAGACTCTATTGGTATGATCCTCAGCACGCAAGCTACTGCCGAGGACGGCTCCGGCAAACTGCTGACAAAAGGGCTGGGCAGTGGCGCTGTGTCAGCATATGCAAGGGCCTGGTAACTCACTCACGAAAGGATAAGCGCGACTGGGAAGCCAAGAGTATTGTTCAACGCTCGGGTGCTCCCGTCCGTGTACTGTCCCCAAGTGACTATGCCGTGATAAAGCCGTCCGACCTTCAAAACTACTGGCAGGCATATGTCGACCAGGTTTGGAGCTGTCATAGCCACAATCCACTCGCCATGGACACCCAAGGTTCAGCGGACAAGGTCATTGCCGCTTGAACGGAATTCGAATGCCTTGAAATAGCGATGACATGTCGTATAACGAACTCACAGACAGAGATATTCGAGACTACAACAGTGGTCCCGTTGGAAATTGGGGGGGAGATAAAAGCGTCCACCTTGGCGTTCTTGCTCAGATCTACGCAGCATTTCATCGTTCAACCCTGCTTATAATGGCAGGGATGTTCAACCAAAAATTCCTGCTTCTAGGCGCTACGAAGTTGATCCCACGGAAAACTATAGCCGAGCCGTCAGTGACCATGAATTTGTCTTGAAACGATGACGTCAAACGCAATGGCGAGAGCGGCTCCAGGGTGGTTTCGTCTGGACACCCAAGCGTTTTGACGGTTTCCTTTGGCGCTCCGCCCCAATGGCCAAAAATAGGCATCTCATACATGCCTCGTTGTAAATTCACGCCATGGTTCGTTGTGATTGTCGGGTATGGTTGCGTTGCGTCGCGTCTAGATCAAACGGGAGTGTCCAAAACGGACCTGGTCCCTTTGTACATCAGGCCTCGGATAGCTTGCAAATCAGTTCATAGGTGCAAGGGCAAATGTAATTTCTTCATCTCCCTGGATATTACCCCAACCTCACCCATGATTTGAGTTTCTACAGAGATGTTAGCCAGCCAGCATCGCAGGTATAGGCCAGTGAACGTAGAGTGGGAGGCAAAGGGCGTTTGTTAAAGCGTTTCCTGTTTCCAAGCGTAACACAGCTGTTGCTTTCATTGTGCACAAGCAAATAGGACGCGTTGAACAACGCCTACCTGTCCCTCCTTCATTAGGCAAGGGTTGGCGTGACTGTTGGACGGAGCGAATCGTTCCGGTGCCTGGTCTCAGGGACAAGGAGGACAGAAAGTGGTGTGGTGGGATGAACCGTAGTACAATCATTCCATCCCGTGAAATCACCCATATCCAGGGGTAGTCGTGGCCAACTTCAGAATGAGCTGCGCCTCGTATCATGATATACCTGAGAGGGGTTGGAAAGGAGAGACATCTGGAGCTTCATATGCCTCGCTGGAAAGAGCGCATGGGGTGGTGACAGCCGGCGTGGTCTGAACTCTACGGTGGAAGGAGCGACCGAGTGGAGCGAGGAACAAACTTCAATGTTCCCTTGCTTCGTGGGTTTCTCTTTTTCATGTTCAATGCACCAATTCGAAGGCTTCGAACTGCTTGGCAATGGACTTGCGCATACGAGGAGTGCTTTGTTCCATATCCAGTCTGCGCCTCAATCAAGGTGATGCGCCGACATGAGATTGCACTTCATGGTTGTTCCACACTGACCTTGGGGCATGGCAACGGAACGATCTACGGAGTAGCTTACTCTGTCCACATTATCAGGTTATGGCACATTACTCCATACGCAGGTCCGCATCCCCGGCAACCCATCGGCAAATGAGACTTGTTGTGGTGAGTTTGCAAGACAATGGCGTTTTCCATTTCTTTTGCTGCATCTGCCGCCATAAATGAGAAACCTCCAAGTCAATTGGAACACGATATCGAAAGGCTCGAAAACCACTTGTGTGAGTGGCCGGACGCGCGTCAAAGCCTAAGCCCCCTTTGCAGATGACGCCGCTCAGTGCTCTTCCAATACCATAAGTACATTGACAATACATACGATAGTGCTGCAGAAGACGCAGCGATCTCATGTGGCGCTGGATCTTCGGGAGTGTTTGGGTCTCATGCCGCGAAACAGTAGTCCGTATCCCTTGCGGAGTACTTTGTCGACGTCGCCGTGGAATTATTTATGGATCAGTGGCTCCGTAAGAGGCTCGTATAACGGTGGACGTCGAATGCACTTGACATGCAATTAAAAAAAGAGAGGGGGGGAGACAGGACGGAGGCGGACAAAAATGAGGTTGGCACTGGGCTGCCCAACAAGCGCTTCCAGGCGAGTTTGCAAAACACATTCTGGGCCACGGCAACCAGTGGTTACGAGTCATCCAGCTTCATGCCAGACGGTCGCAACACTCAGCCAACATTTCAAGTCAAGGCGCGGCCACACCCAACCCACTGGGCATTACGGAGTACAAGCCATCAATAATAGTATTACAATGTGACTGCATGCAGCCAATGCAACTATGTACGTACGTATAACGGCAAAACTTTAAGTCCAGACCCCACCATGGCCACCTGCGACGCATTCAGTAGTGATGCATTCTGCGATTGACGAAGACAACAGCCTCCAGTCAGTCCATCTGAACAAGTCGGGTGCCGAGCTCCTGTCAATCGGCGCTCCAGGTTTACCCAACATTGACATGGGACCACTGGCTAATAAAAACAGCCAGGCAGCTCACAACTGACCACCGGACCAGGCCAGGCCCCCGGACAGACCAGTTGAGTCGACCCCAGTGCCGTTGGCATGTGGCGGTTACAGGGGGGTGGGTCCCCTGCCACTCAACTGGAGATGTGCCACTGTTGCTCCAGTCCAGCCAATGTCGACATGGACGAATGCGAATCTACCGCCCCTGAGCCTGTGCCTGGCCCTGGATAACTTAAACGTTGAGCTTCCAGTCCTTGCACAAGACTGCAGAAAGCCGCCATCCAGAATGCGCCTTTGTCCCCACTCCCTCGCAAGTCAGCCATCAAAGGCATTGCATCTGGCCGTTCATGCTCCTTTTGCATGCCCATGTCTATAACTCCCTTTGTACTCCGTATCCATGCTCAGGTGTACCGGACAATAGCATACCATTGTACTGTGCCGTGCCATGAGGACATGTAGCATCTTGCTATCAGTTGATGTTTCCGTCCATTCATATTGCGTCTCGCTCGCCCCTTTGCCGCCTTCCTGCTTCTTTTATCCTGCACATGTGCCTCCTTGCCGCCACCCGCCGCCTCCCCCAACCTGCTGCCAACAACCCATCGACCAACAAACTGTCCACTACCAACCACGAACCGCCAACCACCAACTCAAGTCCTTCCTTTTGCAGCCACTAGGCCAGTTGGCGTTTATTATCACGTTGCTGGCATCTGCTGCCCCAGCACTTCGGTCTGGTTTTTGTTTTCATCGTGCCTCTTTTGTGTCGAAAAAGTTTCCTCTCGGCTTCCTTCCCCACTGCCCCGTGTGGTTGTTCGGGAAATTCTTCCTTTTCACAACTCTTCGGCGCTCGTAGACGATAACCGATCTTGTACTTTGATGCCCAGAGCAACGCCGTCACAGCCATCCGAGCATCATGTCATTTGCAAAAAAATTGGACCGAGCCGTCCAATGGGCCGGCGAGAAGATGGGCTCAGAGGCCAAAACTGCACACTCGGATGAGTTCCAGAGGCTAGAAGCCGAAATGGCACTTCGTCAAGAAGGTTTGCTTTCCTGGTACCTCTTGGTCCTAGTTTGGTGTGAATCTAACACAGGTCCATAGGAATGGAAAGCCTACAAAAGGCGACTACCGCATATTCGAAATGGATCTCTCGTCGATGTGATGCATCTGAGGACAAGAGTCGAGCTCCTCCGACCGCTGTGCTTGGTCGTGCCATGGTAGCGCATGGCAATGATTTCGAACCGCATTCGGAGTTTGGCAATCACCTTGTGGTCGTTGGCCGTGCCAATGAGCGAATTGCGAACCTACATAGCAACTACACCGAAGACGTCAATGCCAACTGGCTCCATCACTTGGATCGAAACGTCGCTATGATGAAAGAGTTTCAGGTAGTGCCCACCGGCTTTCTACTTATTGATGCCATCACATCGTTTGTACAGGAGATGTTGCTAACAGTCTGGATTTATCAGGTGGCTCGCAAGAAGCTAGAGAGCCGACGCCTTGCTTATGATGCCAGTGTTGCCAAAATGCACAAGGCTAAACGCGATGATTTCCGTATCGAGGAAGAAATGCGTGTCAGCAGAACCAAGTTTGACGATGCTAGCGAGGATGTTATGCGTCGCATGCAGGACGTTCAAGACACGGAGGCGGAGTCGATTGGTGCCCTGAACTCATTTTTGGAAGCTCAACTCAATTATCACGAAAGAGCCGCGGAGGAACTTCGACGTATCCGCCAGTCACTAGTAGACGGCGGCCGAGCAGACTCACCCCAACTTGACGAAATTCGCATCTCCCGAGCCCGGTCTTCTACCTCAACCTCTTGGCACAAAACAAGACAAGTCTCTTCGGAGCAATTGAGTCCAGCCGAGAGACTACCTATTCGTCGCTTGGCAAGCTCCCAGGCTGCCCAGCCGCCCCCGCCTCTGCCGGCACCTTCCCAAGATCCGCGCCAATCGTTGGTCCGTGCTGCTACATTTGGTGAACGAACTCCATTAGCATCTGCGGGCACTAGAATGCCATCTTTAGCGCGCACTGCGACTGACAGGAGTTCGCATACTAGTCCTTCCGAGGATGTTTTTAGAGATGATGAGTCTACCGGCAGCGGAGATGGAAGCGCTGGATGGGGCAATCGTAGTACGAGTTCTGCTACCAGCTACGACAGCTCGTCTCGAATGACAGGTGGCCATGAAGTCAAGAAGGCGCCTCCTCCACCACCACCTGTGAATAGAGCAAAGAAGCCGCCTCCACCACCCGTACCGGCTCGCCGGGCTCATTTGGGATATTAAAGAACCTGCGCCGGGCGCTGGTTTCTTCTGGACCATACTGCGGTAGCTTGATGCTGAAATGAGTATGGGTACAACGAAAAGTGGGAAGTATTAGAGGTTCAATGTAGTATACCGTTCTATTAGGGATTCCCAGGATGGGCCCATGAGAAATGACCAAGTTCATAGTTATTATAACCATCTGTTTTTGTGGCCAGTTTGGTACCTTTTCGAAATTGTGATAATGAGCAATGTCAAGTGAATGTTCGCCTGGCATCTACGCCAACGCACCTAGCTGCAGATAGTAGGTCGCGTTACAGGTAGAATTGAAGACGGGTCAAACTTTGCCTGACGTGGTTGGCAAAGCGCGAAACCAACGCCGAGTCACGTGGGGCTAGCTTTCGAAGCTCCCTAGCTCCATTGCGGAGTATACTTTACAACATTGCGCCAATCGTGCGAATAGTTTCAGCCCTGAGCACTTCCGCACTGGCTTGTAATATACGGCCATGGCTACAGAAGACGAACGGTACCGGCAATCAAGCCAGTTTCGACTATGGTCGTTCTCACCAGCTACCTTGCTGGAGCTACGGGAGAAGACGAATTCATTAGCGAAACAGCAAATCACTCCTCGCATAGATCCTGTTCCCGAGTTCCTTACCTCTGATGAAGAAGCCCAACTGGTCAAATTTTTTACTATTGAACTTATTCGAGCGGCGCAATTCTGCGAACTGCCCACCGAGATTCGATCGACCGCAGCCATGTTTCTGCGACGATTTTACATTACAAACTCTGTCATGACCTACCCACCGACCGAACTATTGAAAACTTCTTTATTCTTCGGTTGTAAAGCAGAGGGCTTCTATATTCGGCTAGCAAAATTGGCTGAAAAGTTTCCTAACACGACAAGCGATCAGATCCTAGCTGGGGAATATTTACTATGTCAAGGAATCCGGTTCGCGTTCGATGTGCGGCACCCTTTTCGAGCCCTTGAAGGCGCTATATTACAACTTAGAATACGTCTACCGGAAGAGGAAACGAGAATAAATAACGCGCACGCGCGGGCTAGGGAGACCCTCAAGTTCAGCGCGCTCGTTACGGATGTGTATTTCCACTTCACGCCTAGCCAAATCATGCTGGCTTCGCTGCTCATGGTGGATCCAGGGCTTGTCGATATTCTGTGCCCCAGACCAGCAGAGGGCGGCGACTCGGACGGGGACAAGGCCGGCGGCATGCGCACTGATGTCTATGACAAGATCATGACTACCATTGAGAGCTGCCGAGCCATGCTCGAGGACGAGCCTCCAGAGAGAATGACGGAATACTGGGGCACTGTAAGGTTCTAATCGAGACACTTGATGTTGCATTTCACTAACATCACATAGCCGGAGATTGTCAAGTCGATGAAACCACTGCGAAAGAAGCTGCAACGATGTCGAGATCCAGACAGAGCTGACCTTGTAGCCTTGCAACGGGCGCGACGAGAACAAGCTGTGGCGAAGCCGAAGAAACCGAATACTACGAATGATGGCGCCGTTTTCGGCGATGCCGAGTCTAGAGATCCAAAGCGCCGGAAAGTTGATAATGCAGATGACATGTTTGGCCCTGCGTTGGGGCAATAATGCCAAGGACAGAAATTGGTTGCTATGCAGCTACGATCTCACTATCATGTATCAAAACAAGACAACCAGGGAAGTAGGATACAGCACAGCTGCCCGTCGCGGCTATGCCATTCCCACGAATACGGCCGGCAGCGCCCAGGTTGGGAGACCAAACTATTCACGCCGAAACGCCCCAGCTGCTGCTTTTACAGCTTGTGAAATGTACGGCACCGAAAACTCTGGCACCCTGCTTGATGGTCACGGCCACAGCCCGGTGTCACTATCTTAACTCTCGCCTGCGCCATACAATATAGACCGGAATGGAGGGCCACGAGCCTTTTCTGACGGATGATGATATCTGAATCAGCTCATGTTACGCTGCGGGTGGAAGACTGCGTCACAATTATAATGCATGCAGGGCCGCTCGGTGCAAGTTGCGTATAGTTATACGGGCATGAGGTGCACACACGCGGTTGTAATTTGGCGCTGCTACGTGGAGTTCCAACACAAGACTTGAGTTGACAGAGGTGCAACGTACGAAGCTGAAATCAAACCATATAGGTAGATGAATTAGAATCTTGCTCATATCGTATGTATATGGAGGATGTTTGGCCGTTGGGGGTTGAAATAGGCACAAAATATTGGTGTGTGCAAGGTTAACAGCATTTGCGCTGTTTGCTGGCAACTGCCCCCTTGTTACATTCTAGTTCTGTCTTGTTATCCGATCAATGACGCCGACACTTGGTTCTATCTAACACCAGACTTCATACTTTTACTAAACCATGGCGTTGAGGTGCAAGCCGACAAAGGCAGCAAGCCAAGAGCGCTGCAACATGTTCATGTTTTCAAGCCGAACCCAGCTTGAGTGCAAACGAAGCCCGGCAGTCGCGTCGCCCCTACGGTCTGGACTCCGGACTCCGGAATCGCGGATGGGTCTGGCCGTGCGACGGACATGTCGATGCAAATTTATACACAGCAATGGCAAGTGCCAAAAACATACAGGTACACGATGCCAACAGACAGGATACACGGTCCGTAACTTTTCAAATTTCAATGGCCAATTTCTACGCAAAGTAGGCTGGATCCCCGGACACGCGGAAGCTCTCACCGCGGCCACCCTCCACGTCCTGACCGCAGGGGGGACGCTGGTCGTGCCCACGTACACAGGCGACAAGTCCGACCCGGCGGTGCCCGGATCGCGGTGGCAGCCCATCAGGGAGGGCATCCGCAGATGTCTGGTCGTTTGCTGCTATCGGCGCCAGGGCCGAGTACGTCGCCGCAGGACACGCGTGCGACTGCATGATGGGGGAGAAGAGCCCGTTGGCGAGGCTGGAAGAGTGCAGCGCAAAGGTGCTGCTCCTGGGGGTTGGGTATCAAGTTTGCACGTGTTTGCATTTGGCCGAGTATAGGACCGGGGGGCGCAAGGGCCAGAATTCTTTTGCGGCAATGGTAGACGACGAGAGGACTTGGGTCACGGTGGAGGATGTCGTTGTTGAATCGGATGATTTCGAGGACATTGGGCAGGACCATGGAGAGCGAGGTCGAAGTGGTCCGAGGCAAAGTCGGCGCGGATTGCATGGTGTCTTCGTTGCCCGCAGCCGTCAAGTTCGCTGACAAGTGGATGTCTACACATAGAAAATCAAGAGAATAAGAGACTCATATGAGGTACGTATGAAATGTGAATGCGGTACTAACAACCTAATACTACGCCATGTAAAAAGTGCATGTAATCTCCTTCATTCGCAATCTCGTAATGCTACTCCAGGTGGCCAAGGAAACTCAAAAGACGCTTCTTTCCAATCACTCCGACCGCCTTGGCCGTGTCTTCATCGACAACTACCAAGTGGCTCAGGCCCAAGTTGCCAAACATTTCTACCGCATACTCTAGAGGCGCCCTTGTTGAAATGTTCAAGGAACTGCGGTCTACTAATCGCTCGAAGTTGTCGTCTGCGAAACTGATTAAATCGTTTCCTTCCAGCTCCTGTTGTCCGATTAAATGCAACACAGGGGCAATGCTGCTTTCTGGAATATAGCCGATGCAGATCCCCTGCTCGTTTACAATGATCAACCCAATGTCAAACATTCCTCCGGACAACAGACCGTTCAGTTTCGCCCGAAGGTCGGATATCATGATCTGGTTGTTGGGCTCCGTGGGTAGAATAATTTGCTCCATGACTCTTTTGGGAGGTATCAAGACATCCAAGTCCGGAGATTCTTCACCATCTTTTAAAGCTCTCAATTTGACAACAGCTTGCTCCGAATCTAGAAACGGGTGGCCCATGACGTGCTGAGACAAATCGTAAACCCCGTCTGCACTGATAGAGTCTGCAACCCATTTTGCCGTGAGAATGGCGACCATAAAAGGTGGAATGAAGTTGACTTCACCTGTGAGTTCAAACATGATGACGGCCAAACTCACAGTCATTCTGCTGACGCCGGCAAGAAATGCAGCCGACCCAACCATGGCGAAGATTCCAGGTGAGATGTCAGGGACGAGCTGGCCAACCATTCTGCCGAATAGCGCGCCAGCATCCAGCGCAGGGATAATGATGCCAGATGGTACTTTGCAGCCAAAGGTAATAATTGTTAATGTGAGTTTGATAAATGTACCCGAAATGAGCCATGCGTAGTATAAGCCTTTTCCATGCATCTTTGCTTCTTGTTCGCAAATCCAATCTTCCTTGATGTCGTTGCAGTCAACCAATAAACGTTCCATGATGATGTCCCCCGTCTCACGGATGAGAGGGTTGGGATACTGTAAAATAGCCGTGATGAAGACGACGATACAGACTTCTATAACCGGGCTGTTCTTGATCCAGGGCTGCTTTCGAAATGTCTTGGACCACAAAAAATTCGTGCTGCAGAAGACGCCACCGAATACTCCACCACAGATGCCCAGAAAAATGAAGACAAAGTAGTGGACGACATCGTAATCGACGCCGTATTTGGTTTCAAATAGCACCAGTTTTCCAGTCCCCGTAGGATCCAGAGCTTTGAGTGTGGCGGCAGCCACGAGAGAGCACAGGAATGACCTCCAAAGCACACGCCGTGGGAAGTAGGTGCTTATTTCTTCGTAACTGAAAAGAACACCGCCAATGGGGGCACCAAAGGCGACAGACAGGCCGGCGGAACAAGCCACGCTGAGCATTTCTCTCATCTTGCGCTGATTTTGTGCATACTTGGGTATATGCTTCGCAACCAGGTATCCTACGCATGTTGAGATGTGAACAAAGGGACCCTCCTTGCCCAGACACATTCCAGTAGCCACCGCAAAGGTTGCACCGATGGCCTTGACGGCGAGCACTTTAAACGTAAGGTAGTGCGGGATGACGAAGCCACAGAGTATTGTCTTGATCTCGGGTATTCCGCTACCGGCGGCCATGTACATCATCTTGCCCTGTGGCCTGTCGATCGGTGATGTGTCCTGGCTACCGTTCTTGTCATTGGCGTCAGCAACATTCAGGTCCACGACCGGGGGCAAGCGCATCTTTGTTGTTGTTGTGACGCCGGCCGCAATGACACCGAATAGCAGGGCAAATGCGACATATATCAGATATGCCGAAGGGAAGCTTTGTGACCACGGTTTCCAAGCCGTGCAGTCTCCATGGGCAGCGCAACAGGCTCGCCGATTCTGCCAAATGTTTGAAGTGCAATAGCCGTCTTTCCAATCTGCGACGGTCTCGACGCTGACATCGACGACAAAGGCAACACAGGCGGTTATGAGGCCGACGAGGAAGGCTGCCACCCAACCGGATGCTGAATCCCAAGCTTTGGCTATTCGCACCCAAGTTGTATTTACGCGTCGAACTTTGGCGTCTCGTATGCCGTGGCGCGTGTTGTCTTTGACCAAGTCATGAAGCCAGTCAATAGTGGCATAGTCCCTGTAGGGTGTGTCGTCACCGTCGTAGGTTGAGTGTAGGGCTAGATGGTGGTTGAGGTTACGAGAGGAGCGTAGTGACTCTACATCGCGGCCACGACTCGCATGGAGGAGCGGCGTTGTCTCTGACAGATGGGGTTCCGTGTTGTTATGCTGCTCATTACTGGCGTTGGCCATGGCGAAAGATTCGGTCAGGCCCGAGACGACAGGTTTTAATATGCACCAGCCTCGGATGTTGGGCGGGTGTCAGCAGAGAGACGTGTAGGGATTGTACAGGTCAAAGGATGGCGAGGAAGAGAAGAGGTTCTCCAGGCATAGACAAACAACATTGACTTCAAAGACTGCGATACATTGAGCGCAACAAACACTAGGAACAAGGAAGACTAGTGGACATTGCAAATGTCGAATAAATGCCACGCGGGCTCCTGAGAAGGGCCAGCCGGAGATATGGAGAAGTTGAGATTGGTATGCCGGTTACTACATCATCGAGCGCGAAGGCAACATGGAGGGTAACTCCAGATGGCAACTCCGGATGTTGTGCACCGCAAGATTCAATGTTGCATCGACCAGACTTGAGTACCAGCCCAGAGTTGGGTACATGTCAGCGGTACTCGAGTACGATGCTCCCTGCATTCACAGGGCAAGCGGCCAACTGGGACTTTCCGGTGCGGCAGGCGCGACGGTCGCCCTGTCCATCAACAGCCACCTTTGGCCGCCCTGACGATGGCTGCATGTGCCACCCTCGCTTGACGTCATGGTAGCGATTGGCGCTCAAGTGCTGTCTCAAGAGTGATCTTTGTTCATCTTTGTGGGGAGGTTGTCGGTCATCTGATGCGGTGAGACGAGTGCACCAACCACGAAACCGCCGAGGGTTTGCCAGCGGCTGATGCCTTTGCGAGGTCTGACGGAGGTGGACTGAAAAGGCGTGACAGAATCACGGGAGTCATTGTGCGGGTTGCAGATGCCAGATTGAGGGTTCAAAGTGCGATCTAGATCTTGGCCAGGGTCCAGGGCAGACGTCTGCTTGCACCCTGCCGCTGTCTACGGTCTACGTAAGTATGTGCGGAGTACGTAGTACTACGTACCGGCATGTCCATGCACTTATCCGGTTCTGGTAAAAGTGCCAAGATCCTTGCAAGTACTCAAGTATCCCCCACACATGTGCAGTATCCCGTACCCTGAGGTGGCATGTCCGCCCGACTGTCTGCGTGACGTATACTTTTTGCGTCTCCTTTTCATAATAAAATTCTCGTTGCAGCCACGCAAGCGGCTTTCGTCACTTTGGGCATGGACGTTGTGGTAAGTGAATCATGAAACAACAGCCACTCCCGTGGTCTCTTGTACAACCTTTTCTGATTGGACAGACATGTGGTGAATATTGACGGCAGTAAACCATGATCGTGTCAATTCATCCTAGAAGCATCTTGACGGGAATGTCCGCGTAAGTGCCAACAAGGTTCGTTGTCTCCAATGGACGGTCTCCAGTCCCAATGTGCTTTGACCCCCTTATGTACAACTCTGGTTTTGATTTCTGTTGATGAAGAATCGATGGATGAGATCTATGCCTTCTTGGCTTTCCCCGGTGAACTACTCTACGATCAAATATCTACCATCAATTTTTATATAACTGGGAAACAACAAACATAACAGCATGTTGCTGGCTCATCGCAGTAACAAAGAGCCATGACCCGGCCATTTGTCTGTCCTTTATCCCGGAGACTGCTTTTTGTCATGGCCAATTTGCGCAATCGTGTGCCAAGTTCAACTTACATCTAATAATAAACCTAGTTACAAGTACATACATACATCAAGCCTCGGATGCAGTTAGCAGCATATCACTGTTCTATTCCTCGACCGACAGCATACTGCTAAGGGTGTATTGCTGTTGAGTCTCGACGACCTCCGTGCCCACGGACCTGTTCTCTCACCACGCCACATGGGAATATGCTCGGTCGAGAACCAGTTCTCAAGACTGCCAAGACTTCAAAGCCCCCGAGCGCATCGTGCGGCTATACTGCAACAAGATCTGTATATCCTTGCACGAACAGAGCGTTTTTTCTATCGGGTCGAATATCCCCCACATCCCGATTCAAAGGCCGAGGCGCTGGACTTGCAAATTGACAATGCAGACGATGTGATTGGTCCGCCTTGAGTTTGTAAACTCTCCCATGAACTACTGGGACGCGTATGCTGTCGCTAATTCTTCACGGAAAACATGCTTCGTGGGGATAAAGTTGTTTTTGCTCCGTGATTCAGCCGGGCCGTGCATGCCACGCCACGAGAGAAGGCCGCGTCTTCTATGAAACTGGAAGAACGCCCGACTGATGATGGCTACGGCTGGAGGTGATGACGAGTCCAGCTATTCGCTCCGCCGGGCATCACCTATAATGAGGGCGACGGAACCTCCTGAGTTGGTTCAAAAAGACTTGGGATACATGTTCACTGTCCATTGATACTTGTTAAGCTACACTTTTCTCACCATGCATCTCCAAGCGCTTGCATCGTCTATACTTCTTCTCTCCAGTGTGGCCGTGGCCCATCCTGGCCATGATCTCACCGAGGAGATTCTTGAGAGGCGATCTTTCAAAAATTCCGTCCGCCGTGCCTCACTGAGCCATTGTGCCGAAAAATTGAAGGCGCGCGGAGTCCAAGCTCGCAACCTGGAGCGAAGAGCAGCAACTGCAGCTCTGGCTCGTCTTTCCCGGGGCGTTTCCACGAGAGATGCGGACTCAGCGCTTGGCGAGTCGCATAACAAGACCAGCCTCGGCTACTCCGAGAATACCAGCATCTCGGAAATCTTTTCTGGCAATGCCTCATGCGTACTGACACCAGAAGTTACCCAAGGTCCATACTGTATGTTAACTCCCTCCACGCCACTCATATTCCTGAAACTAACCGCCGGCGCAGATGTGGGCGGCGAACGCATCAGAAAGAACGTCACTGACGGCCAAGCCGGGGTGGATATAACCTTGGACTACCAGGTCATTGACGTTGATACGTGTGATCCCGTGCCAAACGTCTACATCGAGATTTGGCACTGCAACTCCACGGGTGTCTATTCCGGCGTTGTCGCCAACGGCAATGGGGAGTCGTCCGACGAGACCAATATCAACAACACCTTTCTACGAGGCATACAAAAGACAGACTCGGACGGTGTGGCCCAATTTGACTCACTCTTTCCCGGGCACTACACCGGACGGGCGACGCACATCCACGTCATGGTGCATACCAATGCAACCGAGCTGTCGAATCAGACATTGGGCAATCAAGTCTATGCTAGTCACGTAGGACAGACCTTTTTCGACCAAGATCTGATTACTGCCGTCGAAAAGGTCGAGCCATATGCCTCCAATACGCAGTCATTGACCGAGAACTCGGGCGATAGTATTCTGTCTGAAGAGGCTGATACGACTGACCCGCTGATGGCCTACACATTGTTGGGAGACAGTGTCGCCGACGGTCTCTTTGCTTGGCTGGCATTTGGCATCAACACATCCTATGTAAACGAGGTTCAACCCGCATCTTTCTATTACGAGTCAGGCGGCGTTGAGAACCCCAATGCTGGGTTCGGCGGTCCTGGGGGGAATGGAGGCGGCGGCCCTCCTCCCAGCGGTGCTCCTGGCGGCCGGCCTGGGGGCAGCAATGGCACGGGCACCTCGGGAGGCATTGCCTCGCCTACCGCCATCAGTATGGGAAATAGGTACACTATTGGAGCTGTGACATTCTCCTTGGTAGGACTTTTGCTGCCTCTGCTCTGGCTCTAAGGCTTGTTGCCGCGTGTGGATAGGCTCGTGAGCTGCGTTGGTGTTGGTGCCTATGAAGAAATTGCCATTTATAGAGATGGGAATTGCGGTACGCTGGTATTACTTGCTCTGAAATTTGGACAAGTTGCTACTAAAAGTCGGGCTTGGGTGGGCGAAGAACCTGAAATCCTGACAGGACATGCAATGGCAGTTATATTTGGGTTATTAAAACAGAGCAAGTTTCGAGCTTCAAGACTAGTATTCGTTTTCTCATGGATAGTTTTGATACAAATTTGCTCTGGCCCCGCCGCGAAGCACTTACAGACAGCGCTTTTCTGTGAAATATATGCCCAGACGCCAATGTCACAACATGTCACCAAAGGCAAGCTAGCTTTCTACATACATGCCAAGCACCACATAATGCCATGGCATGTTCAACCCTCTTCCAGGTCCACAACGTATCTCTGCTGCAAGTCCGTCTCTTCCTTGGTACGTGAAGCCTCGGTCCGGCTGGTGGTCCTCAACTCCCGGAGGTGCGGCGTCCTATTTGCCGAGCCAAAAGTCTCTGGAGCGAGCCGAACCAAGATGAGCCGCAGCGTAGGCAGACAGCTGCATATCATGCCGACGTTTATTTCAATGATGGACCAATACGCCGTCGTCCACTGGTCCCACGTCGGATTATCCGACTTGGCAAAGTGAATCAACGACTGCAGCCGCAACGCAGACACGACCGTGACGCTGGCAATCAGTCAGCTGGCAAGAACTCCAATTTGTAGAAGCAAAAACGTAGCTGGGTAGCCTACAAGGTTCCAAGAAGAAACATGATAGCCACGCCGACCTTCTTCTTCCAATGCAGCCTCAGCGGAAGCACCTGGCTCATGGGCAGGGCAATCATCCACAGATCGATAGCCAGGCCGATGGCCGCATTCAGCCACCCATACAGATTAATATTGATGCATGCGCCCTCGGCCGGATCGAAGAACTGCTCCCAGTAGAAGTCGACGGGGATGCACTGGAAAATGGCGCCCGTGACAAAGATCAGGCCGTACAGGAGGTTAAAGGCCACCGTGGCCCGCAGCACGGCCGGCCGGACGGTCGCGGCGAAGAGGCGCAGGTAGAAGAGCGAGATGCTCAGCTTGACGAGCGAGATGCCGGCCAGGTACAGAATCTCCATGACGTAGAAGTACAGCACGAAGCGGGAGATTTGGGCGGGCGTCACGGTCCAGACGTCCCTGCCGAGGCCGTTGGCCGTCATGCCGCGGAGGACAATGACCAGGCCGGCGACGCAGATGACCAGGGTGCCGAGGATGGCCCAGTCGTCTGCGCCGAGGGCCTTGGTCGGGTGGGCGAATTGCTTGAATGCGAGGCGCGTGGCTGTGATGAAGATGGCGATGACGCCGAGTGCGATGACGGTGTTGTTGAATTCTGCGGATCTGTCGCGGATGGGTGCCTGGCATGCTGTCTGCGTGGCATTTTTCGTGGCTGTTATGCTCAGTCAGTTGGACTTTTTCTCTTGTCTATTTCTCGCTCTTTTGTGTTTATTTTTTAATAATAACCAGCGACAGAGGGTGAGGGTTTCATGACCCGGGTGTGTATCATAGCGTAGAAGCCACGAAACTTACATAGACCATCGGAGAATGAGCAGCGAGCCTCGACACAGGTGGTTCCTTCTTCATTCGCGGCCTTGTCGGCGCAAAGACATGGGATGTCGTCGGGAGAGCAGGTTGAATTGGCAACAGCCGAGGCAATGCAAGGGATCTTTGGGGCGTCGCATCAGTTCGCGGCAGCACTTGACATGTTCAGAGCACAATAGATGGAGACGGGACGTACCGCGCATGGTGGCAGCTTGGCGATGATGATGCTTGCACTTGACTTCGGTGACGGTGACGGTGACGGGGAAGGTGACGGTGAAGATGCCGCCGGACCCCCGGTGCTGGGTCCGGCTGTGACGGAGGGAAGGAGCGCCGGCGCCCCGGCGAGAACGGCCCAAAATGGCAATCGCATCATCAGTCAATTCGTCAATCAATCAATGCACGGCCCTCATGGCGAGCAAAGCGAATGTCGCGTCAGGCAACATGGACGGATCATTGATGCATCCGCGAGGGTCGCAAATTGCAACGTTGGCTTATGGAACAGGGAATTTTCTGATGCAGACGTTGGGTGGTTCGCGATAAATCTTCATTTACACGGCGGCCAAGACGGCCAGGGCATGGGCTGATCAACCCTCGATTCGCAACGTGGTCACGCAACCATGTCGATTTATCCCGCGAGTGTGAGCCGAAAGAGGTTTAGATGAGGGCAGTCGAATGCCGAGCGTTGGCAGACATGTCAAGCCTCGGTGGCAGAAACTCCACATTCTGGCCTGGGGGAGAGATGCGATTGATGTGTGTTAATTGCCACAGGAACGGCGAAGGGGTCCTGGGGTTGAATGACAGCGTATCAAGACGTGTGTGGCTGCGACAAGTCTGTGGAGAGATGGATTTTGCCGTCTTCAACGAGCTTGTCTTTGGGCGGCTTTTGGTATGTCAGTGAGGGTGATTGTGGCTGAAGGCGTCGAATTATGGAATTGCCGTGGAACATGCCGTTGTACTTCCTCAAGTGTCAAACGAGGGCAATATATTCCGAGTGGGAAGAATGGCAGAGGGAAACGGTGCTCGGCCCATGGTCCTGTCCATAGCCGTATTTTCCGACCATGTCCGAAACATGTCGCCAGTCCGGCTCATGCCCGGCGCCTACGAGGCAGCGCTCTTTCTAGATTATTTTAGGCATTTCGAGTAAGCTTGAAAGATAAAGTGACCCTACTACTACATACATCCGCTTTGTGTCGTGACCTTCCCCGCTGGGTTTGGCGGCAGGCCTGAGTGGCCCTCTTGAGTCCAAACGAGAGAGTGTATTGGTTGATCCGATGCTGCCAAGCACATGAATTCACGCCTCTGGTCTAGGAGGAAGATGAGTCCGAACTGGTGGTACTACGGAGAACCACAAAAAGGGCAACTAGTGAGAGCCGGCGCAGAGAAAACGATTCTCCAACGCATCCGGCCATCGACAATCTCTCCATTTCGCCCATGCGTAGTTAGTAGTTACCAAGACGGACTCTTCAAAGCCAACCCGGCGCTACCTGAGGAGTGGGCTCCAGCCTACGCCCTCTGTAGTTTAAGAAAGCCATCATCACCTGCTTGTTGACTAGGTCCTTTCTGCCACATACCATCTCATACGCCCAACAGACAACTGAGAAAGAGCCGAGGCGGGCACAGGACAGAGAAGACATGTAGGAACCGCTCATGCAACATAGATTGATAGTTGCCCCATCGGGAGATTTCCACCGGGACTATATCGCGCGCCCGACATGCGCGTGTACCCTGCTAGATGGGTATGGCCGAACGGTGGAGAAGTATTTGTCTACACGAGGTCTATGCGCCGGCCATGCAGAGAACAATGGCACTGACAGAGGTACTTTTGATACATGTCGTCAAGGTGCTCACAACTTTGATGCGCGGATCGCCATGGCCATCCGCACCGGCGCCTCGAGGCAACCGGCACAGCCTTGCACGACCTGCCTAATGCCGCTCTTTTATGGGGAATAGCAGTGCTAGTACCTTGAGATCTCGTGTTTAGGCTTCCCGCGTGCTGTTTATGAAGCCGCCTGGCGCCATCCTTGTTGGCGTGTCCCGAGTCCTGACTAGGGTTCAAGCTTCACGGCCATGATATGATCTGGCGGCCGAGCATCTCACATATCGGACCGGGTGGCTCTGCAATGTCCTCAGCCTCGTGGACAGCCTCAATAAATATGTCGGTGCGCTGGTCATCTTGGCCATGTCGTCGAGCGCCAGCTTGTGTCTTGTGCGTTTGTCCAATCGCGATTCTATATACTCATCTCGCTGTTCAACTGGTAGGGTGTACACTGTGCCCAAGGCCAATATACGGGCTTTACCAGAGGGGAGTTTTCCAATGCCGCTAGCTATTTCTTGGCTGGTTCTGGAATTTGCTCAACTTCCTATCAGGGCAGCTAGGCACGTTGTGTTGTCTGGACACGGAAGAATGGACAAGTCAAGGGCGGAACTCTGCCGAACTCTGCCCACGCTTGTTGAACATAGAGAAAGCATGATAGGAGAAGGAAAAGATACTTTGGCTGAATCAAAAATAGGTCATCCCAAAGTATCTGACTCCGTTTTGTGTCTTGGCTCGGTCAAAGACTCTTGCAAAACATGATCGACAAGTTAGCTAAAATGACAGCCACTGGCTTTGCCTTCTCGACAGTTCATGGCCACGCCACATGTGTAGCATCGCAAGGTGACTCGGAAGACGCCAAGGTGTGCTGCGGATAGCTGGTGCCCGTTGACTGCAGATCCTAACTCTTTACTGCAACGTCCTGCCTTTTGTGTGCCTAGCTGACTAGCTAGACTGGATAAGAGCACCATTTCGGTGATAGAATGCGCCTGACGAGGTTGAACCGCATGATCTTCAACCGAACCTACTTCGGCATGGTAGGGATTCTGCCATGCGGGTGGATGAACCTCTGCACGGCCACCATTCCCAATGTAATGAAAGAATACTCGTGTAGTAGGGTTTAATGGCTACTCGGTCAGAGGAAGACATGGACTATAAAGGGGTGATGGATCCGGCTAATCATGAAGTGTTCCATGGCCTTACCACCAGCACTAGAACATTCCTTATATATCCATTCTTTAAGTCTATACTCTTGTCGGTGAAACTCGCCACACCATCATGTACTCCCTCGGCAAGACGGCCGTCTTAGCACTCGCCGCCGCGGGTACTAGCCACGGTCTCAGGGCTACCATTCTGGCAGACACAAACCGGGATGGACGCGTAGATGTCACCGGTAAGACGGACGTTGAGGGAAAGGCCACTTGGACCGAGGAGCGAGGAGCCCTATTCTTGCCAAACATCGTGGATACCAACCGCCGGTGCTCGCAAAGAATTACATCGGGCACGACTGAAAATGGCCTTGCAGAATGCCACGATGCATCTGACAACATTCTACGCAACCCAAAGTACCTCGCTCCGCTCCGCACCGTCCCCATCAATAACTTGACCAGCTCTGCGACGGGTACTATTACCATCTCTGGCAAATATGCCCCTGAGAAGGTCCGAGTCTTCCACAAGGACAATGGTAAATGGACCTACATCAATAGCAATTACGAGTTCCGGGGTGACGCCTTAGGAACTGGTCTGGAACTGGGAATCGATGCCCGAGATGTCCGTCGACCCAACGAGTGGGATGGCAGAGTCCACGTTCACTTCAACGTGACTGACAACGGGGAGACTGCTTCCGATCAAGTCGCCCTTCGCGTAGCACCAATCTTGACACACCATCATCTCCAAGCTCCGGACCAAGTCTTCACGGTTGCCGGCAGAGGCCGGCCAGCGCAGGCGCAGTTTGCGGCCTTTATTGCGAATTACACAGCCCAGGCCGGAGTCACGAAGCCCGTTTACATGTTCGACGAGTCCGACGTCTGGGCCCAAGATTACTTCGAACCCGGCTACACCAGCATCCCCGGCCCCGAGGGCCCCGTATACCTGCGAGTCAACATCAGAAGCAGCCAGCCGTGGCGCACCGCCGGCCGAAGGGTCTTCTCCGAACTGAGGTCCGACTCCGTGGGAGCCGTGCAACACTTCGCCGCCGGAACCCCCGAGGCGCCCCCGACCATCGACTCGACGGGAAACCTCGAGACCATCCCGCCGTACTCATACAACGGCAAACGCTACCCTGCCGGCAGAGCCGTCATGGGGAGACATGATAATAAAACCCCGACAATGATGTCCTTCCTCAAGGCCCAGGAGGCCCAGCACCCCATCGACGACCTTGACCACGACTGGCTGTCAGTCGGCCACACCGACGAATACATGCAGTTCCTGCCCGCCAACAACTCGCGAGGCTGGATCATGACCGCGGACGACCCTGCCTACGGACTGAGCCTCCTCAAGAAGGCACGCGCCGACGGGCACGGCAAGGTGCAAGCCATGTCGCGCAGACACGAGCCGTACGACACCGAGGCCTGTCTTCCCGCCAACGACATCGACGGCGTGCTCGGCCTCGCCAACTTTGACAGCGTCAACCAGCACTGCGCAGACCGGATCCAGCACAACATCGACATTATCAAGCGAGAAACCGGCATCACGGACGAGGAAATCGTCCGAGTCCCCAGCCTCTTCTACTACAACAACATCGAAGGCTTCGACTGCAACAGATACGTCGCCCGGGCCCGGGGTGCCGGAGGAAGGAGAACCGCCAGGGCTCAGACCAAGGACATCATCGAGGCGGCCGAGGCGGGCAGCCATCTGCACAGTCGCCAAGAGCAACAGGCCAAGCCACGCATGCTGGCACTGTATCCCGCGACTATCAACGGCGTCGTCTACGACGACCGCCGGTACATGGCGCCGAACCCGTGGGGGCCGGTCATCGGCGGAAGGGATATCCTGGCCGAGGCGGTTCGTGCAGCCTACGACAAGGCCGGCTTCCAGCTGACTTTTATGGACGACTGGTTCGATCATCATGTTTTGAATGGCGAGACTCACTGCGGGTCGAACGTGGCTCGTGATGCGTCTCAAAAATGGTGGTAGGTAGCAGGCAGCAGGTAGTGTAAATAGAATAAGTTAATACTATTATATACTATTATATACTATTATATACTATTATATACTATTATATACTATTATATACTATTATATACTATTATATACTATTATATATTAGTATATACTTTTATTATACTATTATATACTTTTATATATTAGTATATACTTTTATATATTAGTATATACTTTTATATATTAGTATATACTTTTATATATTAGTATAATAAGTTATTAATAAAAATATATAAAAAGGCTAGTTAATTACTGGGACCTACTAGTAGCATAATCTGGTAGCTGTACCTGGCTTAATTGATAGTAACGCGCATTATAAAAAAAACTCTGTGTACACGCATCGTGATATGTTAAACCCATATATATTATTATATATTAATTACATATAGGATATTACTCTCTTAAGCACTCTCTGGCAATATGATTTTTCCTCCTCAGTGCTACTAGACACCAGAGTCTTGCTTGCTTCAACACGTCTTTCTCGCGATTCGCCAAGGCTCAAAGGATGCTTTGCAAAAAAGTCGAGGATCATCGGGGTTGCATTAAAACTCGCGACATGATGGCCATGTTTTTTATTATCGATATTAGGCAACGTACTTGGCCAATCATGGCCGATGGCAGAGTCGTAGACATGCTCGACCAGTCCAGCCTTGCTCCCCTGCCCAAAGGTGTAGAGAACAGTATTTTGAGAAACGTGAGTAGTGGTGTTGTCGGTTTCCAGCCCATCGAGGGAGGCCCATTGTCGGATAAAGTGTGGGATGGCAGGAAGGCATTCCTTCTTGCGGCTACCGCCTTGGTAAGAAATGACTGTGTCCTCGCCACCGTGAAACTCAAGGAAGGGCACGTCCGCCCTGCTGGGATGGCATGGAAATTTCACGGTTTGGGGCCTACAAGGGTGCGAGTCGATGTAAAAGGCGCCGGAAACAGGTGCGAATGCTGCGATGCGGCTAGATAGCCCCGGATCACAGGCTAATAGATTGCAGAACCCCCCACCGTCCGATTTACCTGTCGTCGATATGCGCGCAGGGTCAATGCAATACTGATCCTGAACATGGTCAAGTATATCGGATGTGAACAGGATATCGTCAGTCGTCGCGCCAGGAACGCCTTGCCATGTTTCCTTGTGCTTGTCAGCATTTCCCTCGTAGCGAATCAAGCAGCAGGATGAAATGACTCTTCTTACATCAATTCCCTGTGGATAGATTACAATCGCAGCCGAGTTGAATTCTGGATTTGTTAATTGATCCAGCTTTAATTGGTCCTCTGCACATCTACCGCCACCGTGATATGATAGAACCGCAGCAGCGGGAGTGTCTGAATGGTACTTCGGAGGTATCGAGAGGAGAAAGGTGCGTTGTTTCCCACCACTTTTTATATGGATGGTAGAGACTCCTCCGGTGAGCTGGCCTTTGGGCAAGGGCTTGTAACATCCGGCAGGCAACGCAGGAGAACCCCCGCTGGGTAGCGCAGAGGCTCCTATTAGCGTAAACAGGAACGCAAAGGTGAGCAGCATTGTCTTGGGCAGAGTGTGAGTAGAAATGTTTTGCTTTCCAGGACCTTGTTCTTTCGGCGTGGAGGAGGGGAAGAGACGCAATTGCAAACATACAAGATAGAATCCACAAGCTATATATTTGGAACCGGCACACAGCTCGCATAGCAGGCTTCTTTGGACGTGCAGCTTCGCTCGCCTGAAATGGCATCTTAGATCAGCGCTAGTCATTGCGCACAGGGCTCACATGCATGCATGTTGCATTATCGAGAGCCGGTGCCTTCGGGAGCTTGGGGACAGATGCTTTCTTTCGTGGTCGTGTTGCCAACCTAAATGCGCCGAAGTTGCCGGTGTCCTTTTCGCCAACGACGGCTCGGCATTCATTTTGGAGCCAGTATGTCTTCAAACTTGGCATCATGTGGCAACCATTGGCGGCTACCCCAAAGTTAAACGTGCTTCATAAGTATCAATCGACACACACCGATACATCCTGCTCCAAGATGGAGCCAGTAGTACGCGTGATGGTGGAAAAAAGATGTCCGATATTCAGCGAAACTGCATTTTTTGAAAAGAGAGGCTCAATTTCGTCTCGAACGAATAAAACGACGCCAGTTCGGTAGTGAATAGTTGAATGGCGTGAAAGAAGGCTGGGGTTTTCGGCACTCGAGCACGTTGCTGCTTTGAAGTGCCTCAGGCAACAAGGCTGCTGCTCCACCTCTCAACGGTCAACTACGCCAGCTAAACTCTGTAGCTGCGTGGTTGGCAGTGGCGGGGAAAGTCTAGAAGCACATCACCTGGTCAGACGACAGAGAAGTATGGACTGGCAAGCTCATCAACGTCATTACATTGCAGTGAAACGCTGTACCGCAACGCCTCTGCACGCCCGCCTTCCCGGCTCATCTGTTGCAGCCTATTGCGAGTTAGGTCCTGCGTGATCTTCAGGGTTGGAGTACCACAGCTCAAGCGGCATCCTACATCGATGGAGACTTACCAGTCCCTTTACCGAAATCATAGAGACAATACTGATTCTTAGAACGTCGTAGTCACAGCAATCAATGTGCAGAAGACACACCACTGACAGGGCAGAAGAAGAAGATGATGATGAGTCATATATGCATCTATGCTATGCGACAACCCAGAATGAGCTAAAAATAAATCAAAAATAAATCGCTTTTATATGCCAGCCACTCAGTTATTAAAGTGAGGAGTGTTGAGTAGAATACCCATCAGACAGCCACCGATCAAGCCTGCAATGGGAATGGTCATAAACCAAGAAAAGACTAACAAGCCAACTCGTTGCCAGTTAACAGCCTTAAAGGTGCCATTGCAGAGGCCAACGCCAACCGTGGCTCCTGTAATGCACATGGATGTCGAAACTGGAAGCGAATACTGTGAGAAAACGAGCACCGTAATAGCAGCACCCATTTCCATGGAGGAGCCTCGGCTAGGTGAGTGGTACGTGATTTTATTACCCATGACTTAAAACATGTTAGCGTCTTGTGTGTGGGATCCGAGAAGGTGGGAATCATATGCCTTACCCTTCATAATGTTATAACCGTACGTGATAAAACCGATACAGATGGTCAATGCTATAACAGCAATCTGCCATAGTTCCACAGGCGAGCTGGACGTCAGAGCCTGGCCAGTAGACCACGCAGAGTACATGGCGGCCCAGACACCAACAGCATTACCGACGTCGTTGGCGCCGTGGGCAAAAGAGGCCGTACAGGCAGTAATGACTTGGACAAACGAGTACAAGTACTCAACCTCGTTGGGATACTTGGTCGCCTTGTCATAAACGCGCTGCATGCGGCGGCCCTCGGGGGTGCCCTCGATACCGACTTGGGCAGTATGGATGTCATAATGCATACCATAGAGAAGGGCAACGACAACCATGGCGGGAATACGCTTGCAGAGAGCAATCATATTATGCGTCTCATAAAGAGATCCGGCGCCCATGGGGTTAGCATGCAGCGTCCGCATCGCCCAGCCAAGGGGACCGCGGGTCTTCCTAAGCTTGGCGTGGTGACGCTCTCTTGCTTCGGCCATAAGCCTCTGGTAGCCTTGTTGATTGCATTCCGCCAAGATGAGTTTCTTTTCGGCAACATTGTTGGCAGGATGCACAGGCGTGCCGGGCTTCTCGCCATCGGTGACGGTACCGGACGCCCCTTTTGTGTCAAAGACTCCCGCATCTGACTGGCTGTTGTCGTCACTGACTTCACCGTGATGGACGACGGCATAGTCAGGCACCTTGGCCTCTACTGCATCTTCTGGGGGCTGACGGCTAAAGAGAAGAGGGCCGTAGACGACATGCTTCCATGAAACTGTGTAATCCTTCTTGAGCACTTTGGCATGAACGAATGGCACAAAGAAGAGTGCAGCCAGTACGAACAGGCTCCATCCGACTCCGAGAGTGACGGCGGCAATATACCAAGCTGGCTTTTTATCCAGGCCAAGTCTTGGGGAGCCCTTGTAGACGACGGAAAGGGTGCAAATAACACCAGCGATTAGGAAGAAGAAGGGCGACGTCCAAACAGCCCAGGGGATAGGGTTCTTTCGAACGTGAACAACCAATTTGATGAGCATAAAGATAATGGCACCAAAGCAGGCAGAGATGGCCGGCGCCATGCCAAGGCCGGCAAAGATGGCACCAAGACCTTTACCATTATTCCATCCCCACTGGACGCCAGAAGCACCGACGGTGGCCACGCCGACACCAGCGATGGATGAAATAAGAGAGTAGGTAGATGAGACGTGGGCTGAGTGTCGGGTACACCATTGAACCCAGAGAGATGCGCCAGCGGCGGCACATGTGAAGGCCAGTAGCTGGACGCCAGGGTTGTTCTGAAACGCGGACAGAGGGATGATTCCATTCTTGATGGTCGACGCGGTTCGGGCACCTACAGTCAGAGCACCGAGCATTTCAAACACAACGCACAGGACCATGGCCTGTCTGTATGTCACAGACCGTGAGGACACGCTGGTCGCCCAAGCATTGGCGACATCATCTATTGGTGAACCCCGTGTTAGCTAAATCTCTGGGCACGCAGCCAAGAACCTGTCAAATCACACATACTTGCACCGTTGTTGAAGGCTTCGAGCAAGGCAAAGCCAGTGCCGATGACAAACACGTACGTGTACTCGGTGAGCACCATGTTGTCTGCTGTCCGGAGCTTGTTCTTCGGCCGCGAATTGCCCAGGTGTAAGCTGGGAGGAAAGAAACTGACGACTGGGTACGGGTATGATCTGGTCTCTGTCCACCGGGCAGGAGCAAATGCTTTTATTATATGTACTGGCCTCCATAGTGTCCTGTATGTGCTCCGCAACTCACTCCCACGTTTCCATGTGGTTGAACGGCTGACGGCCCTTCGACGTTCGGTGTCTGCTTCTGGTGAGCCAAGGAGCCAAGGCGATAGTGGCGACAAGCTGCTCCAGCACGGAGAATTGCCCTTGTCCAATGAGCGAATTGCAGGCTTACAATTAAGCTTAATGCGGGCTTGGGGGGCTTGAGTCGGCACGTCTTGGCAGTCCCGCTGCATTGGCAGATCAACCTCCAGGCTCGCCAATCACATACACATGGAATCCCACGTGTAGGAGAAGCACACCAAGGAGCGCGCAGAGGTTGGGCGTGCCAGGTATTTTTTGTAATTTTTCAGTCGGCCTTTCTTCCTGACAGGGCAAGAGGTCATGCTGCGTTTTTCGCGTCCGTGTTTGAAAGCGTTTCGGAGAGCTGGACGTTTGCCCACGTGTCTACCGACGTCCCTAAACGGCATGATCTAGACCCGGTAGACCTCGCTGACTCCGTTGCGCACAAGTTTTATCATCTTGTCTCGGCCTGTTTCTCCTGAAAGCCCACGTTGACAGCACAAAATCTTGCATGAGCATGTAATCTCTCATTCGGCCACTTGCTGTATTTGGTCCGTCGATGACATCCAGGTGAAGCCGCCTGCCCCCGCATTGTGATACTACTGTGTAAACGTCCTTTGTATGGAGTACATATACGGAGAGGCCGGTCCATGTCCCGGCCCTCGAGGTTCCTTCACTTGGACTGGCCCAGGTGGAGCGCAAACCGGAGTATGGTTTGTACACCGAGTATCGAGTAATGGCACAGGGGTGTCCCAGAAAACAAAGAATCTCCATGTCTCTGTTGTATGGCCCGTTCTGACAAGAGAGGCAGGCAGTCGGCTCTCGAGATTCGGTATACGAACACGGCAACGAAGATGAGAACAATTGGCAGGCACTAACTAGCCGCAGAGTCGCAGAATATCCTTCCCAAATACTAGAAGCGCTAGTCTTGAAACCGTTGCCCACCAGGACGAGTTTGCGCAGATTCCGGAGTGTGCTAAGTAAACAAGAAACTCCTGGGGTGCTCATCGCCGCCAGTTAGTTATATGCAACATGTGTCTGCCAACAACTCGTCGGATCTCGGCGGCTGCATTTGCCTATTTCGCTAACCCGGACACTTACAAGACACAAGCGTTGCAACAATGCCCATCGGGCGAGGAACTAAGGCGCCTTTCCCTTCCAGCCACTCGTATGCTTTCCTCACCGACACGCCATTTTGGTGTTGCGCTAAGCTCAGCCTCAGCCTCATGTGCTAGAACAGCCGCGGCTGTTGCTGTCTTCGGAGAGTAAGCTCATGAGGCGGGGGATCTGCATCGAACTAATAATCAATACAGCCTCGGCTTCGGCTGTGGCATTAGAACGACTAGATTGACTCATATTCGACTAAGCAACGGGTAACTTACTTTGCCAGATTGATTGATTCAATACAAGACAGCAATTGCCCAATATGCCTCAAGATATACTGAAGCAAGCACGTGCGACATTTTCTGAAGCCACCAAAGTTGAACAGCTAGATTCGCACACTTACAAAATCAACCTCCACAGCGACTATTGCGTCGGTAAAGGCAGGCAATGGCTTCCATCTTCTGTCTTGCGAGGCAAAACTTTGTTCTAACTGCAGGGTCACAGTCCCCAACGGAGGCTACACAGCATCATGCATGCTCGTTGCGGCCAACAGACACCTCGCTTCACGTGGACAGCCCGACACATTCACAGCCCACTTTGAGTATCCCAATCGAACATCGTCTGGGCCTGCCGTTATCGTGATCGATGAAGTGAAGCTAGGCCGGACGCTTTCGACCTTGCACCTTACCCTCTGGCAAGGCGACCTGCTCGCCAATGCACCCTGGGTCAACACGTCGGCTTCTCGCCGCACCGTGCTCGGCTACACAACCCATACCAACTTGAGTACCTTCACAGGCATATCGATGCCCACGGGATATGAGGGGACTCCAGCCGCTTCACTGCCTCCAGTCCCTGAGTTCGCGGCTCTCAAGGCAACCGGCTCGGACCGTGTATGGGAACAGAGCAAATGGCCCGGGGTGTTGAAGACTTCAGCATCCAACGGAAACTGGAGGTTTTTCTTGCCTCGCCAGGGGCCCTTGAGTCCCGGCGTACTGGACATGTGGGTGTGCCTGGCGAATGGGGAGAACATCACGCAGAGCACTTTGCCATACGCAGCAGATGCGTTCCCACACAGTCTTCACACATTCCTGACCACGCCCAAAATGCGCGGGCTGTTGGAACCGCCGCCGCCGGACAAAGTGGAGGATGCGGCAACAAGGGGGGCGCGAGAAGAAGTGGCTCGGAGGAATAGACAACGCGGAAGCATGTGGTTCCCGACGGTGCTGCTGAACCTGGAGGCGAAAACGAGGCTACCGAAGGAGGGCGTCGAATGGCTGGCGGTAAGGGTAACGGCGAAGCAAATAAAGGACGGCAGGTTTGATCTCGACGTTGTGATGAGAGATGCTGACGGTGAGTTGGTGGCGTTGAGTCAACAAGTTGCTCTCATGGTGAGCTGGGAACGGAATGTTGGCAAGAAACGCAAGGAGGCAGCGCTGTAGTTTTGCAGGGGGTTGATCCGGGGGGGCATTATGACTGCCTAGGGACGGAGTAGAGTCGCATTGATTCGACTCGAGTTCAATGTTGGGACGGCCGCGAAGATTAGATCCTAGAGTTCAGAGGTTGACCACTACTGAGAAGTGCCAACGGATCAATTCCAGCAACTGTCGGTAACTTCTACTCCGTACTAGTAGCATCAAATAGCCGCATGGCCGCTTGACTGTCCAGGCACTGCATGATGTGTCTGGTAGTGGTGCTGCCCACCGAGTCTACAACCAGTCCACGCTGTTCCGTACCTGCCAATTTCTTTCAATGTTTAGTCATCCTCCCGAGTCCCTCACCTGGTGTTGGTCGCTTCAATGTCAAACTTCACCAAGTGATTGATTCTTCTCGTTTTCAACAAGAGATGGCGTCTAAGCGTTTTCTCCTCACTTCTTGCCCACTCAATTGCTTGACAAACAAGTTTCAACTCCTCCCTTGGAGCATTTCCTTTCCACGAATATCTGAGAGCAATTTTGAATCATGATGCGCACAGTGCCCGGAAAGAAGCCATGTTCGTCTGAGTTTGATCCTCACGTCGTGGTCAAGGTCCCAGGAAGTTTTGTCACGGCATCCACCCTGTCCTTCTGTAGTATGTACATGCAGTGATTTTTCTCCACAGGCAACGGCATCTCCTGGAGTACGTGCGAGGTGCCACCCTAGCAATGTTTAATCGTTGTACTTACTAACTGCGTCATCAGCTGTGTTCGCTTTGCTCGAACAAAGCAATTATATCAAGACCAATGCTGCACCCATCACCGTTCCACTGCGACAGCAACTACTGCCACACCCTGAAGGTGACCAACAACGGAAAACTCAATAGCCAGCGCTAGCATGGCTCAAAACCACTCGGCAGATAATTTTCCTTCCAAAAAAAAAAAAGCCTTTCTGTCAGAACCTAGAGAAAAATGGACTGCTACAAATGCCTTCTTTGGAGAGCCTGGGAACTCAGATTCTCTTAAGAGTGGTGTGGACACTGTCGATAAATGGGCACTCGAGGGGATCAAAGAGTGTTAAGTGTAAACGTCCAACTTTTCCCATCTAACAGCCTAGGGCATGCCCAAGCGGTAAAAGCGTCAATCACTGTTTCGACTGCGAAAAACGAGTGAACGGGATGAGGCTTTGGCTCCTGGCCCATTAGCAGCCAGCCACTTTATGCAAATCCCCCCTGACCAAAACCTTAAAATCCGGCACAGATGCTCAAAAAGGAATTGATGGCAACCATCGACTTACCCCGTCTTCTCTCAAGTCTCAAGATTTTTACACCAGATTTGCTACAAACACCTTTAGCAAAACGCGAAATATGGCTTCCAAAAAGACAGTCGCTCTCATCACGGGCAGTACCCGAAAAGTACGCCTCGGTCCCTTCTTCACAACCTACGTGAGAGACATGATTGCCCCCCATTGCCCCACCTTGTCCTTGGAGATCGTCGACTTGGCCGACCAAGGGCTGCCCATTCTCGACGAGACCAACCCGGCGGCCGGGCAGCCCGCGGATGACCCTACGTCCCATTACGAGCACGAGCACACGAGGAAGTGGTCCGCCGTGGTGCGCAAGTACGACGCCTTCATCTTTGTCACGCCAGAGTACAACCGCAGCGTGCCGGCCGGGTTGAAGAATGCGCTCGACTTTTTGTTCCATGAGTGGAACGGTAAACCCGCCGGCGTCGTGTCCTATGGTGGAAGAGAAGGCGCCAGGGCGTCGGCTCATCTGCGAGACATCTTGGCTGCCTTGAAGTTAGTCGTGTTGCCCACGGCCCCGGGGTTGAGCACATCCCGCCGGATGCTGCCCTATGTTGGAGAGCACAAATCCGTGTCGGACGATGATAGGCAGCGGTGGAAGGAGTCTGGTGCCGAAGCGCAGATTGTGGCATTGGCACAAGAGTTGGTGGCAGAGCTGGAAGGGGCAAGCAAAGCAGCTCTCTCTAACTAGGTCCTGGCCTAGTTTGTCCATCGGCCAAATACACGGATTACTATGGTGTTGGAATGAATGAATAGCCACGTATAAAGAAAACGCGAGGGCCACGATTTGAAAACGTATTTTGAGAAACTACACCGCCATGTTTATTCCATCTGTTTTTTCATTCACTGGCGGTCCTTGGGGCATTCACTTGCGCCTGTTGACTGAGCCTCTCACAACTCCTCTCCCCAAGGACCAATTCCCGGACCTTTAAACAGCTTTCCGCCCTTCCATACCCATCCAATATTGCTCTTCTTCTGCAGCACTTTCACATCCTCTACTGGATTGTCACAAACACCAATCATGTCAGCCTCATAGCCGGCCTTTAGTTGGCCCGTCAGAGGAGCCTGCCCAGCAACAGTCAATGGCCCGTTGGCAGTGGCAGCCTTGATAGCCTCCAAGCTGGACATGCCGGCCTCGACAGCATATTGAAGCTCAATGGCCATGTTGAATCCGGGCTCGGTATCGGTCCCAAGCGCAATCGTGCAGCCTGCTTCGATGGCCTTTTTGTAACCTTCCAGGGAGTGCGTTCCAACCAACTTGGCCTTTTCCCACATCTTCTTGGGCATCCCCTCGCCCTTGCTGTCGAGAAGCAGGTTGACAATCGTCCTGGTGCCTACAAATATGATTCCCCTGTCCTTAATCAGATCAATACACTCTTGGTCAGCGAATGATACGTGTTCGACCGAGGTCACGCCCGCCTCAACGGCCTGGAGGATGCCCGGCTTCCCGTGGACGTGGGCGGCGACCGTCCTCTCCATTCTCTTCGCCTCGGACACGATTGTGTCCAGCTCTTCCCGGCTGAATTGGGCGTATAGAGGGTTATCGTCGCGCGACAGGACTCCGCCAGACGCCATGACTTTGATGCACTTTGCTCCGCGGCGAATCTGCAGTCTGACCCCCCGACGACATTCATCAACCCCATCGACCAAGCAGCTCATACCGGCTCCGAATTGGCCGGCCTTGACCGACGCAACCCCCAGGTTCAGAAGAGCGTCTCCGGCCGGCAAGGCAAAAACATCACCGTGGCCAGCCAACTGGCTGAGACAGGCTCCGGCACTGTAAATGTTTGGGCCGATGATGACTCCGTCCTCGATTGCCTTGGATATTTCGCATCCAAAGCCTGCAAGGTCTCTCATGGACGTGTAGCCTCTTTGGATTGCGTCCCAACAGCCTCTTGCAAGACGTGCGCCAGCTGTAGTAGGGTGATCTGCGAGAAAGCTCAGGCCCGCCGAGCCCTCTTCTGCCTCCCTCTCGTCATTTGATCCGGCGAAATGCACATGGCAGTCCCAGAGGCCGGGCATCAGATAAGGCACATTGTGCAGTTTATGAGGCTTCTCGGTGTACTCGTTGGGGAGGTCGGCCTGTCGCCCAACCCAGTCGATAATCTTGTTCTTGACTACAAGAGCGGCATCCTTGATAGGCTCGCCGTCGCCCGGGATGAGCAGCTTTGTCGTCACGATTGTGTAGAAGACCTTCTTCACCCCTGCTTCCGGATCGTTGTCTTGCGATTGCGGGTGTCCTGTGCGGACGGCAATGCCAAACCCCGTGGAGTAGATGCGCCTGGATACGTGCTGCGCGTCGTCGACCGACTCTGCGGATTCGGAATGGGGAATCACCCGTCTAGTCATCTTTGGAGCTGCCTGAAGAACTACCCAGCTGGTTGTATACAGGAGAACACAAGCGAGAGAGGCTACAAGTTGGGCAGCGAGTTTGACGCGCCTTCAAGCATGCTCGCCAGCGGCCTTGAGAGGGGGAGGCATTCTGCCGCTTGCCGTTTTGGGACATCGAGTGTCCCAGGCTCCCAGCTAACATGGTAACAATTTCTACGACAACGGTTGGTTCCCTTCGATACCGGTACAATCTCTGGTGCAACCACACATCTTGCAAGAAATTCCACAGCGCAATACATTGACGTTCCTCCTGTTTTGGAGCCAAATTATACAAAAATCAAATCCGAGCATGGTGAGAGCAACAGCAGGAGCAAATCATTCACAATGTCATGTCGGCATCTCAGCCCCGCGGCAAAATCGGCGGGTACGGCAGCCGCATTGGCAATATCCAGCCCGAAGGAAAATTCATGAATATCCTGTCAAAGCCGGTCGTGTTTTTCTTACACACGGATAACATGCCCAATGATAAAAATCGTTGGCACCGAAATCGCAGAAGCCGCTTATATGCGCAGGCGCAGTTCAAAAAGAATCCACTTGCAAAAAACACCATGCCATGTTCCAGAACGCCGAGTCGCCGACATGATAAAAGTAAGCATAAAGACTTTATTGTCTTCCCGGAATCTTGGGCTGACTATTTGTCGCCTGTCAACTTGGCAAACCACCAATTGGATCAGCCCCAGCCGCCCCGGTGGCGATGCAGCCACGTCTGCTTTGGGATCATCGAACATGAGTTTGTCGTGTGAGCCAATGCCGAGCTATATAACGGGTTTGCCATCCCCATCTACAACGCCCTGCCATTACGTGGTCCCGGAGGTAAGAGATGGGATGCTTCGGACCGTCGGTGTCCTCTCACACCACTGCCTCTGCGAATGGCTTGATCCAAGGCATATCGTTGGCCCGCCGTCCTCCGGCTTACGGTTGTACATCCGAGGACAACCGTTAGCAAGAGGGAAAACGAGACATGATCTGATGAAATACGTCTCATGATTGTCCAGTGCCTTGCGAGGTCTGCCAGGATCACGGGGGGCGCAGAACTAGAGTCAGTCTAGAGTCTAGGAACTTGTTAGTTCAGCCATGGCACGACAGACGGTGCTGATCTATAAAGCAGGCCGCTCTCCCCCCGACGTAATGAAGAAAATCATTCACCATCAAACATACATCATTCACTTGCCAAAAAAGCTCATTCTTCTCTTGTCTCATACCACGACTTCAAGCCAAGACTCTTCTTTTCTCGCCATGCTGTCCAAATACATCATCGCCGTGGCCGCCCTCGGCCTCACGACCCTCGCATCGGCCCAGCAGCCATGCGGTCTCAAAATCGCTCCCTGCCCTTACGACCAGCGCTGTGTTCCCGACTCCCAAGACTGCACCGACCTCAACCGGTGCAGGGGAACGTGCCAGTTCAAGAACAAGTACACTTCGTGTGGGGGGAAGCGTGTTCACCCCGTCGGCTGCGAGGCCAACTCTGAGTGTCGTGATGACCCTCGCCTCCCTGAGAGCTGCGGCCTGGCTTGTGATATTCCGGGCATCTGTATGCCCAAGAAGCCCCATCAGTGTGCTGGGTTTGCTGGATTTGCTTGTCCCAAGGGCCAGTTCTGCTATGATGTGCCCAAGGATGGGTGCGACCCGAAGAACGGAGGAGCTGACTGCTTGGGGCTGTGTTTGTAACCGTCTCACAATATATTTGAGGCTTTTCTCTCTTTGTACAGGAGTAGAATAATTGTACGAAGAAAATGGTGTTTTGGTCGATGAATTTTGGCGTAATCCTCCGAATCTCCGATACTCCTCCCTTGATACGTGACAATCTCTCCCTTAATACAGAAATGGTGGTCGATCATGCTCCCCTCCCCCGCAAAAAATAAAAGAAGACAGAAATCAAAATTTTCTCAGCCACCACATTTTGTACATTTTGACCTTTTCCCAGACCCTCCCCTGGCTCTGCTCCAAATCCTCTCACATCCCCAGTGTTCGTCTGAACGTACGTCATAGGTCGCACTCGTCCTCTTCGGGCTCGATCTTCTCGCATTTCCCCTCGCAGTCGGCACAGAACGTGGGATTCATGCACCTGTATCCCTCGGGGCAGGGTATCCCCAGAATAGTGCCGCATTTACGCCCAGTCGCGGCATCAGTCTCGTCTCCCACATCGGCCACGTTGTTCAACGAGGCGCCGACAAGGCCGACGAGACCCATGGCGTACGCAACAAGGACCCTGGCCAGCATGCTTGCAAAAAAAGAAATTAATAACTCGGCACAACAGGCGAATTCGGCACGTTTCAAAGAATTCTTTAAGCGTTCGGCACTCAGGTGACAATTGAGCTGCAGTCTGGTCAAGGCGAGGAGCAAAGCCCGGTATTTATATCTCTGAGCCGGGCCACGTGTGTCACCCTTCGCAGCCCACTTGACATGTCTAAGACAAGACCATGTTTGCTCCCACAAACAAGGAATGGAGTGACTGAGATGGGCGCGATCGTGTTTCACGTCGGCTACGAGGAATACATTGGTCCCATTGGTAGATGGGCATAAGCTTACATGAAAGAAGCAAAAAAACATCAATGTCTCACACATGCAATGCAAACCCTAGTCAGCCGTCGAGATGGTTCAATGTACTAGCAACTCCCTTTTTAAGCCTTACACCCTTTCCGCACAGCTATACAAAGGAATACACAAAGTCGTGGCTCGCACCTCTCCAGCACTTCACCCCAAGCTGACGTGCTGGGAGAAGATATTGTCTTCGGCACTGTCAGCTACTTGGACCAAAGGACTCCAGAGTAGAGGACCGTTTTACAGGACTCCGGGACATGCACCGTCTGTGAGACAAAGGAAACGGTTCCCGCATAGGTACTTGAACAGGAACAAAATGTACAGACACCATCAAAGGATGAGCTGCTTCAGGTTTCGCCGCACAATCATGTCCTGCACCGAGTCCATTGTGATCTTGACCAGGTTCGTGTCCGTCGCGGTGGTGAAGTGCCCGTATATCTCCCTGTCGGGGTCTCGGCTGTGTGCCAGAAACTTGTCCAGGAAGTACTTGCTAGCTAGCTTGTAATCGCCGGGGGGTCCATGGTAATCTATGAATCCATAGTTGGAGAGCGGGTTGGACGGCAGCTTCTCCACGAATAAATCCATCTTGTTCAGGAAGAGGATGATGGAGGAATTTTTGAACCAGCGCGAGTTTACGAGGGATTCCCACAGCATGAGGGCCTCGTTCATTTGGTTCTGCAAGTCGCGGTTACTACTCTGCCCGCAGTTCACGAAATGTTGTTGAGAGGCGGAGGGGGGGAGGTTGTTATCTCACAGCTTGCCTGTCTTCAACAAGGCATTGGTTATATCCGCTGATGGCAACCAGGAACAGCAGACAGTTGACATCTTCGAAGCAGTGAATCCACTTCTTGCGTTCTGATCTCTGGCCGCCAACGTCAAATATTCGATATGTCCTCTGTGCAATGGTGAATTGGCACTCTGTGATGCCTGTCGTCTTCAATCTTGAACAGAGAATGTCCAAGTCATTGGGGATATACTCATTCGTCCAAAGACGGTCCATATTGTCAATGAAGCTACTCGGTATATGGTTAGAGTTGGACATATAGAAGACTGAGACGGGATTTGACAAGAGGGGTAGGCTCATACTATGCGAGGTTGTCATGGATGGCGTATTCGTTACATTGCTTAATTGCTTCTTTGACGCCGGTGTCATGCCATAATGCCTTGATGGAGTCGAAATAAGCTTGCGGGAAGCTCTCTTTGTGTCCTACCTCCTGCCTCGTCAAGATTTGGGTCATGAATTTCTACAAGACGAAGTTAGCTCGCACACTTGGCTGCTGCTGCAGTAGAGACAGACACGTACCTCGTTATCAGGGTTGTCAAATGCAATGGTAAAGTCATTCATAGCATCGCTGATCATCTCAAAGGTTTCGATAATGTTGTGGAAGATGATGCGTCGCCACCATTGCCTCTCCTGCGTCTGAAACCCTCGCGAGTATATAATCCTCATTTGCTTGAGTATAGTAGACTTTCCGGACTCTCCGGCTCCTATTTCCGCAAAAGGACCATGTTAGACTCTAGGACCAAGAGCCGCGATGAGTATTTACTGTCGCGTGCCGCAGAAAACTTACCCAGCAGCAGGATTTTGGTCTCGTGGGCCATGCGCAGCTGGTCCTTGCGGATGATGCGATCAATCTCCTGCGAGCGCGAGGCTTCCTCGCCCCCGCGGAGGCCGTTAAAACACATCATTGGAGGCTATCGTCGTCCTGCACGAACGTCCCCTCTGGTTTTTGAGCTATTATCCGTGCTTTTTTTGGAGTCCGACGTCGTCACAAGGCGAAACGATGGATGGGTCGGCCAGGCCCAGCGACGATGGGCACCTTAATGCCCATCAACTCGGCTTGTGGACCGCAGTCAACTCCACTGCCAAGCGTCAGGAGGGGGCAAGGGGCACTGGGATGTTCGTACGAAGGGATTGAGACGTGTATCTTCAGCTCCGTGGCGTGGCGTTGTTGATGAGCCCACCAGCAGGCCCAGGAGCTGCAGACGGTTGCTGCCGTTCGTCCAAGCACCGGAAGACCCCCGTTGTGGCGGCCGGGGTGAGCTGTAGAAAGCAGCCACCTGCATGATCAGACAAATGATCAGTCGCGGCGATTCATGACAAGGGTCCGGTGCGCCAAGGGCTTCTTGTTTGATAGTGATCCGGGGACGCCATTACGGTGCGGAGATAGGGGGGAACCAGATAATATCCAAGGGACGGACCATGATATGGCATAAAATGCTATCCAGTGGAAACACACAAATAAGTAAGTCAATAGGCAATGGGCTACCGACGGTTCATCATTAGGAAATCAATGCGTTTTGAAGTAGCTCACACCGCCATCAGTCAGTCCTGTGGTAACAGAGGCACACAAGGAAGGCATGTTGCTAATTTCAAGCGTTTCATGTCTAATGTCTCTCGAGATGCTCCCGAACTTGTGGAGTATCCACTCCGTGGGCAAGGAGCCAATCAGGCTATAGCATCTATTGCGTATCTAATTGGAGAGGAGTCTACTGTCTCCATAAGCTCGTGAGCATCTCAAGAGATGTAGTCTATCGTCTCATCATCTGCGTCTATAATCTAGGATACTCCGTCCCATATGCCTTCCCCTGCAAACCCAAAATATCCACAAATCCATACCGGGACCAGTCCTGATTACTCGCCATCATCTCAAGCCACTTCTTTCTCGACTCCAGAAACACCTCAATGTGATCCTCCCGACTCAAGTCTAACGGCTGCAAATCCCGACTCACCAGACGAATCCTGCAAAAAAAAAAAAAAAAAAAGGGTCAGCTTGTCATTGGCAAGAAAACCTCATTCATGCTTCAGAAAAAAAAAGCTACTCACTGAGTACCCGCGGCCATATTCGTCATGGTGGTATCTGCCTGGTCCATCAAAACCTCGATCGCACCATGAACCTCTCCGTTCAATATCTTCTGTGGCAAGTCGAACTCATCGCAAACCGGACGGCCCAACCCAACGCCATGCACTGTATCAAGGGCCTTGACCATGCCACTTGTTGTGCGAAACCCCCCAGTCACATAGACTTTGGTCCTGTTCAGTCCGGGGACGATGATGTCAGCAAACTCTAGGAAGAAGGCCTCGCGCTTCTTAGTCGACTCTTTGCGGTGGTAGAAAGCACCAGCCTCATACGTGCCGCCCGATAATTCTACAAAGTCAAACCCGCTTTCTTCCAGTGCAGCGCATAGATCCGTACAGTCCTGGGTGGAAAAGCCGCCATCCTGAAACTCGACGCTGTTGAGCTTGATGCTGACAATGAAGGACTTGGGGACGCGGGCGCGAATGGCGTCGTTGATCTCGAAGATGATTCTCGCGCGGTTCATCAACGAGCCGCCGTACTGGTCGGTGCGCTTATTCGTTGTCGGCGAGAGAAACTGCGCCAATAAGTAGCCGCTGCGTGTAGGTTCAGCAAATCAATTCCCTCGTCCTAGACGGCCTGTGTTTCTGCTGCTGCCTGGCCATTACTCACTGGGCGCCGTGCAATTCAATTCCATCGTAGCCCGCCCTGTGCAGGTACTCGGCCGCATGGGCGAAGCCCTCGATCACATTCGCGAAATCCTCCTTCTCCATTGCCCTCGGCTTCGCAAACGACATGCCCATCCTGTTCATGTTGAGCTGGACGTCGCTGGCCGAGATGGGGTTCTGCTGAACGCTGCTGTAGACCTGTCGTCCGGGATGGCTGACTTGCGCAATGACTAGACTGCCGTGCTTCTTCGACACGGATGCCATGGCCCGAAAGGCTTCGAAGCGCTCGCCGCTGAACGGAGAGCCTCGCGGGATGATGGCGCACCCGGGTGATTCGAGATGGTCATATTCGATCATGACGTTTCCCGTCAGCAGGACGCCAAACCCGCCCTGACCCCAACGTCGATATACATTGATGAGCTCCGTGGTGGGGATGCCACGCTTTTCAAGAACCTTTGGGTCCCAAGTCGAGAGTCTTTCCGTCATGGCACCCTTGAGGATTCGGTTCGGCGCAACTCTCCCGCTGAACGCAAAAGCGAGGGGCTCACGCAGCGGCGCCGGGTCGACTTGCGGCGCGGTTACTCGTTTTGGCGCCATTTTTGTCACAGTTGTGCTAAATCTAATAATCAAGGGAAAGAGACGCGTACGAAATGCAAAGTGATGGTGGTGATGGTTTTGTATCAAGAAAACTCGGGTCGTTGCTGTTTGATGGACCCCGAAACTCGCCCCAAGCAAAACTTCAAACGGACATTGCCCACTTCCCCGCGGAATATCAAGGTGTGCAAACATCCAGTGTTGAACCATTCGGCATTCCTTTGCGATCCCGGACCTGAAATCCAGGGGCGCCGCGGCTTTCCGCTCATTCTCCTCTACGTTCTTCCATCTCATTGGCGTTGCCACCTGGGCGGCTCCTGTGGAGAGGGCTCCATCTCTCAACCCTCACGGCATGAATATGTATTCATAACATTTGAATTCATAATGGGCACGGAGGACGGAAACGGTCGCTGAAACTCCGTTTATTGAAATCTCAAAATTCCACGCGGGTTGTGCGACCGGCCAAAGTGCTTGCCGAAAAGGAGTGGGATGCCAAAAGAGCTGATTTGTAAGACCGGTTGAACCGGTCGGTCCAAGTGGCTCAAGGCTGCGCATCAATTGATATATTAGAGCAACGGGCAAAATGACGCCAGCTCGGTTTGCCCACATCAGCCGAGGACCCTGGGGGACCAACAAACGAGCACGCCACACCCTGCGCATCATATCGGCGGCGGGGCGATGTATTAATAATTCTCCCAATATCCAGCTAAGGCTTGGTACTAGTTGTTAAAACATTAGAATTGGTCGTGAGAATAAATAAATACTCCAATCCATGGCAATATCTGCGTCTGGAAACGTTCTCAGCATCTACCTTTGAGCCCAAAACACCAAATACCAAGTACCTACCTCTATCAAGCCCGTATTAATTAATTTTATTTTTTATTTTTTATTTTTTAAAAAAGATCAACAAAGAAAGGAAAGAAAATGACCGTCTTTCGCATCACCGTCACTTCAGACACCGTCTGTCCGTGGTGCTACGTCGGTCGCCGCCAGCTACAAAAGGCGCAAAAGCTCTATTTCCAGAAACACCCCAACGCCAACGACTCCTTCACCGTCACTTACTCCCCGTACCAGCTAGAGCCTGATTATCCCTCGGGCCCCGGCCACAGCAAGGACAAGCAGCAATTCTACGTGGACAAGTTTGGCGCCGAACGCACAGCCATGATGCAAAAGCATCTGTCGGCCGTCGGGGACCAGCTCGGCATCAACTTCAGATATGGTGGTAAAACGGGCAACACCAGAGATTCGCACCGACTGATGCAGTTGGCCAAGAAGCACGGGAATGAGGTCGAGCTGAGGACGGCGGATGGGCTGTTTGCGGCGTATTTTGAGAACGAGCAGGACATTACCGACTACGAGACGCTGAGAGCCGTCGCGCGGGAGGCGGGTATTCCGGGGGAGGAGTTCGACAAGGCGATTGTGCAGGGTGATGATGGTGGCAGGGAGGTGGATGATGCTGTTGTGAGGGCGAGGCTGGAGGGTGTGAGCGGTGTGCCGGATTATGTTGTCCAGGGCAAGTATAGGATTAATGGGGGGCAGGACGCCGGCGTCTTCGTCCGGGTTTTGGAGAAGATCAAAGAGATGGAGGAGAAGAAGTAGTGTTGAACAGTATTATTCCTATGCATCTATGATATCCCGGCGTTAATCATCTCGAGATCGATAATACACTTCCATCCTCTTTTCGAGAACCCCGTCCCATAGTTTGTGCCAATCCACGCCCGGTACATAAAACAAGAACCCTAGCTCCTGGCTTGTCCACCAACTTGCTCTATCCATATTACCTGATCCTAACACGAGGTACTCGTGGTCTACCATTGTCATCTTGAAATGACTCACAACTGGCTCATCTTCCATCCCTCGTCTGCGCGGAACGGCATTATAATACAAAATTTCCAGCTGGCCTAGCCGTACTGGCGGCGCTTCAATATCGGAGGACTTGCTCTTAACCCTGAGTTGTTGGTATTGTCTAACAAACTTCCTCAGACACCAGGATGTGGTAGTTCCAGCAGTGACTAGCTGCTCGAGGAGCATCATTCCCTTGTTGGTGCGGATCTGGACGTCAACTCCGCGGCTGAGTGCGTCCAAGAGGGCTTTCAAAACAGGCCACGAGGTGACATTGGGCGTCAGGATTATGATTTGACGTCGGGCGTTATTGAAGAGTGTGAGCAGCGCAGCATTCAAAGGCGTCATGGGTGGATTTGAACGGGACAGGAAGGGGAAGAAGCTGAATCTTGGGTTCCTATGATGCGACGAAGGCAAAAGTATGGTGGGTACATTGTCGTTGCCGGTAATCCTCAGTGATTTAATCGCCGATATGTCGTCCTCGGGAGAAAACATTGTTTCGCTATTTTCTGTGTCCACCGTCCGTGAGTCCCCTTCTGATATATAAGGCCCGCTCTCTCTTCCGTCGGCTGTTTCAATAGAAGAGCTTTGGTCCACCCCCGTGCCCCAGACTCTTCCATGAAACGCCATCAGTATCTGTACAAGATCGCCTTGCAATTCAACGCATCCTTCAAACCACCTTTCCCAGCTCACATTACAGCTTGGAACAAAGGCCCTTTCCCCATCGATTATCACGTATTTTGGGTGCATAACACTGAAGGGCGTGAAGAAAAGGCTTTTGACAGTAAGCTGGATGCCTCCGCTCGCCAGCGTCCTCTGATCGGGTAGACCAAGCTTGCCCCATTGCGACGGCGGATACAACTGCCCGTCCCTAGAGGATGTATGGAAAAGTTTCTGGAATAGGCCCCAGGACGAGAACCCGATGGTTATCTGTAGCGTGCTCCGCGCTGCGCCGCCGTCAGCTCTTCGCAACGCAGCCAACTGGAGCAGCGTGTCTCTGATAGCATCTAAGGATGGAGACGCTGCCCAATAGCACGTCACGAAATGCACTGAGGATCTCGCGCCGAGAATAGCAGGAAGTATGCTGCGTGTGAAGATTGAGTGGCCTGTGCCGACGTAGAGTGTTTGTGGTGAGCTTGTTGTGATGAGAGATTCAGGATCACGAGCATGGTGGTTGGGTAGATCGCCAAGCTGCTCCCTTTGCCGGGACAATAGTAGCTCTTTCCAAGGTCTAACGAACGATGGCGGGAACTCGAGGGGCGTTGACATGACTTGAAGTCTCCCTTGAATGTGGGGAGTGCTCAGAAATACTTTGAACTATGCATGGCGACTGTGACGATGGGGTTGTAGAGTTGAGAGCGGTGCTGCACCTGTGCCATGGACGAGTCACCAAGCCCAAGTTTGACCCATCAATGATGATGCGGCACGTGGGGCCAAGGCAAGCTCACCACGGCGCAGCAGCAGCAACGAAGAGTTCATCTGTGCCTGGGTGAGACGGGGTGACAGGACCCTAGTTGTCCCGTTTGTGGAGCCCTGTCGCTGTTGAGTCCGAGCATATTCGATGTACTACTACTAGTAGTTGGCTGAGATGCAGGGAAGAATCGAGGCTGGAACTTGGGAATAGATGGAGAAAAAGACACTAGTTTGGGCTGGTGCAAAGACAAGACCAAGGACTAGTACTTATTGGATTGTCAAGGTCGTCAGTCCACTCCGGTGACTGACAAGGTGTGGGTGCTCACCGCCTTTCAGCTTCGTGGCAGAATGGATCCCCTCCATGCGCCGCCTCCTTTCCTCAAAAGCTCCGCGAGCACCGAGTTCGAGACACACACAACGCGGGCACACGACATCATTGCTAACCCGGCCGATTAGGAGAGGAATTCCCTGTGCTCTCTCCGTCCCGAGTCTACCCAGCATGATCTCCGGTGTCCTCATATTCAATCAGAAGGGCGAGAATCTCATCTTCCGCGCTTTTCGCAACGACTGCCGGCCCCGCTTGGCTGATGTCTTCCGCATCCAAGTCATTTCCAATGCCCAAGTTCGCTCACCCATCTTGACCCTTGGCAGCACCACCTTCAGCCATGTCAAGCATGAAAATATTTATTTGGTGGCCATCACCAAGAGCAATGCCAATGCCGCATTGGTCTTCGAATTTCTATACCGACTGATCCAGCTGGGCAAGGGATATTTTGGCAAGTTTGACGAAGAAGCCGTCAAGAATAACTTTGTGCTAGTCTACGAGTTGCTCGACGGTATGCAGCCACGACAACGCTTGCTTTCCGGTATATGCGAACACCGAATACTGACAAGAAATGTCGCTAGAAATCATCGACTTTGGCTATCCTCAAAACACCGAGACAGACACCCTGAAAATGTACATCACCACCGAGGGCGTCAAGTCCGAGACCAGACCAGAAGAAACGTCCAAGATTACCATGCAGGCAACGGGTGCTCTGTCGTGGAGGAAGGCAGACGTTAAATACCGGAAAAACGAGGCATTTGTTGACGTCATCGAGGATGTCAACCTGCTCATGTCTGCAACCGGCGCAGTCCTCCGAGCGGATGTGAGCGGACAGATTGTCATGCGGGCATATCTGTCTGGCACACCAGAGTGTAAATTCGGTCTGAACGACAGGTTATTACTCGACAATGACGGCCTGCTCACACTGCCCAGCGGAAACCGAATGGGCACAAAGGCGACCAAGGCGGCAGCTGGCAGTGTCTCCCTCGAGGACTGTCAATTCCACCAGTGTGTCAAGCTGGGCAAGTTTGATACCGACAGAATCATTAGCTTCGTACCACCCGACGGCGAATTCGAGCTGATGCGCTACCGCGCCACGGAAAACGTAAACCTACCATTCAAAGTCCACGCCATCGTCAATGAGGTGGGACGCACCAAGGTCGAATATAGCATAGGTGTCAAAGCCAATTTTGGCTCCAAGTTATTTGCCACCAACGTTGTTGTACGGATACCCACGCCTTTGAACACCGCCAAGATTGTTGAGCGGGTAACACAGGGCAAGGCCAAGTATGAGCCTAGCGAAAACTGTATTGTCTGGAAGATTGGTCGCTTTACCGGTCAAAGCGAATATGTACTCAGCGCCGAGGCTATATTGACGAGTATGACGAATCAGCGAGCGTGGAGCCGGCCGCCATTGAGCATGAACTTCAGTCTTCTCATGTTCACGAGTTCGGGGTTGCTGGTACGCTATCTCAAGGTCTTTGAGAAGAGCAATTACTCCAGTGTGAAGTGGGTGCGATACATGACCAGGGCAGGTTCATACGAAATCAGGTAGGTTGTACCTCTATTCACGCATGTCATCCTCCGCCGCCGACTAATATGGATCAGATTCTGAGGGGCGGGTATATTTCGAGGCAAGTCAAGTCATGCGCAGGCGTTGCGGATACACTGGGTCATGGGAACGGCAATGTTGCCATTAATATTGATTTTTTTTTCTTGTTCAACTTTTGAAACGACTGGTGCAACTTGAAGCTGAAAGTGAGGATCACAGCACATGACGAGCCGCCAAATTGAGCACATCGGGCAGCGCCGCTGGCTTCATTGCGACGCCACGCCCGAATGTCGTGCCTATGACTTTGGGAGGCCGCCCCGGCCTGTATCCCCCTCCAAGTTCCCTCTTACGCTCAAGCACTATTCTCGTGCGCTGCCTGATAATCAGGCTCCTTAGAACTATGCAACGAGCATCTCGTGGTTTTACAGGCATCATAATCCAAGTCCTACGTGAGCTAAGAGAGGATTGTTACGTATAGCAATAACATGACACAGCCAACAGGGCGGCATTCCTACATTCGGAACACCCCGAAGCAGCGAGCTTGTCGTTTTTCCAGGAAAGGATCTTGCAATATGTGCTGGAGGCAATCAAATACAATACAATTTGAGCCGGAGCATTTGACAAACCCAGCTACAACATCTGTTTATGAAAAGACATGTCATTTTCCTTGCATGATTGCCACTGCACAATTCTCCATTTAGCGGCCTGAACAAAGAAACGCAATCTATAGATGCGCGGCCAAGCCACCAACGCTTATGCTTCACCGTTATGGTGTAACAATCAACGCATCTCAACAGCCCATGCGACGGGAGAACATGGTTGTGAAGCCCTCAGAAAATGCCTCACAGTTATGCCGATTCAGCACAACTCAACAGCTCAGTCCATCTTACCTCTCGTGAAGGTCTGAATACAGTCAGATATTTGACTCTGTGAAACATGCAACCTGTCATTGAAGCCCCTGATTCTCTGGCCACCGAAGCTTCATAACAGTGGCAGACCAAGGTTGCTGCACAGGAACATTCTAGAGTGCCTCCCTTTCTCGTTCGACCTCCGTTCTGCATGTTACTCACGGCGAAATACTACGCTGCCAACGGACGTTCCGAGTGGTCCGTATGACGACAAAGCCACGAACTTACAAAGCTGCTCAATATCCTCCATAATCTCGTAAGAGGAAAAAGCACATCATTGTATGAAAGCTCAATATAATGTCCTCCTTCACGACAGGATAGGAAACCGCCGTGGCTCCCACCGCGCCACGAGCCGTCAACCCACTGTTGTCGTGAGGTTCTTGTGTAGCCAAAATGGTGAATAACGGGAGGATTTGATTGGCAATGTTTCACTATTTCCGCGGGAGATCAGCTCAGAATGCCACGTGTCATGGGGAGAGGACTTGTTCCCCGTTGAGCTGGTTGCTCTTTTCCAACGGTTATTCCGTGATGTTTCGTGTTGGTGCGTCGGTGCTGCCAGCAGGTTGGTCACGATGGCGCGCTGTGTGGTTGATGAGGAGATTGACTGGTCAGTTGATGAGTTTGGTGGAAATTTGGCTATATCGGAATGTGGTGATGAAGTGTATAAATACCGAGCGTGATCATGAGATTATTTCTCAGAGAGCAGGCTTACCACAGTCCCCTGAGCAACAATACCTGACCGAGCCAGAACATGATCAGTGTTTCCAAGACAATATTTCCTCGGCTTATATCTCATCAGCTCCTGTGCCTGCTCCTCATCACTGATTAAACCTCGAACATCCTGTCTCCTGGGGTAATAAGAGTTGCAAGCTGCAAACCTTTTGGCCATCACCAGCAAACATATAGTAGGCATAAACTGCACTCTTTCCCTGATTACACCAAACTAAGGCGCAGCACGACTCTCAGAGTCTTGCTACGGGACTGCTATTCACCAAGTTGTCCAGCACATCATCAGTTCAGCTCTGTAACAAGAACAACTCCCGCGACTTCATTATTCACACCCGAGAGTTTTATTTTTATGAATTTTCAAACGCTCGCATCGATACCCCCTACTCAGAATCTCCAAAATACTTATCAGCTCAACATCCAAATCTAGTCAGCCATACCTATATCGCCGAGACATCCTCCGCTACGGTCACACAGCCTCCTCCCAGCATCAACGCCTCACTTCCGCAATATTGGCTCTCTCGCACGCCCACGATCCGGGGCTCGGCTCGGCCGTTTCTGGAAATAGAAACCGCCACGATACACAATGTGTATCTGCACCATCCTCCACTACCACCACGCGCCCCCTTGCCCGCGCCCCGTCATCTTCACAACGCACTATCTCTACTGCCCCGACGCCATTGTCAACCCAGTCACCAATGAGATCCTCTCCCCTTGCAGCAACACCAGCTACAAGCCCTCCCAGGGCATCGACTACCCAGACCCGTGTTCCACAGGTGGCTGCCTCATCTCGCCTCTCTGCAGCACGGGCACCTGCCGGCTCGAGGACCTGAATGGCCTGTGGGTTTGCTGCCAGTGTGACAGAGGGGGGAACCAATTTCGGACCTGTACCAACAGGAAGTGGGCTTGTCCGGATACCTTTTGCTATCACAAGATCTGCCAGGGGTGTAGGCCGGATCTGGGCAAGGTCGGCAACCTGCCCGGAGGGAGGTAGGATTCGAAGGATTCGAAACCAAAGATGGAATAAAAGCTAGTGGCTAATTCGAGTACATGTGTTTTCTTCTGTACTACATTCCTCGTTCATCCGATGGGCGCGCGGCGATATACGCAGCTATGTGATTTTAGCCTCCCCCGTATTCCAGCATGTCCTGCGTTATCCTCGTTTCACCAAACACTCAGACTGTCATCGTGTGCATACGTGTAAAGCTCGCCTAGCTTTACTCCAGGCCTTGTTGTCCTCCCGGAGAGGGGGGGTAATATCCTGACCTGGAATTCCAGCGCCGAGCGCCTCGTCGGGTGCAGTGGCACACGGTCCGAGTCCATCACCTCCGTCGCCCATCTGTCATGATATCAGCCATCTTCGCGTCAGTGCCCCTCAACACTCATCCACTACATACTTCCATCCTCTACCGTATAGTATCTTTTCCTTCACTTGTACGGGGTGAGATTGCAAATTGCTGCGTGCCATGTCGCCGATTACATGGTCGGACAATGGAAAAAAGGTTCAGGTATATTGGCCGGATTCATTCGACGGGCTTGGCCAAAAACCGGGTGAATACGGTATCAACCCAGCCCGTCTCCTTCATACAAGCATCACGAGGCTGCTTCATATACTGAACATCTTCCCATGTCTGTAGGACACGACAGCCACCAACTGGTGATGTGATGCCCATGCCGAAACTGCGCCTCTTTTGGCATTTACAATCGCAAAGACTACACGGCGAGCGTGACTCACGTGTCCCCAAGTCCGTAAACATATTGTACGATTTCACTTTTTCACAGATTGGTGGAATACTCGCTGTCCATGGGAAATACTTAAACCAGGTCGTCCTCGAAATGGCTCGGTGTCTCCTGGGACAAACAGCAAGCAAGCGCCTCGAGTAGCTTCTTCACAACTCTGATTATTCGCAGGGTGCATTCTACTCTGATTTCAGTCTATCCCTAAACGTCAACTCTTTCCCCACAGCCATGTGTACGGAATCATACTTCACGCTCAAATGCGAGCACGTCGCCGTGTCGCTCGACGTCTGCGCCCGAGTTCCTCGCGGCGGGCCTACCCAATGTACGGACTACAAGGTAGAGAGGCCGTCGTATCCCTTCCCCTCGGACACCAAGCTTCCTGCGTGTCCCAAGAGCCCGCGATGTCCTTTCGAGCTTCGAGACGGCGTGTGGAATTGCTGCTGGTGCGGGAAGACACGGAATATCACGGGCCGCTGTGGGTGCAGGATGGTGTCGAGCCACGAGGAGTACTTTTGTGAGCACGTATGCTGCGAGAGATGCGGCAAGGGCAGTTATGCTCTGTGAATGGTTGGCCCTGTGACGTGGGAGTTTTGGAGGTGATATTTGGACAAACAGCTTGAGCGGGCATCATTCGAGGGGGCGTGGGTGATGAGGATCGAGAGATCGATTGGTCTTGCAGATGATTCAGTGCCCGGGATAGGGGACCGGATAGGCAATGATGGAGACGTTTTTGTCTCACTAACGTGTTAAATGGACATATTTCAAAGATGCTGCTTCTCTCTTGTCTGTTCAACGATATCACAGTTGTGAAAGCTGCCCAAGTCGCACGGGCCGTATTTGGCGAAATGTGGCAAAGTGGCCGAATCTTTTCGGTACTTGGCGCCGTCTGAGACTGCAACATGTCCGTTTCTCCCGCGTGAGACATTACCATGGCACCAGATCTTCATGCTCGTATACCGAGGGATTGGTTCTCGGGGAAGTGGCGCCGAACGAGGCGAGTTGGAGCCGCTTTGTCCTACGAACTGACGTCTTGGTGTAGACTTGAATAATTAGTCACCAGCTTCGGATATCGTATTCTTTTCCACTTCCTAATAGCCTAGTCAGAAATAAACAGATGCTCCAGAGTATTCTGAAACGAAAAAATGTTGGCGAATCAGTAAATAGTCACATAGGCGTGTGTTTCCATGCAAGACAACAGGGGGCTTGAGCTCAGATCCTTTGTATGCCCGTTTACTCTGGGCAACATGAAACTGGCAGATCATGTTATGTTGACCAGATTCCAGGGTTAGTCCAGAAAAATAGTCATTTGCAAGAGATTGCGGTGTAACCACACCCTCATGTGTACTCTTCGTTTCATTTCATGTTACCTTTCTTGCCATTATTTTCAACGCCGAAGGAAAGAACCCTGGCCTTTCTCCCGAAACATTGCCAGGCGTTCCCCGTTCTGGGTTGTAGCCCAAGACGCTACCATGGACTCGGGACCATGCTGTGTATTCTTTGACGGGAACGTGCAGAAGCCTTCATCTGCACATAATCGCTTAGTACAGGGAAACAGTCTGCGAAAGTTATCAAAGTGGCGTTTGTGGCGGCCCCCAAGAAAGGCCACCGCTGTCATGCGAATGGTCGCTGTATCTATCCAGATATTGTTAGATCTGCAGGGTCGTTGATAGCAAGGTCTATTCAAACCCGACAAAACAAGATCCAACAGTGTTGTGGTTGAAAGGCTCCTACAACAGTAGAGCCAAGGAATACTATAAATATAAAGTCAAGCATGGCCAAATTCTGACCCCGGGTTTGATATAGAAGCAACATATTCAAGCATGTCAACTCAATCACACTTGGAAACCCCTCCTTCGCCATTTGATAATACCATATACAGGTTTGACTACGTCCAGAAAAATGTGCAGCGGACACCCTCGAGCTCACCCTTGTGGCCATACTTCCCTGCTATGGAACTATTGTCGTTCTGCAACATTCAACACGATGACAGGAGAATCAATGCGCTGCGGTAACGTCACGTTTGGCACCTACGTCCGAGAGTTGAAATCCGGGTGCCCGTTGTCAGAATGCAAGTTCAAGGCCAAGGGAGGAAACTGGGTGTGCTGCAAATGTCATCGAGGTCCGAATCGACGGGGTTGGTGCAACCAGCCGGTGATACGCCTGCGACGGAAGCTAGGCAGCGATGATGAGAACGAGAAGGAAGAAGCAGACTGTACTTGCGACCACATGTGTTGTGACGAGTGTGCGATAGTAGGTACGTCAACTTGAGCAGGATGTAACTGTGCTGTGACGACGTCGCTAACTCGCGAGTTGTATAGAAGAGAACTGAGGGCGAGTCCAATTGGTAGTGATTGGAAGCAAGGGGCAAAAAAGCCCGCTAACCCGCATAGAGAGAAGATGGGGTTGCAATGGCGCCTGTGTGTTGATGCTGGTTGGTTTCGTTTCTTTGGGAATGCGAAGAAGGGCGGTGTACAATATGTCCTCCGGTTGAAGGGTGCCTGCTCGAGGCATTGAATCCGTCTGTGGAAAAGCGATTTGATCAGCATACCCTAACAAGGCAAAACGAGGAAGGTCTTTGTTTTTCGCTTCAATTAATACCGTGATATTGGACTCTGTAATTCCGGATTGTAACATCGTTGATGGTATCATGTCCATGTCACCAAACATGCCCAACCCACGGCATGGCCGACGGCCTCGGGCTGGGCGGACAAGTCAACATGGCCACGTGTGAGCCCAGCCATTCGCGGTAGCCAAGACGTGTGAAAATTGATGATGGTGGCAGCGTTGCATATGTTGTCAGTATGAAGCCGCAGGCCGAGGGGATGCCCGCGTGGCCACCGCAGCAAGCGTCCAGCGAAATGTCTCATGCCCCCATGTCCCATGTCTCACATCAATTCACGTGGCAGAGTTGGCCGGCCGTGCAGCTGGAGGGAGGATGCTCCGTACTCCGTAGGGCGGCTAATATTAATATTCCGCCGTCAGACATCGAACCTGCGACGGGCAAGATTGAAAGCATCCACAACCAATGCTCCTTTTCAGGTCGAGGGTCGAGGGTCGAGGTGACGAAACCATCACACGGTCGGTGGATTGTGTCAACTTTCGCGGAAGGAGCAGTTCTTCACGCAAGGGGAAAGGAAAAGGGACAAAGTACGGAGTAAGCTACGTACGTACTTTCATGGAGGAAGGAACTATTGGACACACGGCAGCCGCAGCGCATTGCACCTGCATTTTGCATTGCATTTGCATTTGCATTTGCATTTGTGTGCTACCGTTGACATTTGCATTTTGCATTTTGCATTTTGCTGCGCCGCCTTTTCAAGTGCTCAAATGTTGGCACACTAGCGGTCCACATATTGGCTGCTCCTCCATCAAATGATACCGTCGACGTATTGCAACGGCTGCTAGTGAATAGAGGATTGCCGAGTACGGAGTACCCCGTAATACGTCAATGGCACAATGCTCGCAGACTAGAACAAAGAGGTCGCTGACTGTTTGTTCTGCCCCTATTGTTCGAACTGTCATCTAACTGCAACTGTAAACTAAACCTATCATTGATCACCTGTCAGGTCCCACTCGTACTCGCCCAACCATCTACGGGGTCTGGTAATATTGTACGGAGTAGAGGAGATTGAATGTTGGCCATCCATTTTGCCCCAGGATCACGTACGTACATCGTACATACATGCATGCTCCATGCCAACTACGGAGTCATGATGCCAAAAGCACCCTTGTCCACTGTCCCTTGCACCCTCATTTCACAATGTCGTGCGGGTGGTCAATCCACCCTTCTGCAGGCCCCCCTTGCCTGGCGCTCTTCCCCAAGCTCTCAACTCTGGCCGCTTCCATTACTGCATTGAGCAGGGCTTGTGCCGATTCAACGGTTATAATTTGTACAAGCCTCCTCCTCCCCTCCTGCCGCATTCCTCGTGGCTTGCCCGGCTCCTATTCTGGACTTCCTTCATCGTCTTATTGTCCGCGCTCGCTTCCACCTGGCCTCCCCTCGTCTCGTCTCGTCTCGTCTCGTCTCTTCCCGTCTTATCGTGCCCTCTCCTTCGTCCCTGCATTCGCCATCCAACCATCCCGGCGACCTGCATCCTGAATCCTGAATCCTGATACACCTCGCCGCCCCTGATCTGACTGCGCTTTGTTGATCTGCCTCAGGTCACAGTGTCCAGTCCGAGCCAGACGACCAGCCCAGTCGCGACTAGGTGTCCATGTTGTCTTGCCCGCTCCTTGGCCAAACCAGTCTACCGCCTCATCCCAACCAGCATTGAACCAGCATTCACAACTTCGAGTCGAGCCTATCGAAAGCGCCACCGATTTCGCACCCTGCCACGCGGGCCACCGCTGCATTCCATCAGGGCCCCCTCCTCGTCTCTCTCTCCCAGCCTTGGGCCGGGTTGTCAGCTCTGGAAATTGCCGCTCCTTTCGACCTCTATTCGATAAATTCCACCCAAGACCCAAGAAGAAACGCCGCAGCATCTTCTGACTGGCTCGGCCCATATACAAGGTGCTCGCGTCGTGTTGCATTCTGTATCCACTTCTCGAATTCACCACGTTGCGCCCGTCTTCGATTTGCCAGAATGCCCGCCTCTCTCGACTCATCGCGCCCCATCATGGCCCCGTCGGTATGTTTTTGTTCGGGTCTTGCGTTTCTTTCGGCTTTTGACAAAATGTCTTGATTTGCTTGCTTCTCTTTTCCTGCCTGTCTTGCTCTCCCTTTCACTGTCTTCTTTATTTCCTTTTGCTTGGTTTGCAAACATAAACACCAAAAAGAAACGCCCAGCCCAAAAAAAGGCTCGACGCCACACTCTGGTTTGTGCGTGCCTGCATTCCCGCCCCAGAAACCCATGTGAAACTCAACCTGGCCAAACCATGAATTTCTCAAGTACTCTGTTATATGGTTGGGGGCACGCCATCAGCGCCTCTACACATTTCCTCCCCAATCGCCAGTCATCACGCCCTTCCACATTCCTCCATATACTTGTCATTTTCACTCTTCATCTGTTGCGGTTATCAAATCAGTCAAACTTTCCGTGTAAACTAACAAACCCATGTCTCGACGACAGGCCAGAACTTCCGTGCGCTTCAGCACCTACAGCATGACGCCGTCCTTTACACCTACTGTCCAGACCTCTGACACGGCCCAGGCGGAGATCAGCGATATTGCCTTGAACCTCGACCGCATGGAGAATAAGGCACTATCCTCGCAACGGGTCATGCTCAGTGACGAGAAGACAGACAATATGAGCAAGCTGGCTCTGGGTGCCAAACTCGACCGTGCCTTGGGACGACGCATGAGTGGACAGGATGCTGTTATGCGCCCGCGCCGCAACGTCTCCGTCAGCGTTACCATGAGTGAGAAGAAGGCACTAAGCGAGAGAGCATAAATCCTCGGCTTTTACTTTGAAAGACGATATCAGAGCGATCTTACGGGTTCGAGGCAGACGACACGTCGATAGCAGTCGCGGATTGCCCCTATCAAAGGACACGCTACTTGAACATGAAAGGTCGCCTTAATCGACACAACGAGGGATAGTGTTTTCAGTCGAGACATATCATAGCTTATCTTCGACGAAGGTTGCCGGTGTTTCAGCATGCACCAGCTCTCCGGTTAATGGCTTGACCAGCCCCGGCTAGTCCTGGGCGAATCGTCAACAAATAAGCCAGCAAAGCCCATAGCAAAGCAGCGGGACTAAAAGAACCGGCAGTCACCGTCCATTGATAAACGAGATCGGTGAGACGAATCAACGGCGGAATTTTAAGCGTTATTTCTTCATTTGCTCATGCATGGTTCTCTTTAAACATACAGGGAGTCTGTCCCAAAAAAACAGCCTATTGTATCGTGACGACTAGAGCGACGGCTTGGATGGGTTCATGCTTTCTCGGCTTTCCCTTTGTTTTTGTTTTTTTCCTCTTTTACACGTGTTTGCTTTCTGTTTGTTTTGGGCATTTCTTTCGACAGTTTTTTGGGGATATCCAACAAAGGGAGTGGAATGTGGGTGTTAAAAGAAACAGAATAAATTTCGGCCACGGTGGTTTCCCATCTACACCGCTATTGTGCGCTGCGTTTACCGTGTGTGTAGGGCCTCTGCGACAGTAAGCGCCATTGCTACACTCTGTGTAGCAGCCAGAGTATGCCTAGGCTGTCAGACGCCTGGGGAAAGTTGCATCCATAAGACAGGCATTCCTAGGGCTTGGTGGTCCACTTTGTTACTCTACTTCCTTGGCATGCTTGGGACCAGGTCAAGTTCCAACAATCCCTGGCGTTGTCTGATTACGCTTCGTCGTTCGTGCACGTCCTCCTGGTTCATCAAAAGCAAGGGTATCAGCAGAGGTAGTAGTACTTCAAAAGTGGTAGTAGTAGTACAACGACAAAGCGATGTCCAACATTAGAAAGCGGAGCAATAATAAAAGAAATTGACATAGGCAAAAAGGGAAGAGAAACCTCCATGCCAGGAATCAAGTACAGAGTGCTCGGTGACATTATAAAACTCGCTGTTATCTTGTGTAGGGTATTGCGGCGGACGATTGAGTTCTTTCCACACTGAAGCACCAGGTTGAGTTGACAAGACAGGCTCCTAAACGTTGAAATTTAAATCATATTTGGCTCGCGTGATGATTATTTGATAGACAACTTGCTCAACGCGGAAAACAGGATGACGCCGTAAAACACAAAACAGTCTGGTTAAATGATATGCAAATCCTGTGCGCCGAATGTTGCAGTACATCTTACATTCCCGCCATCTTTTTCTCCCCGAGCAATTTCAGACGGTGTCCTGCTGACGTTTATCTAGTCTTCTGACGCCCCGTGTATCTTGAGATGTCTCTCTGGTCGTGCGCAGATAGTTGGTATCGTGGTCAAGGAACCAAATCCTCCTTCTCCAACAGCGCTGGCCCTTGCCTCTATCCCCTCCAGAGTGTTAAAAAAAAAGACAGCCGCCATCCCATGGCAGAATGTCGTCCTTCTAATGGGCCTTGCGCCTCTCGACCAGCGCCTCAATCTCCTTGAGCAGCGACACCAGGTCGCCCTCCTCGCCCTCCACCTCCAGGCCCTGCTTCACCCAGTCCCTGGCCTCCTCCAGCCTGCCCATCTCCATGAGGCACTTGCCCCTCCTCCACCAGGCCTTTGCGTTGCCGACGCGCCTCGCCTCGACGCTCGCCTCGGCGTCGACGGCGCCCTCGGGCCAGTTCTGCGTCGCCATGTGCGCCTGGGCCCTGTTGGCCAGCAGGCCCGACACCTCCTCCCTCACGAGGGCGGCGGGCTCCCAGAGCGGCCGCCCCAGCGCCATCTGGATCCCGAGCGAGTACAGGCGCACTGCGTCGGCGTACTTGCCCTTGCGGTACTCGGCGTTGCCGTTGTCGCGGAGCTTGTTGACCTGTCCGGTGCGCTTGGGGTTGACGGGGATGGGCGGCGGGGGGACGCCGTTAGAGGAGCTGTCGACGTTGAGGAGCGCGCGGTGGAGGGTGTTGAGGGCCTCGAGCTCGGCGTTGAGGGCGCGCGACTGCTTGCTGGCCGTGATGGCCTTGGACTGGGCGTCCATGTGTATGGGGAGGAGGTCGAAGTGGTCGAGGTCTGCCATTGTGGGCGGCGCGTGTGGGCGGCTTTGGATTCTTGGCAGGCGGATGTGTGTATTTATTGAGATGCAGCTGTTGCTTTCGGCGGTTGTTGTTTACTGTTTTTTCTCTCTTCAGCTCCAGGACGAGGAACCTAGTAGCCGGGGAGGGAGTTGTGGGAATTTTGGCAATGTCATCGGACGGTGGTGCTTATTTCGCCGGCGACAGGTGGGCTCTAGAAGGACAAGTTTCAAGTTGCTGGTTCGGAATTCTTCTAGCACATGACTGTGGGGGGCGGGCGGGCAGTGGCTGGCGACGTCCATCAAAACACGTTGCCCACTTACCCTAAGCTATATTTATACTTTGGCGATGGAAACGACCAAAGGATGGATAAAGCTTAAAAACTGGATGAATGAGGTCATGTATTTCGAGAACGATAATTTACTATGGTGAATGTTCTTCTTTTTGAATCATGTTTTCGGGATTGTAGGCATAGACGTTGAATATGCTGGGAGAAAGTGACGATCCAGTCATTATGGCACGAGCCCTGTTACTGACACACGGCACATTATTGCACACATCTTTCTGTAACATCACCGAACAACCGTCCAAGCAATTGTCCCCCTAATGTCGTCGAATGAAACTAACTACCACAATCGCAGCTTCATCAATTGTCAATGCAAAACAATACCATTCCTTTTCTACTCCTATGGTGCAAAATGCTAGAAACCCCTTCAGCCCAGGCATGAGAGAAGAGAGTCAACATAATCCATCTTCCATGCCCTCCTCCAAGCACTCCCCCAACGTTTATCATCATGGACCATCTTGGAAATTTCAAGATTGGCTTCCTTGGGCTTGAAAGCACGGGGGAAAATGACAAGTAGCGTTATTCCTCGGTCCTGCGTTTTTTTGCCTTTACCCAATTAGTCAAATAAAAACACCGGTAGAAAAAAACCGAATAAAAAGAATCCTTCTTCATCAACAAGCAATTCCTCACGCAACATGTAAAATGTGTACCGTTTGGCATAAAAGAGATGCTGGAGAATCTTTTGGTTTCTGTGCTTTATTTGTTTTGGGCATCGGTCTTTTTTGTCTTCTCATTCGACGAGCGATATTCCATGTAGAACATTTAGAACAACCATCCGCCACCTTTCCCTATAGCTTTACCATCCCTTGCCATCACTCAGCAAATCAAGTGTAATCCGTTTGTGAACCGCCGCGCCAATCTAATGAACCGCACAGAAACGACAAAGACAATGCGAAGTTGTTTTCCACCTAGGACCATTGTCGTCATGCCATGGTCGGAGGGTATAGAAACATGGCTGGATTTAGTAGCCATAAGCCGCAAGGGCCTTCGCCGTCTTGGCCTTGACAGTAGCGTTCTTCTTGGCATCGGACAGTTGTCGAGCAGCAACCTTCTTGCGCTCGTAGTAGGCCGCGCCCTTGGCCTTTCTCCGCTCCTCCAATCTGTGTATCCCGTCAGCATACCGCGCTTCGGCGGTGAAGATTTCCAGTGTAGACATACCGGGCAACAACATCCTGATACTTCCAGCCAACCTCGTGGCTCAGACGGCCGACGGTGCAGTACTTGCGGCCGGGCTGCAGGCGAAGAACGCGCAGAGCCTGGGGAACGACCATCTTCTTCTTGGTGTCATAGGGGGGAGGGACACCCTCGAAAACCTTGAGGCGCTCCATGGCAGCAGCACCTCGAGCGGTCTTGTGGGGGATCATGCCACGGACGGCCTTGTAGAAGATTCGGGAGGGAGCGCGGAAGTGGAAGGGACCTAGATTTGTGTTAACTAGGATGTAATTGCACGACGGATTATTCAATACGGGCTGAGACTCACCACCGCGGGTGGGGTTGTATCGGGTCATCTTGCGCAGATAGGCGTGGTACTTGACTGTGCGACAGTTAGTTATCTCCAAATCATCTCTTCGGTTTCTGTTGTGGTAGATTCGACAGGCTCGACCAGCTTCCAGGAGGATGCAGAGTGTTTGCAAGGGGTGTTCACGTACGCTTAGCGCGGAAGAACTCTCCCGAGATGTTGAGGGCCTCGCAGCGGACAACGACGATCTTCTGGCCGTTGAGGAGCTGCTTGGCAACAATGCTGGCAAGACGGCCCAGCAAGTGGCCCTTGCCATCGATGACAACCTAGTAGAAGAAGCCCGGTCAGCCTCCAAATGTCCATTCATCATGCCCCATGGCATCCGGCATCCGATTGAAGTGATTCCCAGAGTCTCGAAGTTTGATCGCGGTGCAGCAGACACACCCGTCCCGAAACCATTCTCCCGAGTTCCCATCCAAGTGTGCCTGCGCATGCATCCATCATCGAGTCCCTCATCACGCCTCTCGAACTGCTCCGGACACAGGATACACAATAGTAGTGGTTGGTGTTCTACTCACAACCGGCTCGAATGACGACATCGTTATCGACTCTCCTTTTGGTGACTGAGAGAAAAGAAAGGAAGGCGACTGCTCAGACGACGTCGAAGACACACAAATCCTCCAACCGAACCGGCGAGAATCTGTTGCTGTGACTGCTGTGGGTTAGTCGTCCCTGGGATGTTGATGAAGTGGTCGCGATAGTGCTTGACTGGCGAGAAAATCCAAGTTCCGCTTGAGGGCTCGTTGTGCCTTTGCAACAACTGACGCTAACTGAATATGGTTAAGTGGCTTTCGGGGTCAAGCGAACACCGCTCACAGCGACGACTCTGTTTAGGGCTGCGAGACCTATTGTGCCCTTGCCGAAATTCTGCCGGCTTGCCGGCTCTGTCCGCTTAGGGACCCCACATTTTGCCAAAACAGCTCAGCAGAGTTCGGGGCCAATCACGT